CAACAAGGCCCGGGAGTTGGATTTGCAGACGGCCGGTCTCACGACCGCGCCTTGGAGCGCAGATTACGGCATTCATCCCATCTTCGATCAATTTTTCGACGCTTTGGAGCCCCGATTCAAAGCTCTCACCAGCAGCCTGCAAGGGCTTGCCAATCCGCGTATCCGTGGCTGAAAGCAAAGGGGTACGCCGATGCAATGGAATTCAGAGACCAGTGGCATTTCGCCAACTCTGAAGAAAATCGCACGCGCCTTGCTGCCTATTGGACAGCTACCCTTTTCGCACTTGATTCCGGATGGCGGGTTGGCCGAATTGGTTTGGAGCTTTCTGAGTGTGCCCAGGAAACATGGGATGATTTGCGGAGGAACATGAGCGCCGTCCTGGACGAGCTGCCAAGATCCTATCAGGAGACATGTGCAAACATCACCAAGTTGCTTTTTGGAGAGTCCCGAAGACACATTGTGCCGACGGGCAGGTCATTCACCAAGGAGGACGTCGAAGCTCAGCAACCTGACACTGAGGACTACATCGACACCAAGACGATGCCTTCGGGCATGTTTGCTGAGCCTCCCAGTGATGACCCTCCAAAGGCCGCCGGCGACGGCGAGCCCACTGCACCCAGCAGAGCAACAATCCTGGTCCAAACAGCTGAGGTCATGTTGAAGTCGCGGCCGAAAGCAGCACCAGCACCAGTGGATGAGCCCGCAGATGACAAGGGAGCCACATCCAGCCAGTACCGGCCGCAGGCAACTGCGCGCTTAGAGGGACAAGCATCTGGCCACGTGAAAGCATATTGGATGGAAGAGCATTTGCCTGAATACCAATATACAATGGTGACCAATGCAGACGGGGACGATGTGCCCGGTATCCTCTTTGAAGGTACGGCTTATGAGCTGGAGCTGATATCGGCATCCGACGTTGAGACCATTGCCAGCCAGACTCGTGTCGACAAGAAGTTTTCCGATTTTGCAACTCGTGTCAACAAAGTTTGCAGGGGGCATGGATCCTGTGCCAAGGTGCCAATGGACAAAGACCTTTGGATCGACTTGGAGGATTTTGCCAAAGCCTTCCGCAAGGAAGTGCCCCCAGACGTTTTCATCACCGTCTCAAACCTGTTTGGCACTGCAATGAAGATCGACAAGCATGGCAAGAGTAGGTTCCAATTCTTGTGTGCAAAGATCTCCCATTTTCCTGTCGACAATGGCCTAGGCATGTCCTATTATCCTGTGAAAATCCGTGCAATTCAGGGTCATTCCGAAGCTGCTTTGAAAACCGCAGGGGGTCTTTATGCCAATTCAACCATGGTGTATTGCTCAGACCATGTATCCCCCGAGCGAAAAGCCGCCTTCACTGGCGTGCCCCTGTGTGCCATGACTGAGGTTCCTGAGGTTGTCTTCCATCGCACGATGAAAAGCAGCTGGAAGAGCATCGCACAGAACGGCCTGATCCCAGGCGGCGGTGCAACAGTCAACAGTGGCCGTGCTCATATCTACATGGCAGAACACTGTATTGGCACGCAGGGATATCGATCTGGATTAAGAGCAAAATGTCCAATCGAAGTCAAAATCGCAATGCGGCAAGCAGTAGAAGCCGGTGTCATCTTTAGTCGCACAGAAATGGATGGGATTTTGTGCTCAGAACGCATCCCACCGCAGTTTCTGGTCAGCATCTCAGAAGAAGGACAGGTGCTTTGGTCCCGCGCCGAGAGCAATCTCGAGCCCAGCTCATGGACTGGCGCGGCATCAGCCTCAGCACCGAAATCCAAAGCGGTCACCTTGACTGCCCGAGATGATGCAAATGACGACCCAATGGATGACACCAGCACGGGGCGACCCGATGCCAAGTCCACTGATGATGATGCAGCCACTGCCCCAATGCAAGTTGACCAGCCGCCCGCAAGGACGCGCCGTGTTTACATTGCACCCAAGTACTGCGAACCTTTCATGGGCTCCTGTCCCCTCTGCCAGGTTGAGTACGTCAGTGGCCAAGTGACATGCACCACATGTGGATTTGAGCCACTCCCAGTGGACGAAAGTGGCGATACAAAAGAGGCCAACAAACCCAACAGGAGGACCCGTATCCTTGAACGGCGAATGCAAAGTCTCGCCGGGTTCGGAATGTTTGGGAAGATGAGCGGAAGCTTGCTGACAGCCTTGACGGAAGAGCAAGCCAACCTGCTTCGCCGAGAACTGGGCCCCAGGGGAATCACATCCGTGGAATCAGCAGTCCTTAAAGACTGCCGCGACAGGCATCGACGTGCAAAAGCGCTGGGATATGAGGATGTAGAAGACAGATACTCCAGCGACGTCACTTTTTGCGACCGCATCCACGGTGAGGGGAAGGACCTGCAGGACTGCATCTTTGATGACATGTTCGCATACGGCAACCTCCCCGATCCCCCAAGGACCAGAGCTCAGATCTCGGCTGGCGTCGCCGCCAATGCCCAAAATGAGAACTGCTTATCTAAGTTGATTTTCATGTCTCAGCCTCGTGGCGTTGATGGCTTCCCAGTTGAGTTCCGCAAAACATGGAAGAAGGTCTGGGGTTTCATGTTTGGCCGCCACATTTTTACAGAGGATGAATATGTCAGCTACATCGGCCGTCGTGGCGCATTCCGTGGCCTGTTGACCTGGAAGGGTACTGTCCAAGTTCCTTTTGATGGCACTCGTGATTTCCTCGAAAAGGTGTATGAGGAAAACCTTCCCTTGGTTTGGAGCAATCTTGAACGCAAAGAGAAGCAGAGCGCCGCTGCAAAGGCTGGAGGTCCTGGAGGTCATAAGGCCGACCCCACGGTCGCGCCCACCACTGAGCGAAAGCGCAAAGCCGAAGCTGATGCATCCGTCACCACACATGATGACACAGCCGCCTCAAGCTCTGCTCGCGCAGACGCCTCGCACGCTGATGCCCCTGTTGACCCCAACAACGCACCATTTCTGGCACCTGAACCACCAACATCCAAAGCAGGAGCACGACCATTCTTGGAGCCTGAGACGCCGCCCACTGCAAAAGCAGCTACCGCAGGAGTCACATCAAAGGCTGCAAGCTCCGGTCGCCCGGATGCCTCTTGGAGTTGGAATCGTGATCACTATGGTGCACGCCGAGAATGGAGTTTCTGGCGTGGGGCTTGGTATTACCGTGACGAGGCCGGCGGCCGTTGGATCTTTTGGAACCGTTAGGGAGACGATGATTTTCTTTTGTAGCATAGCGCAAGATGTGGCATGGTAATGTGCCTTCCTTGCAACGCTGCGCTGGGTTTTACGGGCTTGAGCTTTTTAGAGGGACCTTTGAAAGACTGCATAAAAATGTCTAAAACCAACTAAAGAAATTTGGCTACCCGCGAGGGTATGCTTTTCTGGGTTATTCGTTCTCCGCAGTTGTCCCTGCTCGCCCGAGGGGGGTGTAAAAACTCCTGCAGTAAAACCATGTATTGTATATATCATCGATCTGCCCGATAGCGTTGGTTCAAAACAGAGCTAGCAGCTTAGCGGATTTGAGGTTCACCCCATTGGTATTAACCCAATTGTTGGCTGACCTTGTAAAATACAGAAACTGATAAAATGTGGTTCATCAACCTGCATAAGCCCTGATAATTTAACATGTTTCTATGGAAAATCATCATTAAGAGAATATGTAAATGATCAAACTAAAAGGACCATTTTCCATAGCTATGTTAGTTTCCTGGAAATTCATGGCTTTCAATGCTAAAAGCGTCTGATTTGATCTAATTTTGGTAAGCTAGATTTGTTTAGGAACTCACTTTAGAACATGTGATCAGGTCGAAAATCCATGGACTTCCCCATTCTAGATGTTAAATCAACTATGAATGGATCAAACCAGGGCCGCCTTGGGCAGTTACCGTAGATCCACTCTCCGTCATCGGTGGGAAATTTCCACGAACTCAATGGAGATTTCTTGGGATTTTCTCCATCGAGTTGCTGGGATTTTCGGGCCACGTTTTTGGGCCAGATCCCCATGATCTACCGCTGGGAATCCTTGCTGGGATCCCATATGAGAATGCCATGTTTGAACAATGGAGATTTGGGATGGGCCCAGTTGCCTATGAAATTCTCATATTAAAAAAAACTGTTTCATGGTGACTGGAACATGTTTTTTTTTAATGACTTTCCAGAAACAGTTGGGAATAATTAATCATCCCAACTGACGAACTCACTCCATCATTTTTCAGAGGGGTAGGTATACCACCAAGCAGTATTTGTAGATGATGTTCACTGTAAAAGGATGTTTTCATTGATGTTCCGATTGCCAGGTTAGCTTTTTTAACGGTGCGAACGGGTACCCCTGGGGTCCTAGGCTGCTTTCCGAAAAGCATGACTAGTCAACCTGTGGTCCCCAGGGATCTAAGTCTAAGTTTTAACTCCCCACAGTTGTGCAATCTCTTGCCAACCTTTGGTGACATTGCACTTTCGGTTTGGTCAAATTCCTCTGATGCTTTTCCCATTTCCCATTCGTCAATGCCTTTTTTCCTGTTGATGACACTGACCTAAACGAATCAACATTTTGTTGATTCGATTCAGTTGGTTGGATTTTCATGTCAGTTACTTCTTTCCCAATTTCTTTTATTTCAATACCAATGATTACTTTAGATTATCCTATATGTCCATTTGAGCCCGCTATTGCAGTCTTATTGCACAATTCATCCCCAGTTTCATGGTTACATCATGCTTCATTTTTCATGATTCAATCATAATTACTGCGCATGGTTGGGACAACCTGCCCCACTTGGTAACTACGTATGGTAACATCATGAAACACCAGCGTACATTTTATGGGATCATTCGACGGGATTTTGCCCATGAAATCAACATCAAATCCACATCTTGGCCATTCTTGAAAAATCATCCCATTCTAAAAATGTGGTTACTAACTAACTGGGGCTTAGTTTCTAACTTAGTTCACCCGCTTATGAGATAACCCCACTTAGTAGGTGGGGGACTTTCTTCACAACCAACGAGGACGGATCCTCAGCCCGTTGACCCGACAGGTTTGCAGCTGCCTGGCTCAGATTGCCAAGCATTCGGTGGATTTGGCCGAGGCACCCGCCTGGGGCTGTTGGCCTGTGAGTTTCATGGGATTTTTCATGGCTAAGACCAATAGGGAAATAATAGGGATGAAGCAAAAAGAAGGGATTATGTTCATTTGTAGACCAATAATTAGGACAAGGATGAAGCAATAAATGATGGCTATGAATGGGATAGTAACAATGATATTAATGGGTATAAAACTTTTGAACATCTCCTAGAAATGGAGGTACTAATCTATAATGGGAAAATCATCTATAAATGAGGGATTTTCAATTTTCCCTTGCCACATTTGATGACGATGACAGGGTAACCATGGGAATTTTAAGCCCTATAAGCCTAGAAGCTGGGATATGGCCCCCCATAACTATGGTGAAACCCACTTATAAGTTGGGAAAAAGCCTGGCAACATGGGGAATTTGATCATTGTTTAGCATGATGTAAGCTGGAAAGACGCTGCTTGAATGATGTGGGAGCTAAGCTGGGGGACTCTATATTCCCTATTCAATGGAGAGCCAGTTGGAGCTACAATCAGAGTTTCCCAGCCATATAATCTGTGACCGAACCCTGGAATCATGGTTTGTTAGTATGGGAAATCATCCCCTTTTATGGCCGAACTATTCAGGTTAGTGAATTATTATAATTTACCCAGATATAATAGTAGTCATGTTAAATCCCATTGAATAGTTTAAGTGGAACTGCACCATACTCAATTGGTTTTGCTAAAGAATCGGTGCGCTGGTTTTTCTTTGTGAGTAGATATATTTCAGCATAGTTAAAACGTGGTCCGTTTTTGATGGTCAAATACCATCAAATACCCATTTTTGCAACTTTGGGGGTTGCAGTTTTAGGTTGGTGAAGTACAATAATTCATCATAATTCATCATAATTCATCATAATTCATCATAATTCATCCAGATCTTTGCAAATTCCCATGAAATGAACGACAATTAGTTTCATTGATGCCCAACTCAGTCTCTGCTTTGGGAAACAAACACATGAGGAAACACTACATCACCGACCAAAGCTTGGCACCACATTTCCACAGATGTTGTACCCTCTGGTAATTTAACATAACTATGGAAAATCACCATTTTCAATGGGTAAATCCACTATAAATGGTCATTTTCAATAGCTATTTTGACATAACCAGAGGGTAAGTTTCTTTCCCAACTTCACCAGGTACTCGAAGTTTCCCATTGAATTTTCCCCATAGTCACTGAAAAATCTTCCCTAAAGCAACTAAGGTAATGTTCCCAAGTACAATCTTGAACATCACTGGTTGGTGGTTTGGAACATGAATGGACTATGACTTTCCATTCAGTTGGGAATGGAATAATCATCCCAACTGACTTTCACTCACTCTGGAATAATCATGCCAACTGACTTTCACTAACTCCATCATTTTTCAGAGGGGTGGGTCAACCACCAACCAGATTATTATTAGCCATCATTAACCATATAATAACCATTAATATTAACCATTAATATTCACCATATAATCATTAACCATATTATAACTATACCAAACTCCCATGGTTTAATCTGGTTCAAAGCCCAACTTCAGACAGATCCACATCTCGTGGTCAGATGTGGTCAGGTTGTTGTGGAGGCCGAGATCTTCCCACGTATCCTGCATTGCTTGAAGGACTGCGCCATGGGAGATCCGACTTGGGACGTTCAAAGCACAAGCCTGTTCCGTCACTATTAGTGTCAAAAAAAACACACACATTTAGGTGTTAATGATAATATGAATGCACTGTGATATGTGTATACATATATATATACACGTACACATGACATGATAATCATACTGTATATCTAAGATTTGTTTGTCCATAATATTTATACTTATGAGATTCATCACATTCAACTATTGATCTAATATACACTTGTATGATATTGTGAACAATGTATCACAACTATTCCAAGTGATACTGACAGTGTCATATTTGCATTCCAGAATCACCATAATATCACTATCACCATCTATCACCATTTAAATCCGATAAACCACATTTAAATCCCATAAACCCATATAATCCCGATGGTTGAGTGCCACATTTTTGGCTCCCATGAAAATCCCATGAACTATCCAACCACCCAGCCCTGACCCTGCCGCATTCCAGGACATTGACGAGTTCGTGAGGAAGAACGCCGCCACCTGCATTCGCGAAATCGCACGTCCGGCGGCCCTGGGGGCCCTGGGGGTTTCTCATGGTTTCTTGAAAAGGGCAACATGGGTTTCAAGAACTGGTCCAACCATTTGGATGATTTGAGGCTACCCAGAATTTAGGAAACCTCCAAAGTGGACCCTTGGAAAGTGGATGGTATGGATTTTCAATGATTTTCAGTCTGTTTTGGAAGACAAGATTTTCAGTTTGTTTTGGAAAGTGGACCCTTGGAAAGTGGATGGTATGGATTTTCAGTTTGTTTTGGAAGACAAGACTGAAACCATCTGTGGGTAGCTGAACGCGTTTCTTACGACGAGATATCACAACCACACGTTTCTTACGGTGTACGTGTTCATTGGATCTGCCGCAGGACTCTGAAGCTTCCTAACCCAAAACTCATAAGGTAATGCGGTTTGATGACGTATTTACCCTCTGGCTCTTAGACATTATGGAGAAAATCACCATTTTTAATAGGTAAAACATGGTAAAACATCATACATCATCTATAAATGCTTAAGTTTAATCCATTTTCCATAGGTTAACCCCAGAACAATCCTAAAGATCCCGCCCCAGCGAATTCAATCTCCCTTTCAACGACAGGTGACTCACATGTTTTCCGGGTTTGAAAAATCCTATTTTTGGCATTGGTATTTCAGAACAAATGATAAAAAATAACAATTCAAGATCATTTAAGAAGATATCTGATATTGATTGATATTGATCATTCACCGCAAAATCTTAGTTTCAACATCCGCTGAATTCCCATACCCTCTGGTAATTTACTCTCAGTTAAATAAACATAGACCTCGTATGCATGATACCTGCATTTAGGTATGCCGATCTGGGGTCTATCTTTTCTTGTAAAAACATGGAAAACAATGTAAAAACAAACATAGCTATTGAACATGGCCCATTTATAGTGATTTACCCATGAAAAATAGTGATGTGCCATCGTTTTTTGTATGTTTGCCAGGCCGGGTAGATTCCCCCTATCGACACCGGACACATCGGTGGTGACGTTTCTGGCAGGTCACACGCCGGATTTGGCGAAGCTCATCGTCAACGCTGGTGGTGTCGCTGCTATGGTGGACTATATCACCGAGGTCGGGCCGGGTCGCAGGGCGGACCCCCGGTGGAAGTGCTGCAAAACACCATGAGCCATGACTCCCAAGCATGGGGACACAGCATGCATCATAGATCAGAGTGTGTATACCTCTGTTTATAGTTGATTTTCCCATCAAAATCTACATTTATATTACATTTATAGATTTTAGAGTCTAGTGAATGTTCCATTAAAACCTCCATTTAGAATCATTGATATATGGAGGTTTCCTGAAATATCATGGGTGTACTCTTTTTAATCATCCATTGGATTTTCGGAAGTTCCCATGGAAATCAACCAACCGGCTGGCTACCCCCATGGAAATCTGGGATTAGTCGTGGCGTCGACCAGGCCCGTGGAAACAACCGCCTGCCTGGTATCATGACCTTGGGATACATCGCTGCGTCAGGGCGCCAAGTTAGGGCCGAAGCAAGCTGGCAAGCTGGGCCGGGAAGCCATGGTTTCATCCATTAGCCTCTGGTAATTTGACAGATATCTAACATATTTACTTATGTAACTATTGAAAATTGCCATTTATAGATATTTAGTTTGTTGATTTACCTGTCTAATATATTAGACATGGTGATTTTCAATAGCTATGTTAGTTTACCAGAGGGTAAATGATCCATATTCCCCATTCAATGGTTTCATCCAAGAAATATGATGGTATAATTTAGTGGAATATGTTGATCTTAACCTTCTGGTACTTAACAGCTTGCTATCCATTAAAGGGGGAGCCAAGGAGCTACCAATAGTTTCCCAACCATCTGATAGTACTGCAATGAACCTGGGTTTGTAAGAAAGCGTCGTGGACACCAAATTTTAGAATCCAACCATTGACATCGCACTGTGTATGGAGAAAATCGTCCAGTTGAGGGACAAAACCAACAGCTGGATTCCAGGCTGCCTCCGAGACAACAAGACTCAACAAGACATACCTGGTTGGTGGTTTGGAACATGAATGGATTATTTTTCCATATATTGGGAATGTCATCATCCCAACTGACGAACTCATATTTTTCAGAGGGGTGGCTCAACCACCAACCAGGTACCCACTTGGACGCATCTCAAGCATAACCGACGATGCCAGGGCCGGAAGGTGACCTTCACCCCTTCAAAGGTGACGTATGAACCAGCATCATTTGGTGGTCACCTTGGTAAAATCCCCAAACTAATTACAGATATTTCCACCCAACCTTGTTATTGTACTTGACCTTGTAGTTACAAAATATAAAGCAATAGAAACCATCATAATATAATATATATATATAATAATAATAATGATAATAATAATAATATATCTATATATAGTATAATATATGTATAATTTAATATAATATATATATGATATCCTCTGGCCATTTGATAGCTATGGAAGAGCGCCATGGAACAGCCGACCGAGTCCAATAGTCCAATGATTTCCCTAAAAATCGTCCCATAGCAATCAGTTGTGTCCTATGAAATCCCAGCATTTTTCTTGATTCTTGTTGATTAATATTGTTAATTAATATAAAATGAAACCCAGAATATCTGTAAAAATTGATAATTGGGATTAAAGCCATTTAAAGCCTTCTTGTTGGTGAAACAGAAGATAGATAATGATCAAGAAAATATCATCATATCCATTCATATCCCATGAATTTCCACCATTGTTTGTTGCTTAAATCCCCATGATTTTGATGGCTAAATTAACTGTTAGTATTTTTTTATATGCAATGATTATACCATATTATAGGTACCATATTTTTTTCGATTAAACCATATTAAACCATATTAAACAATATTAAACCATGTTAAACCATGTTAAACCATGTTAAACCCCTAGTGTTGTTGGTTAGATACCCAAAAAAATTGCCGGTCGCCACGGCTTTCCGATTTCGAGGTTCTCCGAAACCTTGGCTCTGGCCGTGGTGGTGTCCGGAAACCGAAGCGGCGTCCGGGCGGTGTCCGGATGGGCAGCAGCCACAGAGCTCCGTCCTGTCACGATGGTTTTATGATACTAATATTATGATATATTATACATACAGCTCCAATAACTATGGTTTATGATACGCAAATAACTACCGTTAATGGGGTTTATAAACCAATTGATAACCACATTGTACTTACTGTATATGGTATGATTTATTTTCATGATGGTTTATAACGAATAATAGTAATTATACTAATAAGGATATTATGATAACTATACTAATAATGATAGTAAACCATATTATGATATTATAATGATATTATACTAATATGATATGGTCTCTCCAATAATTATTTAACATTAATTATCATACTCTAGTATCATAAAGCCACTATCGGGTATGATATAGTACTCGTTATGATGGATGGTTCTATAATGGGGTTTATAATGACGTATACTGTAACTATATACGGTGAACCTAAACCAACTTAGAACTGGGAGGGCCACATTGTAGGATTTATGGTGACTTGAGAGTCAATGATGGGATATACCCTCTGGTAATCTAGCAGTTTGCGAACTGGAAAATCAACATTTGTAATAGGTAAATCATCGAACTAAATGGCCATTGTCAATAGCAAACTGTTAAATTACAGGAGGGTAGTCTAATTTGCAGTTTTTGTTTGATATAAAGAGTTGATAAGTAGAATCTAAGAAAACTATAGTAGACTTTATATGATTTTTGTTGACTGGAAATTAGTATTTGCCTAGAGGTTTTCATGGATGAACGATCTTCCATCCCAATCAAGATTTGGAGGTGACATATCGAACAATGGCGGTTTGAATTCGCTTGAATCCACTCCCATTTCAGAAACCCTTTGTTTTTCTGGGGTTGGAAACACATCTCGAACATGTTTTTTCTTTTGAGGAGAGTCGAATCATGCTGAATCCCCCAAGTTTGCGTATGTTCGCTGAGTTCCTAAGGTGGCAGCTATGGATATCCCCGGGCAGGTTGTGAGTGAAGACAAAAGAAACATCTCAAGATGCAGAAGAAATCATCAAATCCTCTAATGATGGTGTCTGAGTTTTTTTTTTAAATTGGTTCTCACTAGTTGCCCACTAGTTCCACCACTTTTGACATCTTTTTAGCCATGTATACCAACTTCCTGCGACTCAATTACCATGTCGGCTCATTATTACGAACTTATACCCCAGTTTATGGAGGTATTATATAGAGATATTACCCATGTATTGATCAGTTTACTATAACCCATAGGATCCATGTATGCTATATATGCTAACATTTACCATCAATATACCCCAAATGTTAGCATATATACCATACATGGATGCTATGGGTAATTATGCCATATTATGCCATGGTTTCCCACATCCAACAGTTCCATCGGATCGACAGCCAGCGGGCCTGAGGTCTAAGGGTATTCCGCCCCTGAAGGATGCCTTGATCAACGAGCCGGAGGATCATCTGAAGGCTGGATGGGATAGCAAGAAATGGATGGGATTTACCCGGCCTGGCAAACTAACATAGCTATGGAAGCCATGGCCCATAGAAATAGATGGTTTACCGTTCTTAAAAATGGTGATTTTCTATAGCTATGTTAGTTTACCAGAGGGTAACCATGGGAATTTAGAGCTGATTGATGAGTTACCATCTGGTTATGACTAACAGTTTGCCATGGAAAGATCCACCATTTTTAAGAACGGTAAACCATCTATGAATAGGCCATCTATACCATGGCTATGTTAAATAGCCAGAGGGTAGCAAGAAATGGATAGCTTTTCCATGGGAATTTCGAGCCCTTCTTGATGAGTTCAATCGCAGAGTTTTTTCGGGCCACGTTTTTCAGGGACAATTTCTTAGGATTTACGCCAAGAACTTCTCTTGTATTCATGGGGTTTATACATATAAACCACCATAACGACCTAATAACGTTTGGGGGACCGCACGACTGTCCCTAATGGGGATGGCAGTCCTGGAATCTAGTTATAACTCGTCAGGTTTGTTGGACTAGTTTTTTTCGGGATGAGAAGAACAATCCCATTACAAGGAATATATCCATATGGATGTGGGTCAAAATGGAAGACCGATGTGGGACCACAGATGTGAATGTCTAGTTTAGTATTAACCATCCATAATTTTGGGGTACCTAATTTTGACCCATAGCCATATTATTGTAATAACGAATGGGTTAACATGCATAATATGGTTAAATATTATTCCTGATAAGGGGGTAATATGGTTAAACTCATATCGCAACGTCACTGTAATGCTTATTATATAGTAACTATCCCCAACTTGCCTTATTCCTGCTTTGTGAATTATAGTAGTAATGATTTCAGTGGGTGTTTCTGTTGGTAAATATATATATATATATAAGTGTGATGAATTCTAATCATTGATTAGTGAGTTATCATGAGTTATCACAGTTAGTCAACCAGGGGGGTGATTCTATGGATTCTATGGTCCCGGTCTTATGCGTTCTTGGATTATGATCGTTAGTCAACCACGGGATAGAGTGAATTATCATACCCCATAGGATCCATGTATGCCATATATGCTAAGATTTACCATCAATATACCCCCAATGTTAGCATATATACCATACATGGATCCTATGGGATACTTAGTCACTGATAATTATTGAGTCACTGATAATCATTGTGTTTATAATATGATTATATAACTATAATCACAAGACCGGGACCATCGAATCAGTGACTATAGAATCAGAAGTTTATCCCTTACATCCCGCATGACTCTGGGTACCAGGCTGCCTCTGCTTGGTCCTTGGGTCAGTGGGGCCTCTCAGCTCGCTTCCATGGGGTTTTGGGCATGTTTTCGTCGATGAAAATGGCTGGAGAATCTGGTCATTTTGGGTAAGAAACCATCCCCGACAAGGCTTATTAAGCCCATGATGGCTAACTCATTGAATGATATTCCCAATAAACCAATGATATTCCCATATTTCTGGTAAACATGGGGATGATATTCCCAATAAACCTCCACAATCAAGAGAACCATCCCCATGTTTACCAGAAACAGATCCCACCATCCCAAAACCGGGCAGTGGTTGTTGAGTTTACCACATTTTTTCATGTGCTTGGTTGAATGTTTTGATGAAAATGGGCATAGACTATGTAGAATATCATGGAATTGCATTTGAACTGTGTACGGGAATTATAGAATGACCAATCTGGTAGATAATTGATCAAAAGGGTATAGCTCTAACCAACCAAGATGGGTATGGGGGGATAGTTATCTCAAAATTGTAGAAGCAATCAAGCCACCCAACATGATTTACATAGTTTGGTTGTTGTTTGGTATAGTCTCAAAAGTGTGGTTCACGCATGTTGCTACAATGCGGGCACCCCTAGTCAAAAGTTGCTTTATAAAGCCCATGAATACTATAGTTCGAAGTATCATAAACAATAGAAAACATGGTTATTGCGTATCATAGACCATAGTGAAATTGGACTCTTAAACCAACTTAGCTATCGTAAACGGGAGGCCATGGGGGGCCCACATTGTACTGACCCAGGATATGATCTGATCAACTACAGTCCACGAGAATTTTTGAGATTTTTGGAGAGGTGTTAATTCTTAGGCGGAAGGGATTAATATAATGATTGGGTAATTAGAGGTTTGTTGGCTTTTATTGGTTTCACCGCACCTTTTTGTTGGGCTTGAAACCACCAAACTTGGGGTTTGAACTTGGGAAGACTTCAGGAAATAGGCTGGGAAAAATGGTATCTTGAATCAGCTCTTGAATCAGCTTGGGATCCAAGCTGCAACATCGGCGAGTGCCGGTGTCAAGTTGCAACGACGGCCACGGTGTGAATTCGGTTTGTGAATGGTTGGTGAATGGGTTTATTCACCAGCAAGGCAATCAGCAACATGTACCCAATGATGGTTGATGGATGTTGATGGTGGATTGGACCAAGAAGTGCAACGTAAATCTTGAGCCGCGGAGCGTAAGTCCAACAGTGGTATAGAATATCCTTCTATGGATGGACATTCAATAGATTGGTCAATCCATTTACCAACTATTTTTGGTAAAACTTGGTGAATTCAGGTCGTGAATCATGAATTTCATGTAGGGAAAGGGAGGAGTGGAAGATCTTTGCCCCAAAGGTCACACCACCAATGGGGCAAATCTCAAGCAAAGCTCCAAGTTTGGAGGATTTATACCACCCAAAATATCATAATGTGAGTCTACGGCGGCCGTCCTGGGCACCAGGGGGATAGGGGGGAGATTATTTTGCAGCTTGCAAACAAAACCTGCGATGGAAGATACTGAATGTTGGTGATTATATAACTACGTGAACTTGGTAATGTTTTGCGGGACCCTCATGCTCAAGTTGATCACAAAAGCAGATTGCAACGTCTTCACCACCAAGTGTATTCAAGGTTAGTTGATGGTTGTACCAACATGGCTTGCACCAAAAAACAGGGACTGCCACCAGCATTTTGGATGTCATTCTCGCTGGTTGATGAACTTCCGATGATCCACAAAGTTTAACGGTATTGGCTATGAAATGCTCTGGCACACCAACATGGCTGGAAAATGACTCATTGATGGCTAGTCAATCTAGGAAAACGAAGTACAGTAACTACTTGGAAGTGCAGTTCCAGTCATAAGTGGACGTATAACCATAGTATACTATAGTATAGTTAATTATACGGATTATAAATGATTATATATATCCAAACTTATGGGGGTTTACAACCAGGGTAGCCTACTTCTGTGTAGCGTCAACTGCCAAACTGGAGAAACACATTTTTGGGTCATTGTGTTATTTTCATACACACCTAGAATATCACATGCTTGGTTATACAGTGTAGAGTGTATATATATATATATCCCATGGTTGTATAACACTAATATATGGAAATCCCATGATTATATATATATATCCCACCATCCAATGGTAAACATTCCAATGGTACCATATGATATCCCATTGGTGGTTGGTAAACATTCCATTTTTCTTTGTTGGTGAGTCGCCTCCATTTTCAGACACACAAAAAACTCTCCTTGCACGCATCTCAAAGCTCGTCCCCGCTAGATGAACAGCACAGATCCAATAATAAACCAGGCCTTAAACAGGATTCAACTAGAATATATGAGAATCCATACTAGGCTTAGCGGCTTAATGTATCATCCATTGATTTCTGGCTTTGTTGGGGCCACAAAAAAAGAACTCTACTGTAATCGAAATTGCATGGATTGAAATCTTCATTTTTAAGGTAATGTCAAACCCGGATTAGTAAACCATGGTTGATCAATTTGGGACGGTCCACTAAAATAGTGATATATATATATATAACTGCTACTAAAATGGTACCACGATTGTCATGGTCAGCATTTCCATCATCATGTCAACCACATCATCATGCCAACCACCCATCATCAAGTAGTTGGGAAGTGTAACAGTTAGGGAACGCGTGAATTCACGGGTGAAAACGTTCTCGGACACGTGGCTCCCGTCGCCGAAGGAGGGTCTCTGTTTCCGCGGTTGTGGGGCTCGATCTGGGGAAGTCGTCGACAAAAAGCGCACAGGACTGTAGAGAGAGCTCAATTTGCATTTCAAAATGATGGGGATGGAGCATGATTTGCAATTGAAAATTGTAGCGAGAGCGCAAAAATAGTAGCTTGATTTGCAATTGTAGCGAGAGCTTGATTTGCAATTGAAAATGGTCAACTAGACGACGGTTGGCCCGAGAGCAAAAAAGACGGTTTTTCAAGCAGCTCTGAGTATGGTAGTCGTAAATAATAGTCGGTGAATGGTTGGTGAATTTTATATCAGCTATGGAGGGATAAGTTGTGAAAAGTAAGATTGATTAAGAAGAGGATACATGTGACAACCCATGCATATGCACTGTGCTGCTTGATATGACACGTGTCTTGCAGCCACAGAGAGACATAGATAGAGAGAAAGGGAGAGAGAGAGAGAGAGAGAGGGGAGGGAGGGAGGGGGAGGGGAGGGAGAGAGGGAGGGAGGGAGGGAGGGAGGGAGAGAAAGAGGGAGAGGGAGAGAGAGAGAGAGAGGGAGAAATAGAGGGAGATAGAAAGAAAACATGAAAAAATAATATGAGCAACAAAAGTGCACAGGAGGCTGGGTACCATGATGCTGCGAATGGAGCAAGCTGTTTGGTAAGGACAAGCAGAAAGAGACAGCATGAAAAATGCAACGCGAGAACGTGCCGATGACAAGTAAATGATGTATATGGCACATTCTTCCCGATGAAACTTACTTGCGCAGACGCCATCAAGTCGAAACAAACTCATGTGTCAGCAGGAATGTTGCGAATGACGTTGTAAAGTGAGCTGATGATGTGAATGACACTTTATTATAGAAATTTTCACAAAGGTATACGAATCCTGGAGAAATGTGGTTGTTAATCAGTAGCTAAGTGGCATATCCTCCAAAAAGTAAAAAAGTACTTCCCAATTAAACAGCTCAGGCTTTTTGATCCCGCGTTGACATAAGACATACATTCGACATACGTCTGTTTGCACGCTGGGACACAACTTCTTGAGGTTGCTCGCAGAATTGAATGCTAAAATTTCCTAAGGGTTTGCAATCGAACTTCTAACAGATTCTCCAATTCTGGGATCTCTCCAAATCTTGCACATTTACCTCAGTGACCCATACTTTGGAGCATTTCGAGCACTTAAGGATTGGTTGTCGGTATTGGAATTTTAACCGCCTCGTGCACGTGAGAATGACTCTGGACCTCACCAGGGAAGGCTACCCGTTTCGAAAAATAGGGCCACGAAGGAAACTTTCGCCACTCACATTTCGCGCAGTGACGTACTCTGCAGTCTGGAAGGGCTGGCGACCCACATGCCAGAAGGTGGCGAAATCTTGGCTATGACTAGCTTGCCAACAGAAGGACATGGATTCAACCGGGACGCGCGTAGCCATTTTGGGGATGATCGGCGTGCGCCGCCCCCGGAGGGAGCTCGAATGGGGCTCATTGAATCTTCCCACAGACTGATTGATCCTTTTTTTTGGGTTTGGTCAGCATCAGTTTGCATCAATCGCATCAAATTTTGGGCATGGGCAAAAACCCGTGCGCCCAGTGAACATCCCAGACAGTGACAGAATATAACAAAATAGACGGTAATATGATGGTCGCATTCCCCTACTACAAGATTTGATCAATGTGTGGGCTAGTTGGTGGTTGGAAATATGTTCCTCTTAACTTTCATTTTGTTCGCACTGGCGGCTTCCCAATCAGATCCAATCAGCCTCCGCAGCGATTAAACCCATTGCATGCGCCATGAGGATTGGACGTCATTCTCCGGACCATGCCCGCGCATTGGCTGAGGCGGTAAAGTTCTCAGCTTGGAAGGCTGTGATGACACGATGGCAATGGAGTGTGTCTGAAGATGCTGAAGATCTCAAATCTGCGTTCTGTGTGGTTTGAGGAGTTGCAGGCATGCCCCATTGCCATAATATACAAAGGTTTTGCTAACTATAAATTCATTCAAATATGTCTTGGGTGGATTTTGGGTGATGTTTTGAACATATCTTGTTTTCAAACTCAACAACATGTTGAGGTCAGAACGCAACCAAAAGTTTTGTTTGGTCTGTAACCGTGTTTATTGACATCTTTTGGCATCACACGCACCGCAACTCCGAAAACTAAGGCATAATGACTACTGCAATACAGTGAAAACATGTGAAAACGGACACTGTTCTCCGGGCACTCGAAATTTGAACCCCACAACCTATTTGTTACTTGTGAATTCTCACTGGATCTCATTTACTGTTGAACATTGTTGGGTCAAAACCATTTTTGATAGAAAAAAATATTATAAAATATGCATTAAACATAAACACTTATCTATAACATTTTTTATGCGGTGTCAAATTTATAAGAACTATTTATTAAGAGAGGGGTTTGTTGCCAGCGCTGGAAAGTAGGTTTTCCTCATGTTTTTGTATCCTTTGGGAAATGGTCATAATCAAATAGGATGTTTAAACGGAGGAGGCCTGACCCAAAAAAAACACATATTCCGCTGTAAAATGCATTCCTTTAAAACAATGGTAGTCATGAGGTTCAAACTGTGGCAAATTCCAAGAAAAAAACACCCTAGAAAAGAAAACAAAATATATTTCCACTTTGAAGCATTAGGTGCAACAGAATATGTATATTATAACATAAAACGGAAAATTACAGTGTATAAATTCAGGTCATGTACGTCTCATAAACAATATATAGTTTTTTTTTTTTGTGGCAAACATCACGGAAAATTGAAATATTGTTTTAAAACCTAGGGATACACTATTGTCATGTTTCCATGTGATTGTGGTACAATACCACATTTTTTGAAACAAATAAGTCGTTTTTGAAACACAACCGTGATTCATCTACAAGGCATTTCAGTTTGAAAATTAAGGAAATTCCCTGGTGTTTTCAAACAGGTGTGGATGTATATAGTAATGTTGAATGAGTTTGAGCTGCGCAGCGCAGCAGTTGACCAAAGAAATTGCAACACATTGAGCTAAAGGCAAAAGTGCAAACACTATCAGGCAATGCAGTTTTTTTCACACTTGCTCACTTGCTTTCATTGCCCAAAGAGAAATATCTGCGTATAGTCTATTAAATTGTATGCCTGTGCTACATTCCCAGCAAACAATGCTTTGAAGAAATGAGTTTTTTCAAATAAGTGCAGTTTTCCTTACAACACATCCACTTCAACCAAAAAAGTTGCTGTCATTTACAAACTGGTGGTTGCTTTTGAGCTAGCCAAATGTTTCTTCAGGAAGAAATCTTTTGGTGAAGGTTGGATTTTTTGTTAAAAAATATATGTTATCTACGATGTGTACTTTGTTCTAAAGTGCAGTATTCCTGTTTTCTTCCTTTATCATGGTAACATTCCTTCAGGCAGATGCTGTTTTCTTCAAAGATTGAATACTTAACCCAAGGTTGCAATCGTATTTAAACAGTTTAGTTTAAACATGTTAGAAACAATATTGTGTCAAAATATACAGTGTGTCCTTTAAAGATGTAACATTCCTCTTAAAGAAGCTCAGCTGGCCTTCATGTTTGAAAGTAGCACCATTTCTTCTTTCAAAAAAAAAACAACTGCCATTTGTTTGGAAGGAACACCATTTGTTTGGAAGGAACGCCATTTGTTTGAAGGAAAGGTTTTACTCACCAAAAAGAAAATTCAGTCAGCTGCCTCTTTTGAAAGTTACACCATGATTTGAACATATGTAACAATCCTTTCAATCACACCATTTCTTTGTAAATATGTAACTGCGCTCTACTGGGACAGGAACACAATTTATTTGAAGGAACGGTTTCCTCCACCAAAAACATAATTTTACATCCCCAAAGGCTTCACACCTGAAAAGGAAAATTGCACATCCCCAAGGAATACTGAGCATGCCTAGCATACATGTTTTTTTTTAATAATGACTTGACAAGAATGCCTTGGGCAAGATGAATCGGATTCGGTTTGGATTACTGTAATCTGCATTAATCTGGATTAATCCTGAGGAATCAAAAACCCACAGAAACAAACCAAAAACAAATAAAAACACAAAAACAAAGACACCAACAAAAACAAAAAAAAAGGTTTTCCAGACTAGTCTGATTATGCCTAGATCCAAGTAGTCCCCAAAACGTGTTTTGTTGTTTTATTTCCACTCTAAGCTCTATTTCCACTAGAAAAGGCTTGTGTATGGACAGCAAAAGGCCAATATTGTTTTAGACCATGTAATGTATTTGGGGAAAAATGCCTTCTCCGCTCCCACAACATGCCTTTCTGTATTTCTAATAGGAAAGGCTGTTTGTGCATGGACAACAAACAACCAATATTACTTCAGATCATGCAATATATTGCCAAAATCATGCATATATTGAAAGAATGGGTGATTTCAGCGCTGGCAACAAGCCTTTCTGTTTATTAAATGAACATTTATATTTCATGTATAATTATATGATATTATATGTGTTTTCATGTTTCAAATCCGTACCTTGAATGTAAATAGATCTATTACTCTACATCAATCTGATCGCAACGGCGGCGAAACGCTGCTGCAACTTAGCACCATGAAGGTGCCCAATGTGCAGTAAAAAATCACATGGTTTTATTAAACATTACCAACAAAAATGATTAATATGTTGTTAATATTAAAATTATTAGACAAATTATTAGACAAGTGATTAGACAAATGATTAGACTTAGACAAATGATTAGACAAATCACATGTTTTATTAAATCACATGGTTTTAGAGCTACGTAAATTAGACAAATGATTTTTGATGTATAGATAGAATTATATAGATACATACTGATTGTATATTATATTACAAAGTGCAGCTAACATTTTTCATGGCACCAAGGATGTCCTGCGTCGTCTGCTGGCAGCCCCTGGCTCAGCGATCCGGAACCACTTGAAGGGCCTCCCCGAGTGATCAATGGCCATTTTAGGATCCGATTTATTGGAGGTACCTACCAGATATAAGGCCTATGTAAGGCCTGTGTAAGGGAATATCCCCACAAAATATGGCCTTATATGGTACAGCACCTCCATTTTAGGATCCTGAAATTCCCATTGACATGAATATTACAGTTGTAAGCACCAGAAACGATAGCTGTTGGCTTATACTTCGCGATCGAGAACCGGAGCCCGACATTTTTTTGTACGAGGTTAAATAGATGAACATTGGAGATTTTGGCCAATGAACAGAGGATACAATCGGGACATAATCGAGATATGTTGGGATAAAATGGGATGGATGCATATATATATATATATGATATACTTAAATCAAACACATTCGTGAGGATGTTATGTGGGAATGTAACACAATTTAATTGGCTATTTTTTCATATTTTTTCGCCACACATGTGATTCGGGTATGTCTGAAAATGGGGGATTGAACTGATTGAACCGCCACATGGCCCTTTTAAATCGGGAGAATTACCATCTGGTAATTTAACATAACTATGGAAAATCACCATTTTTAATGGGACAATCCACTATTAATGGCCATTTTCAATAGCTACGTTAAATTACCAGAGGGTATGATCAACCTTATTTTCAGACAAACACACCTTTTCCTGAGTCAGGTACATCATATACAGGTAACAAATTAAGGACCTGAACCGCCCGAAAATGGGATCTGCTGATTGGGCACAACTTGGTATTTCCAGGCAATGTTGAGTCTGACCTTTTGATGAACATCCGTAGCTACAGTAGCTGCTTTGGTTTGGAACCTGGAGTGCAGGGGTTTGACAATTGAAATACCTATTAACTACTAGTGCAACACAAATTATTTATTTGTTTATCAGGAGGCAAAGTCTATATGGTAGATATCTCCATTTAGTTGGGAAAGCATCAGCATCATTGGGGTGTCAGTTTTTCCATTGAATCATATTGAATCCCAATGAAATTTCATGAAACTTCATTAAAATCCCCAAATCCCATTAAATTCATATAATGTATATATATATAAACCATATACAACTGGCCTATTTCCTACGCTTTCCCGTCCTAATTTTTGTTTCAAAAAAAATCGACCCACGCCTTCACAGGTCTATTTGCACCAGGACTCCAGTGAGGATCTACGCACCAAGGTCTAGCAACAGTGGTGCAATGTGGTGCACGGAGAATTTCATGGGATATATATAGCCCTATTAGAATATATGATAATCTATGGGTATATTATGAAAATGGGATATATATATAATTATATAATCTATACCTATATGTATAGATTTAATGGGGACTAATGAAACTTAATGTAGTGCGTTGGTTTGGTTGATAATTAGTCCGGTGATAATCTTATTAATAAATGGTGTTTAACCAACTATTCAAAGTGTATAGTGCCATATATAAATTTATGGAGGAGTGACCCACTGCGGTATGTTCCGGTAACCCCACTTCAATCATCGAGGTGTGCACCGTTCTGTGGATTTTACCAAGAAATTCACGTGGATTGTATTGATCCCTTTCAGAACCCCTTTTAAGAATAAGCCATTGGGATTTTGACACTGCTCAACTCTTGCACTTCTGGCAATTTTAAAAAAAGGGAACATTAGGTTTCAAACCATGGGATATACCACACACACATACACATCACACACACATCACATATATATATATATAGACATATACACACACTCATATGTATATATATATACATACATATATACATATGTATGTAGTAAAAAAACTAGGATTTGGAGTGGATCTATCTATAGAAACAACCCCCCAAAAAAGTTAAATCATCATCATAATCCTACTTAAACAGCCATTCACTGCGCTTCACTTGGTATTTCGCATTTTTTGTTGGCCGTAGAAACTCGTGACACAGCTGGGCTTTCCCTACACTTTTTACCATCACCCTTCTTTGGGATCAGGCGAAGCGCGCTCTGAAGAGTGTGATCCAGAAGTGCACCCATTTGCCAGCCCTGGAACCTCTCCTGGAGGCACCGACCAAAAAATATGTGATTTTTTTTTTGGAGAAGTGCACCCATTTTTTTTTCATTTGGGTGATGAATATGAATCCAATATAGTTAAGTGACTAATGAATCCAATATGTTTTGATTTTTGATCATTTAAGAGCCAAGAGCCATGTCGTAATTCAGAATTCTAGCTCCCAAGTTCATTGTTCGGATACTTTCCATACAGAAAAGCAGGTTCCGAAGATATGGTTGAGGCAGTTGCCAGCAGTGGAAGATTTGATATTTTTGCCCGTATCTCTTTTTGTTTTTCATTTAGTGGAGATAGATATATGCTATGGGACTGCGCAGATTTCAAGGAGATACCACCATTTTCCGTACGTCACAACTGGGACACTCCAAGACACAGTGAGCCGTTGCCACTTTGGCCCCACTTTTGCCACGCTTTTGCGGACTGCTGAAAGAGGACACACCAAAGATCTTAGAAAGTCCATGTGTTCAGACGTCAAGAAAGAGGCTGTGCAACACATGTCAATTGTAAGTGTTCATGGAATTATATGGAATCATAAGATGATTTTCCTCGTTGAAAATGTTGAAGTGACAATTTTTGATGTCAAAAGCCATAGACCCCGAACCGCTGAACTTCAGCGCTTCACAGGCACCTCCAAACATCTTGAAGTACGTGGTGCAGCAGTTCGCGAAGGCCGGCCGGATTCGTCCAGACGTAAATGCAAATTCTGTGAACCGTGTCCCTGGATACAAAGGATATACCCACTTAGTCCAGCTCTTTAATCCCAATTGTGTATGTATTATAATGATTTATAATGTGTAATTATATATATATATTATACACATAGATATACTATATATATATAAATATATGTATACATAATTGCATGTACATGTTAAAGGATAGAGGTCATCAACGACATACCAGCTGGGATGCACAGAACCTAGCAGGTGGCTAGGCTTGGTGGAAGAAATGATGAAGAATTTCATCGATTTTTTGGATTCTGTTCATGGCAACCCGGGGTTATCCAATTCATTGGATATAATCTGGTTGGTGGTTTGGAACATCTGGATTATTTTTCCATGTATTGGGAACAATAATCCCGTTTGACTAAATTTTTTTGGCAGAGGAGTTGCTCAACCACCAACCAGTAATCATTGCTATTGTCAACCCGGGGTTTATTAACTCCTCCAATAGTCATAATCTGACATTTAAATGGTACCCTCCCAACTAAACAGCCTTTGGGCCTAGGGTTTATTCATCCGGGGTTGACATTATAAAAATCCCATTTTTTGCATACCCATAGGATCCATGTATGCTATATATGGTAACATTTACCATCAATATATCCCCAATGTTAGCATATATACCATACATGGATCCTATGGGATAGTGATTTACATGTTTCGGGCTTCTTGTGCATGTTCACCACGCAGATTCCAAATATCCCAGCTGACACGACATGTCCACAGTAGGTCTAGTCTGAGTTTTTTGGGTACCTTCATGGGCCCTCAAAACAACAGTCGTTTTGACGGATCTGAACCCATATTGCTACATATTACTACATATTTTTATATATTACACTACAGATAACTACATATTGCTACATACTTGTGCTACTACATATTGCTACATTTGTTTAAACACAATTTGCAATTGCTACATGTTGCTACATATGATTACATGTGGCTATATATTATTACATATTGTTACATGTTAGTACTGTTCTTAGTTTATATTCCCGCTAAATTGGACGCGATGATTTCTTCAAACCAGACCCTGTCATTGCCGCAGCGCTTTTCGAGCACTTTTCGTGCAGGTCTTGCCCAGCGACCTCAACGCCAGGAAGTCCTTTGTGCAATCAGGCGCAGTGACCTGGGGAAAACATGGATGTGGGTCAAAATGGAAGACCTAGGGGACCACAGATGGAAATGTCTAGTTTAGTATTAACCATCCAATTATTGAGGTACCTAATTTTGACCCATACCCACATGATGATGATTATTTGATAAAGTCTTATAGTAGTATACTGATTATCACTGAGTTGTAGTATTATCACTATTGTAGTATACTGATCATTTTATAGTATTTGATTATCAATGATATAGTAAGCTGAGTGGTAAATCATAGTATTCTCATAGAAAATCTCTACTCATGATGATGCAATCCTGAGAATTCTGGTCAATTTCTGAGAACTATCGTAACACTATGCATGATTTTGAATGATTGTGGTGATTACCGTGGATCAATCACCATTCGTTACTGTAACAATGATGGATGATACAGGACAACATCATATTCTATCGTCTTGTTTACAATTACCCTCTGGTTATTTAACATAGCCATGGAAAATGGCCCATTTATAGATGGTTTACCTATTAAAAATGGTGATTTTCCATGGCTATGTTAAATCACCAGATGGTATCCCCGTTTCATTTTGACTTTCCAAAAAAAGGGGGTCAGTACCTGGCACCATGGGTTGAACATCGAGAATTCCCCCATACTGCTCATCCTCATCCTTATTATGCACCGTCGTCATCATCAAGTAGTAATAGATAGTAATAGTATGTACTACATATACTACTCATAGTAGTATATATAGCGAGACTACTATTACTAACAATAATTATCATCATCAGCATCATAACGGCTTTTATCGTTCCAAAGTCTTTCTGTAAGCGCGGCGACTCGCAAAAAATCCGTCAAAGCGGTGAAGAACTCTTCCACCGCCAACCAAGCCGCGATAAAACTGGATGATATTCCCCCATTCTCCATTCATGTTTGTTTTGTCATATCCCCACATTTACAGGGCATCCTCATCGATGGTATTTTTGACCCTCTACAAAACTTGAAAGGTCAGATACACCATGTCTTGCTGCTGACTGCCGCATTCTCGTTGATTTTCCTGCAATATGGTCTTGATTGGGGGTCAGTACCTCCATTTCCAGACATGGCTAAAAATCCTTGTGCTTGCTTGTTGAATGTTGAAACTCTCATTTGCAGACGCACTCAAATCATATATGTTAGTATATCCCCATGAACACCTCACCAAATCCCTGTATATCCCCATGATATGTCCATTACATCCTTTATTTTTGGCCAGACCCATTTGATTCCCATCATCTCCCGATTTTTTCCCCAGTAAATCACCATCAAATCCCATTACCAGAAGAGTTACATGAAAAAATCCCATGAAATCATTAACATCCAATAAAATCCAATTAAGATTCGCATGAAATTCCCATGAAATCGTCATTTCATTTCTGCTTTCCCCCACAGGTGGCTTGCAAAAGATCCAGGAAGTCAAAGCCGAGGTGCAGAGAAAAAGAAGCCGAAGTGGTGAAGTTGGCGATGCTTTATGATGGGGATTTAACCATGAAATCCCCATGAAATCCCCATGAAATCACATCTCTCTGAGGTGGTGAATTTCATGGGAGATGTAATGATGGGGATTTCATGGGATTTGAATGGAGATGTTTGATGCGGATTTGAATGGCATGAAAAACTGGATTTTAATCTGAGACTGGGGATTTATTGGGGATTTGCCCTCTGGTGGCTATATAGTTGTATTTCTATATGATGCACATAGTGCAATATATATATATGTATTATAACTGTAAGAAATGGAATCAAATAGAGTCAACTGGAATGGAGAGGAATGCAATGCAAGGCAGTGCAGTGAAATGCATGTAATGTAAGGCAATGTCATGTCATGTCATGTCATGTCATTCATGTCATGTTACTTCATGGATGTTATTTGATGTGATTTGATTCGATGTCATATAATGTAAAACTGTAACACAATATGACAATACATGTACACATACTTATATGAATCGTATGTATCCCTACTTTGGTTGTAACTTCATGTCCATCGTTGAACATTTCCACTGTTGGCTCCACCAAATCCCTGTACCGCAGGTGGGATCAAAGTTGCACGACTACATCGAAGAGATCAACATGCTTTATCCTCCAGAGATTGTTCAGTGCCCCGGAAAAAGCCCTACGACGGCTTTGGCCGTTTGCCGAAAAATGATGCTTAGTAAGGCAGAAAGGGAAATCATGGAAGACCACATTTAGTGTCTTTCCGGCTTGGTTTTACTTTGCCCAACATGGTAGTTGGAAGCAGAAAATGGCTCTGGAATATGGTACATATGAACAGCTGCAGGTTTGATGGGAGATGGGAAAATCCGAAGATCAATCTCTTGAATTAAGGATCCATTTCCAAAGTCAGACAGCTCAAAGCAATGACTGCAACTTTAGGGGATGGGGATGTTGGAAAAGCCGATGAACTCGTGAAAACCAAGTCGAAGTATTGTCCACATAGTAGGCACACATATAAATACTATTCATATACTCTGAGGTAAAAGTAGATGGCTCAGAATCTTGAGTTGCGCCATCTATGTCAAAAAAAAAATGGGGGATAGATGGCTCAACTCCCTTTAAAACAGGGCAGTTGAGCCATCTATGTCCCTAAAAATGACATATTTTTTGCAATCTTCTGCGCTGGTTTCTCCCCATTTTTTTTCTCAACATCAAGCTGCTTTTTTGGGGCATAGATGGCGCAACTCCCGGGGTTGCGCCATCTATGTGGGCATTCCCAGCCTGATTTTGGCGAAATGACGGAAGTTATTTTGAGCCAGCAAAGGCCGAGACGCTTTAAAACCCAACTTTAACAAGTGACCCGAGGAACCGTTTTTGCCGTCAAGAAACGGTTCCTCAGGTCACCTGTTAAAATTTGGTTTTAAAGTGTCTCGACCTTTGCTGGCAAAATGACGGAAGTTGCGCCATCTATGTCCCAAAAAGGGACAACTCTGATGTCTTTCCTGGTGGTTTTGCCTTCTGCCTGGGGATAACTCTGATCGATGTGGCATATTTTGGTTAGGTTGGTTGACGGATGTCGGGAGATATGAGGGAGTTGCGCCATCTATGTGGGCATTCCCAGCCTGATTTTGGCGAACGAGTTGGAGTTGCGCCATCTATGCCCAAAAAGGCAGCTTGATGTTGAGAAAAAAAATGGGGGGAAACCAGCGCAGTGCAAATTTTCCACTTGGGTTCGCTCCGGAAAACGGACCCCACCAAGTGTCAAGTTTCCTTTGGCAAACTCAGGAAAAAAAATTGAACCCATCGAAAAAGAAATTTCGGGTGTTTGAATGGGGTTTAAGGGACATAGATGGTGCAACTCAGTTTCAAGGTATTGCAATGCAATTGTAAAAGTCTTTTTCAATATATTTTTGTCAAAATATGTTGAAAGATGAGATTTCTATCATTTCTATCCATAAAATTCTGTCCACAATGAGTTTTCAAACATTCAGTGGTTCATTTACAAGGTATTGCAATGAATTTTTTCGAAGATTTGACTGCGATTTAAGGGACATAGATGGCGCAACTCATTTTTGAACCCATCGAAAAAGAATTTTCGGGTGTTTGAATGGGGTTTAAGGGACATAGATGGCGCAACTCATTTTCAAGGTATTGCAATGCAATTGTAAAAGTTTTTTTCAATATATTTTTGTCAAAATATGTTGAAAGATGAGATTTCTATCATTTCTATCCATAAAATTCTGTTCATAATCAGTTTTAAAACATTCAGTGGTTCATTTACAAGGTATTGCAATGAATTTGTTCGAAGATTTGACTGCGATTTAAGGGACATAGATGGCGTAACTCATTTTTGAACCCATCGAAAAAGAATTTTCTGGCGTTTGAATGGGATTTAAGGGACATGGATGGCGCAACTCATTTTATACAATACAAATTCGTGCAATTTCACCGTATATACAAGCAAAAATGATAGGAAATGTAGTAAATTTAGTTAACAATACCCTTATATCCATCTACTGGAGTGGCAGTTGCGCCATCTACCTTTTCATTTTAAAGTAGGGCGATTTTTTCTTCAATTGGCGGACCTCGTTTTATGTTCCAGCTAAAATAGCGCCGTTTTCTTTCTCAATGCGCGGTGCCATCTTATGGGTATTTTGGTTTTTGAGTTGAGCCATCTACTTTTACCTTAGTGTATATTTAGGCATACTATTAGTATCCATAGGTATATAGTAGGTATAGTAGGCATTTTTATTTTTGGACATACTATAGTTGGTTGGCGGTTTGGAACATTTTTCCATATATTGGGAATAGTAATAACTGACTAATATTTTTCAGAGGGGTTGAAACCACCAACCAGATAGGTACTTGTAAATATGATATATTATATATATACACCTGACGTTTTCAGAGAAACTCGAGATTTGAATCTGGGGTAGCTAGCTGAGCTGTCTTCCCTGTCTTCCTGGTCTTGATGTGCCCAAGTTGGGAGTCGGAGTGTCATGGAAAACAGGAACTGTAGGATTTTCCATTGTTTTCAACTATAATTCCACTTTTGTCCAATCATGAGTTTGTATTTTGTTTACTGACTATACTGTTAAATCCAACAGGAATACTGTACTAACAAAATGTAAGAACAATCAGGTGATTTGAATTTCCCGTATGTACCTGTGGTTGGCTGTTCCAAATGTTCCTTCTGTTCCGTCCTACTCAACCTACAATAGATATCCAAACGATATCCATACACATCTATACGCTGGTTCAGCCCTTGTAGAGTAGGCTAGTCACTAGTCTATTATATATATATACTAACATTCCCAACCAACCATAAAGAAAGTTTGGTGAAGCCGAAGCCGATTCGACTCTCCACGCCAGGTACTACTCACCAAACTACGCCGAGACGCTGCTGAAGAAGATGGAGGTCTGTTAAGTCATGGGTGAACCGAAAGCTTGACGAAACCGAAACCTCCATATGTTTGTATGATCCTGCAATGTGAGGCCCCCAAGATAGCTAAGTTGGTGAACATAACTCCAATAACTATGGTTTATGGTACTTGTAACTATAGTTACTGGGGCTTTTGTTAACCAACTTATAACTGGGGGGCCTCACATTGTGGAGAAAATAACATGTGGGACAAATCACACATATTTACTCTTTAGTTTCTTTTGATAATATATTGATGTATATATACTATCTCCAGGATAACTACTGAATTGTACGGATATCTAAAACAAACCATATTTGTCTATATTTAGCGTATCAGCGAATACATATGCCCTTTGTACTTTGTATAATTTCTACACAATATTTCTAAGAAATATGTGTATTGGATATGTGTAGAAATCACTCAATATCTACTGGAAAAGTTTGTAAATATCATTAAATATCTATTGAAGAAATTTCTCAATTTCTGTTTTCTATCTCTTTGCCTTATAAGACATTTCATCTCTATTTTGTTAGACATTTTTTTCAGGTCATCCTCCAGAGTCATCCTGAACCAATTTCCACCGTCAGGACTTCAACCCATCCGGATGAGACCCAGGAGGTGGGGTCATTGGGCCCGGCCATGCCCGGCCGAAGCAATCGATGTTGGACGATGAATAGTAGCAGAATATATATATATATACCCTCTGGTAATTTAACATAGCTATTGAAAATGGCCCATCTATAGTGGATTTACCCATTGAAAATGGTGATTTCCCATAGTTATGTTAGTTTACCAGAGGGTATATAGGCATACTATTAGTATCCATAGGTATATTCGTAGGTATGATGATGATGATGATGATGATGATGATGAATCACCAAAGGATTTTGGAGTATCCCATTTTCAGACAACCCAGGAAATGATTTTGTTGCCTCCGGATTCAAGAAATATCATTGATTCTATTGTAAAACAACATTTATTGGGATTTGTTGTGAGATGAAATTGGACACTTGACTAACATTGTAACATGTTGCATAGAAACACGGCTGTTTCACAGGAAACTCATGAAGTCTAGTGACCACGGCCACGGACAAACAGCTGGCCGTGCAATGATTTTCTCATCCAAAAGGATGATTTTCCAGCAAACTGTCATTGCCAGAGGATAGGTATGCCGACCCTGGAGGAAGCCAATATCAATTAGACCATGGCCCATAGCCAAGAGCTAAAACGCCATGACGTTTGTTTGATGTTTGTAGGGGGATTAACCATCATTTATTTATCCATCACTTATAGGGTTTTGAAGCATCAAAAAGTGGGGATATATATATATTATACAATGATAAACTTGGTATATCTTGTTGAGAAAAGACATTTCTGGACAGCGACATGTTTCTCTTTGAGGGTTTCCATGTCAGGTTTTTTTTCGCCCTGTTGTGTGTGCGTGTTTGTCGCGTCAGGATCATTGCAAGGCGCCGCTCGCGGTTGGCTCGAAGCCGCCTGGTTATGGTGTCTATGGGCGGTTTAGCTAAGCAGGTACCCATTTTTACTGGACACAGACCGTTCACTGTAAAACGATAAGGAAGAAAAAAGAAGCGATGACCATATAAGTATAATACAATGTTTATGTTAACATACGAACGTATATTAACAATCATGTTACTGATACTGCATGGTGATTCGATATCCGCGTCAGAATGCAGCTGCTGATTCCCCTCTAGCAGTTGTACGAAGACTAGTGGGCGTCCCACTTGTCCCACGGATGGGGAGAATCTACGCAACACAAAACGATCCCAGTGATTACTCCGCCATGGAGATACCAATCCTCAATTGTGTTCAAAAGGTCAGACCCAAAGACAAAAAAAACGTTCTTGTCTTAGAGTCTTGGCGTAATGTGGCTACAGTAATTAGCTCCAAGAAGCGCTGTTGCTGCATGTGCATGAACCTCTTCAGGTCTGCTTGATTATGACGGAATGCCCAAAGCCTGTAGAACGATAAGGAAGAAAAACAACGATAAGGTTCAAACAGCAATGTAAAATTTATACGTTGTTCTTTTACTACCTCAGCTGGAGATGTCTTGGTTAATGTTGGCTATTTGTTGTTTGATGTTGGCTATATATTTTTTGTTTTACATTGTTGGATGGCAAACAGCATCCAAGGTATGTATTACCGTCATTGTTTTTTTGTTGTTTCAACTGCGAGTTGTTATGTTTTTGTCTACTGCGTAAAACGTGTTCAGATAGTATATCCTGGCAACAACAATGGGCAGATACTTTATATCACTATTATCAAGATAGAATGCTATTGACGATATGCCCCAGTTGAGATATAGAACACATGGGGAGTAATCAGTAAAAATTGGGACGACTTAATTATCTGTCAACCCTGGATGAATTTCATGTACCCGGTAAAGCACTGGTGGAAATCCCAGCGGTGCTAATCCTGGCTGGAGTTTTTGGCCGTTGGAAGACACAATGCTAATCATGAGCTAATATATGGATTGTATATGGATCCATATACTAATGAGCTAATAACATATCATATCCATGTATTATTAGTACAGGACAGTTCTCCTAATGGTTAAATATCGTTGATCTATTGCCATTGTTGATGGTGTCAACTTGATCCAAGCTTTGGCCTTGAAGAATCCATGCTGGTACTGGATTAGTGGTACAGGACTCGGAGCTGCAAATAATGCCATGGTCCATGGTGAACTCATGGAGTGGTGTGATCTGACGACGGGGGGGGCGAATTGCCACTGGCCTTGGCCAAGGTTCAAAACTCGAACCTGAGAGCCAGAAAAGAGACCCTGAGAGCCGGCTGAATGGATGGGCAGAAATGGGAGCATCGCTATCCGTAGCTGAGCTGCGATGGAACTGTCACAGGTTTTGGACAGCGACCTAGCACCAAGCGCTACAAATCATGAATAGCGAGGAAGTATATAAAGTGTGCCTATATATTATATATGTCCTTTTCCCAGTGGGTGATTAATAGAAGGAGAGACCGATAGGTAAGTCACCTCTTGAGTTGCTTGGCCGTGCCAGACGCAGTGGATCGTGCAACGTCTTTCCTTAAAAGCATCAATCCATCCAATAATTTTGGGACAAATATTGAATATGAATATGAATATGGAATCGAACCAAACATAAATTTGACTATAAGATGGCATATTGGTGCAATGAGTTAGCAAAATTCTCACAGCATGTTCTGCCAACAATTGCACCTCGCCAGTTTCGAGGGACAAAAACACACAAAATCTGCATGCCACGTGACAGTTGGCTCCAAACCGCTGCCTGCCTTTTTCACCCAACCGTTTTGCACCGCCAACGGTGCATGGGTTGTGACCATGGAACGGCGGAGGTTTGTTCTTAGGCCTGGCCATTGGAAGATGGCTAGTGAAGTTGATCTTCGACCTGCAAACAAACATGTTTTACAATATCGATTTATGACAGTATGGTGTTTGAGAATGTTTGAAACCAACATGTTTAACATGTTTTTTTGTTTGTATAAGCATCATATATTCGAACAACTTTGGACCATTCTGCGGAGTTGCTGGGAGCTTGGTGCCCAGATTGCTCAAGCGTTGGTAGATGTCAAGGGTTTGAATCCTTGTTGAAGATCATCAAGCCTAAGGCGGGTGATAGTCATGTTAAAAGAAATATGTGTCATAGTCAAAACGGGGATTCGGAAACCTATATTGGGGGATGGTTAGCAATGGACTAATATGGTTTTTATACAACCATTGTAAGGATTTCTATTGTAGGATGGATGACCATAAACATCATAAACCAGATATATACCATCTCTTGACCATTGCACAAATCCTCCCAACTATAATATAGTCTATAACCATATATATATATATAAACCAGATATATAACTATCTCTTAACCAGATATAAACCAGATATATACCGTCTCATCAGATCTAGAGTGTTACTTACACATGGCTAGTGTGATGTGCAACCCATGCACGAGCTGTCAGCATGCTGGACTGACAGTGTAGCACCTTGCTCGACCGACCAAAACATGTGCAGAGTGTGTTACACAGGAAGTGTTCTGAATATCGGTGATTTTCCATTGCTAGGTTTGTTGTATCAGAGGGTAGTCTTTCCAAGAACTGCTGGGATTTTGCCAAGTTTCATTTTGGGCTTTTCACATGCCCACAAAAAGGGTTCAAACTTTTCAAACCATGCATAGAATAGAAAACACCCAAGTCAAGTGTTTGTTTTGTCATGGCTAGAAAGTGGCGCTTCATCATGCTCCACCACTATACACCTGTCTTTTCTTGGGAACTCTTAAATCTTAGGATTTTGAACAGTTTTGGAGTTGCTTGTCTTCTTGGCTGTTTCTTGATGCTTCCCAACAATCAGAGTTCAGCTTACCAGTTTGGACGTTGGACGATTCCTACAGGATGGGGCCATTTATAAGTAGCTGAATTCTATGGTTTATGGTAGATCTAGTTATAGTTAATCGGGATTAATTCATGGTTTATAAAGCAAGAAACATAACTGGGGGGCCCCAGTTGTGTAGTTGTTTCAACGATCCCAAGTAACATTTCATGACTTTTGATGAATCTTTCACCGGGGTTGAGTTTTTTCAGACCCTCCTTGGGTTTGGACTTGCTCAAACGGCAGAGATATACTGTAGTAATCCCAAAAAAGATAGACTCTTTGAATCCTACTTAAATATATAATAGTGATTAGTGCTTAATTAAGCTTAATTGCTTTTCCATCGTTTTGGGGGTTGCTGTATGCAACCAAAATCAGATTCGATGCTAAGAACAATATGACTGACTTGGTGAAATGCCAAGGATTGCGCATGCTCCGTGCGTTTTTCATGCCACTTCCAGCTCAAGTCAGCCATAGCCAACCTAGGCCATGGCATGGAAGAGCAGCTTGAAAAAGACATTGCCAAATTCCAGAGCTTTGAGATTGTTGCTACATGACATTGCCTGGATAAGAAAAGAAAAACATGAAGAAGATAGGTGCCAAATCTTCCGCTGGATGAGAGAGAATACACGAAAGCACTTATGCAGAATTATCCGCTTTTGAACACTGGGAACACATTCTCAGGCTCAACCACTAGTGCACTATCTCCACACTGTCCCTCCATCATCACCTTCGAAGTTAGGCCTTGAGCTTCAACAGTCCCTCCACCAACAGATGGTTTACCACCTTAGATCGCTTTTGACCAAGCATAGATATTCATATTATACATGGGATACACAACTTACACACCCCACTCCCCCATCCAACCCCCAACCCCTGCACCTCGGTGCCATGTCGATCTTCAAAGACTTGTTGGATCCGCAGCACCGGCGCAGGCGCCTGAGACACCCCGTGGAATACACCGATGTCGAGGCAGCGGAAGCCTTACAGCCTCAGAAGGAGCTGGCGGTGCTGCTGCGGGAGGTGTCAGGTGGGGACGGGGTGGAGCCGGGTGGAGGTGAAACGATGGATTGAAGCGACGAACCATGGAGATTTCTTTGGGAAAAAGAGGAGTTACCCGGCCTGGTAAACGTTTACAGTTTGCGAACTTGAAAATAGCCATTGAGTTCGTGGATTTACCCATTAAAATGGTGATTTTCCATAGTTATGTTAGTTTACCAGAGGAGGTAGGACAATTGAGATTGGAATTGGGAGGGTCATGGGTAAGTCACAGCAACCTCAGCATCAAGGTTCCCAGTCCAACATGAAGCACTATAAAACAAAACGCCATTGTACTGTAAATGTAGAAACGGGGTGGTTTGATCATTCTGTGTAGGCAAACATGAAAAAAGCACATGCTGAAATGGAGAGGAATTGTGTTTTTCAATCGATCAGAAATGAATCAGCTGATTGTTCTCATTAACTATGGTTTTTATCAACTGGTAATCAATTAATCAGTTAATCTTAGTTAATCAGTTAAATGAATCAGATTCCTCTGGTTTTATATGACAGTTCGACGTTGACAAATTTCACCCCCCCAAGTGCCATGAGTTCATCCATGTTCATCCTCTCCAGGAACCCATAAATTAACACCAAAAAACACGGTTGATCATGTAATTGATGGGTTAAGATGAAACAAAACACATATATATATATTATATAACCCATCTTAATTGCACCTGTAGAACCCATTCATGGTCGTTTCTTTGCACTTCTTTACCACTGCTAAATATTTTCGCTGCTCCAGTGGTGGATTAATCCCCGAGTGCGAAAACCGAGAACCGGGCGCTCGTCTGGATCTGTCAAATCCCCATCCCAAGAACAGTTAAGTGGTGGTTTAATGTGGTTTAAAGTGGTTTACTATTGTTGTATATAGGCTTGGAGTTAAGTATTATACCTAGTAATACTTAACTCCAAAGCTATTCTATTCTTGGTATTACATTACAGTCACGACAATAGTAGCTCATAGCCATTCCCATTCATATTCCCAGTAATTTCTTTTGCCCATCCAACCAAGCATACCAACTTCCCTAAATCTAGGTCGCCACCATTATCAGGGTTCGCCCGGTCCGGTCCGGGTCGGGTGCGCGTGTGCGGGTCGGGTCCGGTCCGGGCCGAGTTCTGGACCGGGTCCTTGCCTTGTCCCCTTTTAGCAACCCAGGAAGCAGCAGAAAGAACCAAGCAGCCACCAAAGCAAGCAGCAGCCCCAGGAGAAGCTCAGCAGCAGCAGAAGCAGCCAAGCAGCACCTTCAACTTTCTACAATCTTCCCCCAGCCTGGGGTCAGGCAAAAGGCCCCCACAACCCCCGAATAGCTTAATCTCGGGAATTTGCAACTTTTGGGGGTTGTGGTTGGCAGCTGTGGTCTAGGGGGTACACTGGGTTTTGGTTCCTCATCCACCTGCTTATAGATGTAATTACTTATTTCATGCGCGTCCAGAACACAAGATAGAAGGTTCCCACAATCCCCGAATAGCTAAATCTCGGGAATTTGCAACTTTTGGGGGTTGTGGTTGGCAGCTGTGGTCTAGGGGGTACAGCAGGTTTGGTTCCTTTTCGGCAGCTATGGTCTAGGGGGCACACTGGGGTTGGTTCCTCTCTCACATGCTTTTAGATGGATTTATTGCATGCGCGTCCAGAACACAGGTAGAAGTCCCCGAAAATCTAAATCTCGGGATTTTTCAACTTTTGGCGGTTGTGGCCTTGCCCCCTTGTGCAACCCAGCAAAGCTACGCAGCAGCCCAGCCACCAAAGCAACCCAGGAACCCACCAAAGCCAGCAGAAGTACCCCAGGAGAAGCCCAGCAGCAACAGAAGCAGACAACCAGCACCCTCAACGGTCTACATTCCTTCCCCACCCCCTTATCAGGTATATCGAAAGTTCCCACAACCCCCGAATAGCTAAATCTCGGGAATTTGCAGCTTTTGGGGGTTGTGGTTGGCAGCTGTGGCCTAGGTACCCACAACCCCCGAATAGCTAAATCTCGGGAATATGCGGCTTTTGGGGGTTGTGGTTGGCAGCTGTGGCCTAGGTTCCCACAACCCCTGAATAGCTAAATCTCGGGAATTTGCAGCTTTTGGGGGTTGTGGTTGGCAGCTGTGGCCTAGGTACCCACAACCCCCGAATAGCTAAATCTCGGGAATTTGCAGCTTTTGGGGGTTGTGGTGACGGAAAGCGTTTCCAACGCTTGGAAGTTTTTCCGGTAGGTGAAAAGGGGGGGGTGGGGGGGGGGCGGTACAGATTTGCAGATTTTGGGGTTCCAAATGGGTGTTGAGGAGGTGCAAAAAACACTGTAAATTACAGTAAAATTTGCTCTTTGGGGAGAATTGCAAGGAGTCAAGTTGCTGCAAAAAGTGCGTTTTACCTGCACGAGAGCCAAATTTTGTCGTTTTTGTTGTTTCGAGGGAGGTGGGCCTAAAACGTGCTATGTGTAAAAAACACTGCAAATACCGTGAAAAACTGGCTTCTTTGCACTTTGATGTCCTTTCTTCGTTCTACATAGTCCCACGACGGCGCAACATAGGCCCAAGACGACCCAACAAAACCCAACATGGTCCCAACATAGTCCCAGGATGGCCTGATAGGCCAACAGAGAGCCAAGATGGCGCAACATTGACCTCAGCAACACCCAACATAGTCCCAAGATGGGCCAACATAGGCCCAAGACGTCCCAAGATGGTCCAACGTAAAAAGAAAAAAAGTAAACGTAGGCCCGAAGCAACCCGGGGGAGGCAACATAGTCCCAAGATGGGCCAAAGACAACCCAACGAAACCCAGCATAGGCCCAAGACAACTCAACAAAACCAAACATAGTCCCAACGAAAATAAAGTGAACTTAGGCCCACACAACCAACAGTAGCTGCAACAAATCAGTTTTTATGTGCGTTTGGCTGTATTAGTTTTCCTCCTCTAGAAAAGGGGCTGCTGGGGAAGGACGGTGTAGGTGAGTGCGAGGGCCCGGTTTGACGACTATTTGGCCGCTGCATCCACTTGGTTCAGAAATAAAGTGACCGTAGCAACCCAACAGGAGCTGCAACAAATAAGTTTTCACGTGCGTTTGGCTATAGTAGTTTTCCTCCGGTGTAGGTGATGGGGGGGGCGGTACAGATGACGGAAAGCGTTTCAAACGCTTGGAAGTTTGCTGGTAGGTGAAAAGGGGGGGGGGGGGGGGGACAGATTTGCAGATTTTGGGGTTCCAAATGGGTGTTGAGGAGGTGCAAAAAACACTGTAAATTACAGTAAAATTTGCTCTTTGGGGAGAATTACAAGGAGGCAAGTTGCTGCAAAAAGTGCGTTTTACCTGCACGAGGTTTTACCTGCACGAGAGCCAAATTTTGTCGTTTTTGTTGTTTCGAGGGAGGTGGGCCTAAAACGTGCTATGTGTAAAAAACACTGCAAATACCGTGAAAAGCTGGCTTCTTTGCACTTTGATGTCCTTTCTTCGTTCTACATAATCCCAAGATGGCGCAACATAGCCCCAAGATAGGCCAACACAGAGCCAAGATGTCCCAACATAGAACCCAGGAACGCCCAACATAGTCCCAAGATGGGCCAACATAGGCCCAAGACGACCCAACAAAACCCAACATAGTCCCAACATAGTCCCAAGATGGCCCCAAGATAGGCCAACACAGAGCCAAGATGGCCCAACATTGAACTCAGGAACGCCCAACATAATCCCAAGATGGGCCAACATAGGCCCAAGACGACCCAACGAACCCCAAGATAGTCCCAAGATAGTCCCAAGATGGTCCAACATAAACTTAAAATAAAGTGAACATAGGCCCGAAGCAACCCCGTGGAGGCAACATAGTCCCAAGATGGGCCAAAGACAACCCAACATAGGCCCAAGACAACTCAGCAAGACCCAACCTAGTCCCAACATAGTCCCAAGATGGGCCAACATAGACCCAAAATAAAGTGAACATAGACCCAAAGCACCCAACAGTAGCTGCAACAAATAAGTTTTCACGTGCGTTTGGCTATATTAGTTTTCCTCCTCTTGAAAAGGGGGGAGTGGGGGAGGACGGTGTAGGTTGCCACGCATGTGGTTGTGCGGGCCCCAGATGCGGACATGTTGGGGCTACTGATGGGACATGGTGCAAGCTTGCTGCTTGAAAACCACCAGGGACAGTGCTGGTTTTCTTTAGCAGATCTCTGTCAGTTCGCACCTTTCGCTGTGGATTCGGCTTGTAAACAATCACCTGGGGCCATGTTCTGCGCCGTCATCTCAAACCTATTGCGGCTTTTGGATTGTATAGGCAGCTGGGGGCAACGTGTAGAAGGTTGCATCTTGAAGCAGACTGTTTGTTGCCTGTTGGGCGTACACAAGATGTGCAAGGTGGAGCAGAGCCCGTGCTGCAAAAGGATCCAGAAGTTTGGCTGCAAATTTGTCACAACCGGGCCACGGCTCTCACCAGGCGCTGGGAAGCTTCACTCTCCAAGCCGAAGACCGAGCAAGAGCTCATCAATGCTGGGATGTCGGTTGAGCAGGCTCGGTACTATTTGACTTCTTACAAAAGAAGCGAAGGCCAAACAAACTTGGCTACGTAACTGTGATGTGGCCATGCCGCCCATGATACGGCAAACCTTTGGCGTCAGGAACACTGAGAGGCGCGGAGTGCGCATCCCACTCCCCCCCGCTCACGCGACCAGCTGCAATGCTCCCAGCGGCTTACACAGTGCTTGAACAGTCTCCTCAATTTGATTGGCTTGAGATTTGTCATCCGCACGAGCGGGACAGGCGCATCCGCTTCATGTCGGATGGACACAAGTATTTTGATGTATTTTGTGGGTGATGAGCCTGTCGACGTGTCCGTAACTGGACTTGTTGGGAGTTATGCAGAGGACTGCCTGGTGTTTTTCCCAAATGCTATGTCGGGTTGCTGAAAATTGTTGTGTAGTTCTGTTGAAAATGCGGTTGTTTAGAGGCAAAGCTGCAAATCGACAGTCACAAGTTCGGAGACCTGTTCGCGAGGAGTTTGATGCAGACCTGGCCATCCAGAAGATGATGCCAGCGGGCACTGGCCGCGGAGGGAATACATGCGAGGAGCTTCCGTCATGTCGCCTTCGGAAAACAAAACTCACTGGTCGGCTTCCGCAGAAGTGGCTGCGCGCCGAGGAACATGGACACACCTTCAATGCAAATGTGTTCTCAACGGCGGCAGCGTCGACGGAGTGTGTCCTGAATTGGCTTTACTTGCAATTTTTCTTGGCCGCACAAAGCCCCACTCCTTGCATTTCGCACCGAGTGGTGCATCTGGGCGACAAAGGAAAAAGTGGCAGGCTGCATCGATTTTGCCGCCATCGACGAGAAAGGCCACCTAGTGTTTCTTGGCTTGCAAGCCCAAGTGTCAAATACCACGCGGAGTGCGGGGGCCCGGTTTGACTAATGCTTGGCCGCTGCATCCACTTGGTTAAGAGTTCATGCACTCACAGTACGAGCAACAAAGCAACAAACGGAACATACAAGCATATTGCGAGACGCACCGCAAAGAACAGCATCAACAACATCAACAACCTCAACAGCACAACAACCTCTAAGACAACGAGAACAGAAACAGGAACAACCAGAAGCACAACAAGAACACCAGCAAGAACAAGATTGGCACCAACATAGTCCCAAGATGGGCCAACGTAAACCCAAAATATAGTGAACGTAGGCCCAAAGCAACCCAACAGTAGCTGCAACAAATAAGTTTCACGTGCGTTTGGCTATATTGGTTTTCCTCCTTTAGAAAAGGGGGGAATGGGGGAGGACGGTTTAGGTGAGTGCGGGGGCCCGGTTTGACGAGTGTTGGGCCGCTGCATCCACTTGGTTCAGAGTTCAAACATAAACCCAAAATACAGTGAACGTAGGTCCAAAGCAACCCAACAGTAGCTGCAACAAATAAGTTTTCACGTGCGTTTGGCTATATTCGTTTTCCTCCTCTAGAAAGGGGGGGCGTGGGGGAGGACGGTGTAGGTTAGTGCGGGGGCCCGGTTTGACGAGTGTTTGGCCGCTGCATCCACTTGCAAAGAACAGCACCAAGAACATCAACAACCTCAACAGCACAACAACCTCTAAGACAACGAGAACAGAAACAAGAACAACCAGAAGCACAACAAGAACACCAGCAAGAACAAGATTGGCAAATAGCTGCGTCACGGGGAGCGGCATTTGACCCAACAAAACCCAACATAGTCCCAACATAGTTCCAAGATGGTCCAACATAAACCCAAAATAAAGTGAACATAGGCCCGAAGCAACCCCGGGGGGGGCAACATAGTCCCAAGATGGGCCAAAGACAACCCAACCAAACCCAACATAGGCCCAAGACAACTCAGCAAGACCCAACCTAGTCCCAACATAGTCCCAAGATGGGCCAACATAGACCCAAAGCAACCCAACAGTAGCTGCAACAAATAAGTTTTCACGTGCGTTTGGCTATGTTAGTTTTCCTCCTCTAGAAAAGGGGGGAGTGGGGGAGGACGGTGTAGGTGAGTGCGGGTGCCCGGTTTGACGAATGTTTGGCCGCTGCATCCACTTGGTTAAGAGTTCATGCACTCGCAACGACATTAAGACAGTACGAGCAACAAAGCAACAAACGCAACATACTAGCATATTGCGAGACGCACCGCAAAGAACAGCACCAAGAACATCAACAACCTCAACAGCACAACAACCTCTAAGACAACGAGAACCGAAACAAGAACAACCAGAAGCACAACACGAACACCAGCAAGAACAAGATTGGCAAATAGCAGCGTCACGGTCACATCTACTCAAATTATAGATCACCATTGTGTTGCATACAATACACTATACACTACTGCTACCTCCAATCAACTCCTCATACGCACTATATAGATACACCTTTGGCATCCAGCACATGCTGCTTCCAGCGTCGTCTCACCACTTCCAACAGTTCCCGCGCCATCGAAAAACAACATGGTGCCAATGCATGTCACATACTGACACGCTTTCCGTTTTTTTTCCGAACTGGTTGGCAGCTGTGGTCTAGGTTCCCACAACCCCCCAATAGCTAAATCTCGGGAATTTGCAGCTTTTGGGGGTTGTGGTTGGCAGCTGTGGTCTAGGTCCCCACAACCCCTGAATAGAATTTTCAGCTTTTGGGAATGTGGTTGCTTTTGTCTAAGTTCCCACAACCCCTGAATAGCTAAATCTCGAAATTTGCAACTTTTGGGGGCTGTGGTTGGCAGCTGTGGTCTAGGTTTTCACAACCCCGGAATAGCTAAATCTCGGGAATTTGCAGCTTTGGGTGGTTGTGGTTGGCAGCTATGGTCTAGGGTCCCACAACCCCCGAATAGCTAAATCTCGAGAATTGGTAACTTTTGGGGGTTGTGGTTGGCAGCTGTCTAGGTTCCGACAACCCCCGAATAGCTAAACTTCGGGAATTTGCAGCTTTTGGGGGTTGTGGTTGGCAGCTGTGGTCTAGGTTCCCACAACCCCCGAATAGCTAAATCTCGGGAATTTGCAGCTTTTGGGGGTTGTGGTTGGCAGCTATGGTCTATGGTCTAAGTTCCCACAACCCCCGAATAGCTAAATCTCGGGAATTTGCAGCTTTTGGAAGCTATGGTGCCCACAACCCCCGAATAGCTTTTGGGGGTTGTGGTTGGCAGCTGTGGCTTTTGGGGGTTGTGGTTGGCAGCTGTGGCCTAGGTTCCCACAACCCCCGAATAGCTAAATCTCGGGAATTTGCAGCTTTTGGGGGTTGTGGTTGGCAGCTATGGTCTATAGTCTAAGTTCCCACAACTCCCGAATAGCTAAATCTCGGGAATTTGCAGCTTTTGGGGGTTGTGGTTGGCAGCTGTGGTCTAGGTTCCCACAACCCCCGATAGCTAAACCTCAGTGATTGTTGAAAGCCGCAACCCCGGCAAAGGATGATGACCGGCATGCTTTTCATTTTTGAGAGTTGTGTTTGGATTCCTTTGTGCGATCTATCAGAGCCCATTTTGGCTTCTCGGTGTCTTGGTTTCCCTTCCTTTCTTGAGCGCAATGACTCGCTCAGCTGGCTTGCCTCAGCGTGGCCACCTTTGCAGCTTTCATTTGTTCATGAAGGAGATCAAGAAAGGCCCAAAGGATGCTTCGGTTGAGTGGAAAGCACTTGGTGATGAGGCCTTTGTTTGGCTTGTGTTTGGGGCAGATATCATGGCAGATATTTTTAAGGCCGCTTAGCCTCATTCTTGCATGTGCAAAAACATGCAGTGACTTTTGGGCAGCCAAGGCTTAGGGAATCAAACCTTCGGCTTTTGGGTGCTGAGCCATGGATGGTCCTGATAAGATCCGGGAATCCGAACAGTTGGATGCTATTTTCTTCCAGCTAGACCATTTGGAATATGCCGTTCCTTTCTGTATATAAATATATTTCATGACAGTTTTAACAGGCGTGGCATCGGCAGAAATTGAAGAGGCACATCACATCATCACATCCGCCACCTTCGTCAAGATGTCCCTGCATTTGTGGAACCGTTGCAGGCCTTCACATCGAGCCGCCTAAGCCAGCTGAAGCTTCAAGGTCCTGAGCTTCCGGATATTCCTATGGAGCCATTCCCAGATAAGTTTGTCTTGTATGACTCGGATGCCTTGACCAAGCTGGGATGCTCTTCTGCCATTCAATACCATCGCACGGCTGCCTTTGAAGTCTTTCCAGATGAGCGTGGCGGCGTATGGTACTGTATGCGCCAAAATTTGGCTACATATTGCAAGGAAGCAAGCAAGTGGAAAGCCACCCCGGACAACCAAGTTCGAAAGCCTACGCCGGGACTGACACAGAAGCTTCGGGCACTTTTCACGGCCAGAGATGACCCGTCTCTTTTTGTTCCCCTTGTATCCAGCGGTTGTGCGATAGACGGCTCCATTGATTTGGAATCCTTGCGGCGTCTCCTTTCTCGCCATGTCCTTGTCCTGCATGGATCTGTCGCCGAACAATTCTGGCATGTTCAAGCAAGTGATGGGTGTGCGCCTGCTTACCTGCAGGTTGCTTGTTTCGGTTGTGCCACTTTTGCTATTCATGGCTCCTGCGGGCACATTCATGCAGCCTGATTGCATAGCGGGCAAATCTGCATGGCCCAGGCAGAGCTACCTACATTCGGCAAAAAAAAGCACAAGAGACAGCAACTGCCAGCCATCCTCCAGCCAACTCAGAAACGTCCCCGTTGTACTGCATCCGCTTCAGAGCGAGCTTCTTCCTCCACTCCATCAGACGGACTGAAATCTATTCTCTCAAAGCTTGGTTTTGTGTCTTTTTGGCCTTTGTTTGTCAGGGAGCAAGTGAACGTCTCCATTGTTGCTTCGTGGGACCTGGCGGCCATGAAAGCATATTTCCCGGACATACCAGATCTTATAAAACCATGCTTTCTGGTGCGGTCTTGGATATTATGTCTAAGGGGTGCGACATCTAGATGGATAGATTCCCACCAAACCTTTCAGAGGCTATGGAACTCTACTCTAAAGAATTCCATAGTTTACGCAGAGAATTTCATATAAATAAATAAATAAATATAAATTAGGGCCCGGTATGGCCTCTTTATCAGCTAGTTTCTGACGTATACACTTTGGAATTTCAGAACCTATAAGTATATCAGCTGAAACTATATAGAAACTATATTGAAATTTCAGAAACTATATTGTGAAAAATCTTGCCAATGTTGTCTGGATACTCACATGTCACTTGTCACACAGTGTATAAAACAATATTTGAATAATATATTCAGTAAATAAATAACATAATTATTGAAAAAAAAACGGTCTTCCAAGTCTAGCCTTCGGGCCATTGAATTTTGATTCATTCATCTCCTTCTGAATATCACAAGCCAATTCGGAAAATCAATGGGGCGTAAAACAAATTGAAGCCACATATACATCATCACCTGGTGTCATGACACACTATTATTTGGACCACAGACACATAAAGCCAACCTGCTTCTGTCGGTTGAGGTGTGATAAGTGATATTTGACATGTCGTGTCATGTCACCTTGTCATATGCCATATCAGAGCCATATATCATATCATGAATCATATCATGTTGTTCATGTTATATCATATCATAATCATGTGACAAATGAGTCAGTCGTATCAATGTTAAAGATAGGTTAGAGTTTAAAGACTATAGATAACTATGACTATTGTTCTAACTACGACTATAACTATATAGTTATATATAACAGTCTTTGATGTGATTTGTGACCTATGGTCCATATTCTATGATATATGATTCTTTGATACGATGAAATGATATGACGTATGATTCTATTGTTTATTAAATGTTGTTCTTTGGGATTGCCTGATGTTGCAGTTTGTAGGCCTTGCGCGACTGTATGATGTGTGTTCAGTGCTTATGTTGATTCATGTCCATTCATAGGTTCATGTCAATTTCGGGGTTTGTGAAAAATAAACGAGTTTCTGGACACATGAGATGGGGTATCGCATTCGGGCCAAGATGTAAATCACTTCCATCTGGAATGTGCAGATATTTACTCAGCAACATTCTAAATCTTGACCCTGGAAACCTTAACCCTTCAGCCAATATAAATAAATAAATAAATAAATAAATATATATATATATATGTGTGTGTGCGTTGTTTCATGGCATTGGCCCAGCCCACCGCCCCTGATGAGCGGTTTGGTTTCGATGAAACCTAGCAAGTTTCACAAGCCCCCTGATTCTACACAGCCCCAGGGTTTCAGCATAGATCATGGCAGTTTCATTATATTCCTGTGATTCCTGTATGTTGCATGTTTTCTGATTTCTATTGAAACGAGGCTCCCAGAGACGGTCTCAGACGGTCTGAGACGGTCTCCAGCTCTCCTTCAGCCTTAAAGCCTAGCTTTATGAGATTTTCTGCGAGCCGCAGACTGGAAAGCATCATATTTTGGTTTCCTGCTTTAATCCTCACTTAATCCTCAGTTTGGAACTTCACCCAATCCTCATTCCTCATTTTTCCGGAACCTCACCAAATCCTCATTCCTCATTTAGTCCTGATTTTGGAATCTCACCAAATCCTGATTCTTCATTTAATCCTCAGTCTGGAACCTCACCAATCCTCGTTCTCTCACCAAATCTTAGTCCCTCATTGAATCCTCCCTCATTGAATTCTCTTGCCTAGAATCTCACCAAATCCCCATCCCTCATTTAATCTTCATTCTAGAACCCCATGAAATCGTCATTCCTCAATTGATTAATCTTCTTTCTTGAACCTCATGTAACATCCTCATCATGTATGCTTCACTATCCTCATTTCTCATTGAATCTGGATTCTGAAATTTCAAAACGCCATCACGCATTCCGTATGAATTTTGATTGTAAGTATTCACAATATATTCTATATATCATATTTCTCATGATTTTATGATTTACATCATGTTTTTAAATTTTAACATCAAAAAATATGATGACCCATGGTAGCAAAAAAAATGTGTGCTGAAACCGTCGAGACCGTTTCCTACTGTAAAAGTCATTAGGGTCAGAAACCGTCGCGACCGTTTCACACTAAACCATCCAAAAAAGTCGAAAAAACGGATATAGTCTGAGACCGTCTGAGACCGTCTGAGACCGTGAAAAAGGCCCCGACATGTTATAGTATGAAACCGTCGAGACCGTTTCAGACTATCCCAAATCGTACTATCATGATACAGTCGGAAACCGTCAAAACCGTTTCTACAAACACCATTTTCGTGACATTGATAATACATACATACATACATACATATATATATATATTGTTTTTTCATTGTTTTTCACATTGTTTTCGGGGTGTGCATTGCAGTCACGAATCATGAATCATGAATGTGAATTTGATTTTATGCCTATGTTTAATTATACTATTTGTAACCTTTCACAATCATCACCATCCCATACCATACTATGAAAACAACATGATTATAATATGATCTCTTAATACAAGTGGCCTATTTTCCCCCTGAAATCTCCATATAGTTTCTATATAGTTTCTATAAAATTCCATATGGTTCCCATATAGTCTCAACTGCCAAAAATGCCCACAGACAAAGAGACCACACTTGGTTACAAAATATAAATATAAATATATATATATATATGTTATGCCATAAGGAGTTCCGCAGTCCAAGACACGACAACCCCTTGTAGGCCCAAACTGTGTTATTGCTGGAATTTGGGGTCTGTTGTTGTTTAAAGACAAAAAATTGGAATGGGGTAAAGCCTGTTATTGCCATATTCCGGGGAAGAATATTCCATCTCTTTGCTATTTTAAATGGAGAGTCCCGGGTTTTGACTCCTAGCCAAGGCAAGTCAGAATATCATATTCTCAAACTATGTGGTTGGCAACGTGCATATATATATATATGATTACAATTATAATGAAAATGTTAAAAAATAATATGCAAAATACCCTTCAAAACATATATATATATATGTATATCTATGCTGTGTAAGGGCACCTAAAGTCAAAGAAGTGACAACCACTTAACGGCCGAAACTGTGTTATTGCTGAGATTTTGGGGCTGTGGCTTTTCCAAGGCTCATAAATTGTGGATGGGGCAAGCCTATGATTTTCGTATGCTGGGGAATAAGATTGCGGTACTTAGCTATTAGGAATATCATAGTTTCAAACTATGCGGTTGGCAACAGGCATTTATATGTATGATTATAATGATAATGCTAAAACCCTCGAAATGATATAAATAAAACCCTTCAATACATAATATATATATATATATATGTGTGTGTGTGTGTGAAAGCGCGCCTGAATTCAAAGAAGTGACAACCCCTTACCGGCCGAAACTGTGTTATTGCTGAGATTTTGGGGCTGTGGTTCCCAGAGATAAACAAATTGTGGATGGGGCTAAACTTGTACTTGTTCATTGAGGGGAATCCTTTTGCCTGATTTCGGGGTACCACACGGCTAGTCCAGGTGCAGATCAGTTAGGTTTTTATTTGCTTTTGGTTGGTTATTTAAAAAAAGTACACTGTTTCACCATTTGTTTCCCTTGATCGCTCCTAGTGGGCAAGGTTTCAAAAGTCGGCGTGGGCTAGGACCTCCCCCGTGTAGAGGACTAAGCATCCAGCGGAGGTCGGAGGTCCGGTCAAGGCGTGCATTGGATATAGGTATGTGGAAGAGCTTTTTATGTGGAAGATTATTTAACTTGAGTTTTCCCAACTAGTTTTCCGAGCTAGTTGCAGGGCAGGCAAGTCTACAAAGACAAAGCCAAAGAAGCCAACGCAGCCACGTTAGCTGAGAGTACACCGAAGGTTGTGTCGCGGGACTGGACTGAAGAGGTGGGCGATGAATGTTTGCTGCGGTGGAGCTTTCCTGAATTCAAAAGTTTTAGATAGCCTGATTGGTAGTTGCATGGGTACTGAGTTTGATCCTATGAACCTCATGGGAACCTCATGGGCACCTGATAGGAACCTCCTAGGAAATAGGAATCCAATAGGAACTTGATAGTAACGCGATAGGGACTGATAGGAACCTTATAGGGATTTCATAGGAACCTCATAGACACCCGATAGGAACTCTGTTTTGGTTCGACCGCCCGTCCACGGTAGGCCATTGTTTATACACTTCAAGCAGAAGGATGGCTCGCGCGCAGCGCCGATGGAAGTGCTCAAGAAGACCGAAGGGGGATTTGATTTAGCAGCCGCAGAGCATGTACTTTGTTGGCATATAAATTGCACTCCAGATCGTGAATGCTTTGCATTTCAAGGGAAATGTTGCTCCATTTGCTGTGGAAACGCATGCATCAGCATTTTCTTTCCTATTGTTTTTCCTCCTTTTTGCTGAGGTTCAAATCTTCTGCATCGACTGCAAGACAATTTTCCGTTTGTGCCAGAAACCTTTCGAATGCTGCCCTAGGCCCTACGTGCCGCCGCAGCGTGCAGACTGTGGCGTGGGACGAGCGCACCCCGGGTTTGCGAGTGAAACCCGTTGAAGGGTTGATGCTGGTGTTCATGCGTGCCATGAGAAAGCAGAGAAGATCTTGGGACGCATCAAGAAGAATAATTTTTGGTCTGAGCGTGAGATCAAGCTTCCCATGGTGCATCGAGCTTTGCAACTGTGGTGGGCGGCGGCTACCACAAAATCAGGAGCAGCAAGCTCGGCACTTGCAAGCAGAGGCTTAGACCCCTCAGTGGCATGCATGTCCCTGGAGAATGTTGACCGATGCGGCACTGACGTTCGAAGAGTCGCAGGAGGAAAGGTGTCGGTTTGGATGCCTGCAGCCTAAGGGTTGTCGAAGAACCCAATAGCTTGAAGCCTAAGGTCTCCTTCTAATTCTATATTCCATGCGTACTTTTTTTTATCACAATAGGTCGAGAGTCTCTCAAACTCGTCACAACAACCCATCTGTATTTCCATGGACTTGTCGTTTGCAACCTTTGCTCCAAAGCTTGGTCCCTCAGGTGGTGGCGTATCTGAGTGGCCCAGTTCTGCCCATCGGTGAATGCCCTTTGCTTTGGTGGCATGAGCATGGTGCAAAGGCATTCCCCGGGCTGACAGTCTTGGCTCGTCAAGCATTAGCTTGCCCAGGTAGCTGTGCTGTCATCGAGCGAACTTGGTCGGCTGGAAAGAGATATTGCTGAAGTGGACCCAGGCAGATCCACCCAGTCGCATCGGTCAGAACCAAATTTCAAAAGTATGTTTAACGTTCCGACATTGTTGCTGCTTTGTTTTCCTACATACGTATGCTGGCTATTTTCTGGGCATTGTATAGCTTGAGACAACATCCGTGCAGGCAAGACTGGATGGTGACCTCGCAGGCAGCATTCTGCGTTGCCATTACAATATGATACCCTTGAAAATGTGGAGCGAAACTTTGGAAGAGGACGGCATCAAGTCGCGGAATGGTTTGAGGTTAGCGAGATAATTTTGAGAAATGCACGAAAAAAATGTATTGCTTACACTTCGGTTCGAATTTAAGTAACCAGAGCCAAAGCCTTAAGAATGATAGTGTGCTGAGATTTATGCGAGAAAGCGTATGTGAAACACACAGGACAAAGGCAGATTTCGTTCTAGATTCAAGATTAGGCAATCATTTGTGCTTTTGACAGGACGGAGATTCGGAGTCTGGGGAAGAAGACTCCTGGGTGCCAGAGCCTGTGTGGCGACCACAGCACCCATAGAAAAAAACGTTGCATGGGTGCATGGTGCTTGAATGTGCTGGGTATGCGTGCATCTGTGAAGACATTCTACAGCTTCTATCCGATTCTATCCGGACGATGCACCAATCAACTGGCCTCAACAAACGTAATCTTTAATCCTAAGCCAGATTACGGATAACCACATTTCGAATTACGTGGTTTGGACAGATTATGGATTGAAAGCCACAACCCCTGTAAAGGATGACCCACATGCTGATTTGAGGAAGTTTTCCTTGGGCTTCGTTTGTGAGTGTGGTGTTTGCATTCGTTTTTGCCATCTATCAGGGCTCATTTTGGCTCCTCCGTGTTTGTGTTTTCCTTCTCTTTCTTGGGCGCAATGCCTTGCAAGTTTGTGTTGCAACTGCGTAGCCACCTTTGCTGCCAACCACAACCCCCAAAAGTTGCAAATTCCCGAGATTTAGCTATTCGGGGGTTGTGGGAACCTTCTACCTGTGTTCTGCACGCGCGTGAAATCAGAAATCAATACATCTAGAAGCAGGTGAGTGAGGAACCAAAACCCGGTGTACCCCCTATAGACCACAGCTGCCAACCACAACCCCCAAAAGTTGCAAATGCCGGAGATTTGGCTACTCGGGGGTTGTGGGAACCTTCTACCTATGTTCTGCACGCGCATGAAATAAATACATCTAGAAGCAGGTGAATGCGGAACCAAACCCAGTGTACCCCCTAGACCACAGCTGCCAACCACAACCCCCAAAAGCTGCAAATTCCCGAGATTTGGCTATTCGGGGATTGTGGGAACCTATACCACAGCTCCCAACCACAACCCCCAAAAGCTGCAAATTCCCAAGATTTAGCTATGCGGGGATTGTGGGATCCTAGACCACAGCTGCCAACCACAACCACCAAAAGTTGCAAATTCCCGAGCTTTAGCTATTCGGGGGTTGTGGGAATTTTCTATCTGTGTTCTGGACGCACATGAAATTCACAATTGCACCTGGAAGCAGGTGAGTGAGGAACAAAAGCCCAGTGCACCCCATAGACCACAGCTGCCAACCACAACCCCCAAAAGTTGCAAATGCCCGAGATTTAGCTATTCGAGGGATGTGGGGACCTTCTACCTGTGTTCTGCACGCACGTGAAATAAATACAAATACATCTAGAAGCAGGTGAATGCGGAACCAAAACCCGGTGCACCCCCTAGACCACAGCTGCCAACCACAACCCCCAAAAGTTGCAAATTCCCGAGATTTGGCTATTCGGGGATTGTGGGAACCTATACCACAGCTCCCAACCACAACCCCCAAAAGCTGCAAATTCCGGAGATTTACCAACCATTCGGGGTTGTGGAGACCTTCTACCTGTGTTCTGCACGCACGTGAAATAAATACATCTAGAAGCAGGTGAGTGAGGAACCAAAACCCGGTGCACCCCCTAGACCACAGCTGCCAACCACAACCCCCAAAAGTTGCAAATTCCCGAGATCCTTCTACCTGTGTTCTGGACGCACATGAAATTAACCATTACACCTGGAAGCAGGTGAGTGAGAAACTAAAACCCGGTGTACCCCCTAGACCACAGCTGCCAACCACAACCCCCAAAAGTTGCAAATGCCCGAGATTTAGCTATTCGGGGGCTGTGGGAACCTTCTACCTGTGTTCTGGACGCACATGAAATTAACCATTGCACCTGGAAGCAGGTGAGTGAGGAACCAAAACCCGGTGCACCCCCCAGACCACAGCTGCCAACCACAACCCCCAAAAGTTGCAAACTCCCGGGATTTAGCTATTCGGGGGCCTTCTACCTGACCTGGAGGTGGAGAAGGAACGCAGACAGCCGAGGGTGCTGGTTGGGCTGGGCTTCTCCTGGGGCTGCTGCTGCTTGCTTTGGTGGCTGCTTGGCTCTTTCTGCTGGTTCCTGGAGCTGAGAGTAACGAAGCAATGGAACCAAGCCGGGAAGAGTAACAGAGACATAGACCCTGGAGGAATCAATTTCACAAGCGTTTCTCAAAACCAGTCCTTTCTTGCTTTCTGCTGCTGAAAACCTCAAAATCAACTGTTTTGAGACGCGGATGATCGCCAACAAGGAGCTGAGAGTAACGAAGCAGTGGAACCAAAACCACTCTTTTCTTGCTTTCTGCTTCTGAAAACTTCAAAATCAACTGTTTTGAGGAACTTGTGCTTAATATGCTATTGCTTTGTGTGTTCGCGTCGGTCCGGTCCGGGTCGGGTCGGTCTCGGTCCGGTCCTCGTTCTGCGGCGTGCCGGCGTACCGTGATTATTGTCATTCTATTATTGTTGTTGTTATCATCATTACTATTGTTGTCATGTTTTCCCCAGCATTTACAATTCATATCTTCCTTCCCAGGCGACAATTATGTTCCAATGCTACAACCAAGGTTACACACTAACAAGCATCATTTGAGATCGTTAGATGAGCAAATAAATAAAACCATCTACTCATCACTGTTTATGATTATTATAACAATAATGTTCCCAATCATTGCCAATCATGATTCTTGACATTGCTATTATTGTTAAATACTATTACGAATATTGCTTAGATATTATAGATGTTATTACTTGTCTTATGTTGAATTTTGATATTGATCCCTTCGAGTCATCGTTTCAATCATTTCACCAGTAACCCAACACAATAAGAGCCAGCTATAATGATAATACCACTACTAATACCTATACCACTAATAGTATATTAATCTAGCATAATATAACTACTAATATGTAAATGTATAGGTATAATATACAGCATACTTTTACATGTATACCTATACCACCAATAATCACCATTTCCGAGTATAGTTATATTATGATTATCTACTATTAAAGTTGATACCATAGCTCTTAGTTATAAATAACATCATAATGAAGACAGCAATTTTTTAGTTAATCATCAGCTTTCCAGCAATGGTACTTAACAATCGGAGTTGATAATAATGACGATACTGTTACTAAAACACCCCGGCGGAATTTTTACCGTCCGCATAATGAGCACAAATTCATGGTTTCGCCATAGCGAAACGTCAATTTTGATGCAAAAATAGGGGTCTCCGAACTTGAGGGTTTAACTTTTCCATCGACATGCCTCTCAGCGTTTTTTTTTCTTCAAGACGGCCCGAAGTCGAATCAAGACAGTTGCTTGCTTTATGAACGTTAACATCCCACCCTACCCCACCCCACCCCAACGTAGCATCACGTATGTGTGGAAGTTGCAGAAGAACGGGCAGTGGCGTAGCATCACGTATGTGTGGAAGTTGCAGAAGAACGGGCAGTGGCGTAGCATCACGTATGTGTGGAAGTGCCAATGAACGTTAACATCCCACCCCACCCCACCCCAACGTAGCATCACGTACGTGTGGAAGTTGCAGAAGAACGGGCAGTGGCGTAGCATCACGTATGTGTGGAAGTTGCAGAAGAACGGGCAGTGGCGTAGCATCACGTATGTGTGCAAAAGAACGGGCAGTGGCGTAGCATCACGTATGTGTGGAAGTTGCAGAAGAACGGGCAGTGGCGTAGCATCACGTATGTGTGGAAGTGCCAATGAACGTTAACATCCCACCCCACCCCACCCCAACGTAGCATCACGTACGTGTGGAAGTTGCAGAAGAACGGGCAGTGGCGTAGCATCACGTATGTGTGGAAGTTGCAGAAGAACGGGCAGTGGCGTAGCATCACGTATGTGTGGAAGTGCCAATGAACGTTAACATCCCACCCCGCCCCACCCCATCAAAATCTATGCGTTTTGCTGGACCGTAAAAATTCCGTCAGCTAAAACACGAAATCAAATTATCAACTATATGAGTTTCAGAAACATAATTCCTATACCTTTATCAGTATACCATTATCAGTTATCATACATGATAATATATTATACACTATTTTGTTTAACTAACAACTAACAACTAATAACTAACAACTGACATCTGATAACTAATAACCAATAACTAAAAACTAACAACTAAAAACTAAAAACTACTATCTAACAACTAACGATCATGATGATCATCATCATCACCATCACCATCGTTATCATCATCACCACCATGATCATCATCATCATGATCATGATCATCATCGTCATCGTCATCATCATCATCATCATCATCATCATCACCAGCATCAACATCATCACCACCACCACCATCATCATCATCACCATCATCATCATCATCATCATGCTCATGATCATCATCGTCATCGCCATCATCATCATCATCATCATCATCATCATCACCATCATCATCATCATCCTCATCCTTATCTCCTCATCCTCATCCTCATCCTCATCCCCATCCTCATCCTCATCCTCATCCTCATCCTCATCCCCATCCCCATCCTCATCCTCAACCTTTATCCTCATCCTCATCACAGTCATTGCCTGCAGGCAAGATCACAGAGCACCTGGGACAGTTGGCTTTAGCCCAGCGGCAGCTGATGCAGGGCTTACAGGAGTACCTGGGGGTGGTGGACGTGACCGGCGTGGATGTGGCGGTGCCTGGTTTGGCGAATGATGCAGGGATGGCTGTGGGGATGCGTTTGATGGCTTTGCATCAGTGAGTTTTAGCAGATTTTGATGGGATTTTTATGGATTTTTTTTCGGGATTTTGTGAGGATTTGTTGCTGAGTTGAGTGGATTTTGGCGAAGTTTATTGGAAAGTGGATGGATCATTATTTCTCAGGTGTTTATGCTTTCTTATAAAGTGAATAAAGTGCCAACGTGTGCATGGGAAGTTGGTTGGATCTGGTAGATTTTGCGAATGGTTCGTGATATGGTTCAACTTTACCTAATTCAACTTTACCTAATGATCTTTCTTTGATTTGGATCGTTCAGGACCTGATTGTAGATTTTGTGATGTATTCCTTTTGTTGGGGATTTCGGTGTGCTTTTCTTGGAGGATCCAATTGAGTTAGGGATTCCATCAGCATGACAGGAGAGTTAGCCCTCAGGGCCTGAGGGCCAAGTTACACTAATTCTTTGTTTGGCTAAGGAAATGCAGAGACATTTCTGTTTGTTTTTTTGTTATGTGTTCTGCATTGTCTTGGCACACTGTATCTCTTTTAACTCTTAAAGAGCCGTCGGGGAGAGGATGAGGCCGCGACCAAGTGGTAAAGTGATATGATCCAGTTCCTGCTTTGGCTCTTCACGGCTTGGAACCGCCAAACATTTTGTGAGTCCGTATCAATTATACATACTAAGTACCATACAGATATATAGTACCCCAGTATGGCCCATACTTTTCGATGGGTATAATTCATGAAGTTTCGCTGGAACATGATATTTAGGCTGTCAACGTTCATGGTGGAAATCGGATGATTCTCCGCAGGTTTACGCAAGAAACGCGCACTTTCTGCAGGTTTCACTCCGCTTGGAAAGAAACACATCATGTCCCTTACCCTCTGATAAATTCACATAGCTTTGGAAAATCACCTTTTTTATTGGGCAAATCAACTATCAATGGCTTTTTTCAATAGCTTAATATAGATTAGAAATGAACCTCACCGTAGCATTTCCACGGGATCGCTGAGTGTTATTTTTCTGAAGTCGGTCACCACTCTAAACAGGTTTTTCAAACACATAGAGCGTCTGAAACGGGGGGATACCCCGAAACAAATCGTGAAACAACAACAAACAACAGACAATATCATGATAAACACGTGACGTGGCTTTTTAGATTTTTTTTTTTTTTTACGGCCTTCCATATTGAAGCTAACAAACTTGTAGCGACCTGAAAACGCGCAATGGAGGTGCGCTTCCTAGCATCCGGCGAGGTGCTGACAACTCTTGATCAAAATGACTTCGATGGCAAAACTGCTCGAGAAGTGAAGCGAACTTTGGCAGCTCATGTTGGGGTCTCCAGATTTCGGCAAAGACTCTTCGCAGAAGATGGTTATCGCGAGATTCAAGATGATGAGGTTTTTGGATCCGGTCTTATGCAGGTCCAACTGCTGATGTTGGAATTCTTACCACCAGATGCAGAAGAGGAAAAACATCTGCTCTACGCAGCGCGGACAAACGATTCAGCCGGCGTGGAAAAGTTTCTTCAAGGTCCTAGAAATCCGAACCTAAGAGGTGGGCATGGGCCAAGACTAGTTACAGACTAGTTACACTCCCAAAACTATCTACACACTCCCAAAATTATCTACACTCCCATAAGTTTCTTTTTTTTGTTCCACCAGTTTTGTCCCAGTTTTGGCCCTTGAAGCCCAAAAGACCATGGGAAAATGACCAGGTGAAAATGTTGAGATATCTGCCCTACACCATGCTGCATTGGAGGGGCATGTGGAACCGATGCGCCTCTTACTGGAGGCTGGTGCAGACAAAAATGCAGCAGACACGAGAAACGGAATGTCACCATTGTTTTGTGCGGCTGCAACGGGTCATTTGGAGACTGTCCGCTTTCTGGTTGAAGTTGGGGCCAACCAAAATCAGCTTGCAGACAACGGATCCACACCACTCCATCTGGCAGCTCAAGAAGGACATCTTGACATTGTTTGCTTTTTGGTCGAAGCCGGGGCCAACAAGGATCAAGCGACAACGGATGATGGGTCAACACCTCTCCACTTTGCAGCGCATGATGGACACCTCGACATTGTCCGCTTTCTGATTGAAGCCGGGGCCAACAAGGATCAGCAGAGAACGGATGATGGGTGGACACCACTGCACTCTGCAGCTCAAGAAGGCCATCTTGACATCGTCCGCTTTCTCGTTGAAGCCGGCGCCAACAAGGATCAGCAGGAAATAGATGATGGGTGGACACCACTACACTCTGCAGCTCAAGAAGGCCATCTTGACATGGTCCGCTTTTTGGTCGAAGCCGGTGCCAACAAGGATCAAGCGACAACGGATGATGGGTCAACATCTCTCCACTTTGCAGCGCATGATGGACACCTCGACATTGTCCGCTTTCTGATTGAAGCCGGGGCCAACAAGGATCAGCAGAGAAAGGATGATGGGTGGACACCACTGCATGTTGCAGTTCGTGCAGGCCACCTTGATATTGTCCGCTTTCTCGTTGAAGCCGGCGCCAACAAGGATCAGCAGGAAATAGATGATGGGTGGACACCACTACACTCTGCAGCACGTGATGGCCATCTTGACATCGTCCGATTTTTGGTCGAAGCCAAAGCCAATAATGATCAGCCTGCGAGGGAGTATGGTTCAACACCTCTTTATTTTGCAGCACGTGATGGCCACCTCGACATTGTCCGCTTTCTGATTGAAGCCGGGGCCAACAAGGATCAGCAGAGAACGGATGATGGGTGGACACCACTGCACTCTGCAGCTCAAGAGGGCCATCTTGACATCGTCCATTTTTTGGTGGAAGCCGGAGCCAACAAGGATCAAGCGACAACGGATGATGGGTCGACACCTCTCCACTTTGCAGCATGTGATGGCCACGTTGACATTGTCCGCTTTTTGATTGAAGCCGGGGCCAGCAAGGATCAGCAGAGAACGGATGGGCCAACAGCTTTGCGCCTTGCAGCTCAAGAAGGCCATCTTGACATCGTCCGCTTTTTGGTCGAAGCCGGGGCCAACAAGGATCAAGCGACAACAGATGATGGGCCAACACCTCTCCACGTGGCAGCGCATGATGGCCACCTCGACATCGTCCGCTTTTTGGTCGAAGCCGGGGCCAACAAGGATCAAGCGACAACAGATGATGTGCCAACACCTCTCCACGTGGCAGCGCATGATGGCCACCTTGACATCGTCCGCTTTTTGGTCGAAGCCGGGGCCAACAAGGATCGAGCGACAACGGATGATGGGTCAACACCACTACACTGTGCAGCTCAAAATGGCCATCTTGACACTGTCCGCTGTCTGGTTGAAGTCGGGGCCAACAAGGATCAGCAGAGAACGGATGGGTCAACAGCTTTGCACCTTGCAGCGCAAGAGGGGTATCTTGGTGTTGTCCGCTTGCTGGTTGAGTTTGGTGCGGATGCTGACAGAACCACTGAGAGTGGAGCAACTGCCTCAGATGTGGCATCGGAGTGTGGCCATGGGGAAGTCGTTGGCTTCCTGGCTTCATTTGGGGCCAAAGAGCCTCCCAAGAAGGTTAGAAGAAAAGACATGTAGCGACGGGCGTTCAGAAACTGAAACAACAGGGTGACATCAGGCAATTGGGGAGCCGCTAGAGCCTATCTATATTTAATTACTGGGGTTTTGTCGCGCTGACTTGAAGACATGGCTCTTGGATGCTCTTGGGGTGTGTTTTTCCTTTTTTTCCCCCAATTTTGGGTCCCCCAATTCCACCAGATTCTCATCACAAGTGTTTTCCTTGAAATGGTAATTTGGGGGGACACTCCTTGTTTGGACTAGCCAATGTGGCTCCCGACTAGATACAGTATATTACTTGAGAATACTTGATATTGCTTGTATATATAGATTTATAAAGCAGGTACCTTGCAGGATTCAAACATGGCAATGGAATGCAATGGAAAATATTTGTTGAATATGTTCAAAGAAATGTATAGATCAATCTTTCATTACCTATGATGATGATATTTGTACCGGGTGGATTGAAACCACCAACTAGTCTATTATGACTTTGTATGACTTTGTCCTTCCTCATAGGGTACCCCCAAAATCAAGCGGTTTAGGGTGCATTATCTCCTTTGCTGAATCATCATGCTGTCTGACTCTAGACATACTCGCATTTTTTTTTAAACCACCCTTGACATAATCATTGCCAGCCACACCAAACCTATAATTTACATCTATCTTTTTGTTTAGTCATTTTACATTATTTTCTACTCTCTGGTAAACAAACATAACTATGGAAAATCACAATATTTAATGGGTAAATCAACGAAATAAATGGCCATTTTCAATAGCAAACTGTTCAATTACCAGAGGGTATCTGCTATGGGCCATGGGAGGCTTTTTACGACAGAACACGTCTCCTCCGAGGCCATGGCATTAGTGCAGGAGTGTGCCAGTGCTATCGAGCACTTCGACAGCTGCCTCAAAGAGGCGGCTTTGCCGGAGATGCTCCTCGACGAAGGACCAAAGGTTTGTGATGACACTGCGTTATTTTTTTCAGAGAAATATAGAACATTTTCAAGTAACATATTTCTTCACTATTTGAGATTCAGATTTTTGACAACTTCGATTTTTTTGAACGGTTGCTGTACATAATATATGCACATTCTCTATATATATATTATATGATTTGATAAACCCGAACCAAAAAATGAGTAAAATATTCTACAAACTATGACTGGTTTGAAAGGATAATTTTGGTGAACCGTTTGTTTTTTCGAACAAAAGGCCGGAGAGATATGGGAATGGGTCCACATGATAAACTTCCTCCCCAGAACGGATGGTCTATTCTCGGGCCAGGCCAGTGGTAAACCAATTTTGACTATATCAATGATCCATAATGTGATCCAATTGGTTTTTTCTTTTCGGATATCACAAACAAAAATGGGGCAGCATATCGCCAAAGTCTTGTTGTTTCCTGGCATCAGCGGTGAACATGCGCAGATGACCACCGATACCAAGGAGGTAATTACTCTGTACGTCTTATTACAATCAAAGAAATCTAACCATGGTCAACATACCCAATTTGGAATGTTAAAACGTTTCGCTAAATCACACACTGCCAACATTTCCAGTTTACATAGATCCATAAAACACATTTTACATCATTTTACGGTGTATATATATATATTATATCAACTTTAAAATATATTATATTACAATATATTATATTATATTATATTATATTATATTATATTATATTATACTATATTATACTTTATTATACTTTATTATACTTTATGACATCATATATGATATATATATATATATATATATTATATCATATGATACTTTACTAAATTATATTGTATTTTATTTTATTATATTGTATTGTATTATGTATATTATTTTGTATTACCTCATATATGCATATATTATATGTATTATTTGTACATATATATATATATATTATATGTTCACATATATTGTATTTTATTATATTATATTATATTATATTATATTTTATTATATCAACATATTTTATTTTTAATATTATATGTACATATATATATATATGTATTATATTATATTATATTATATTTTATATTTTATATTATATTCTATTATATTATATTCTATTATATTATTTTATTATTTTAATAAATTATATAGTATATTTAGAATATACAGATCTATGATATGATTCAACCCGTGATGAACATGTCCAGCTCAACCTGGGCAGCCGAAGCTCCATTCCTCCTTTTTACCAAGGCAAAAGGCCTGCGAAGAAGTGGTCCAGGAGTGTGAGAACCTCCTGAGCCTGCGAGACTTGGTGGGTCGTTGTGTTTTTTTTCTTTGTTTTTGGCAGGATGAGGTCAGTGATTTGGGGATATACCCTCTGGTAAACATACAAAAAACTTTGGTGAAAACCACCATTTTTCATGGGTAAATCAATGACCTCAATGGCCATTTTCAATAGCTATGCGATGTTAGTTCCTAACCAGAGGGTACATATATATATATATATATTCATATATTCTTTTAAACGGAGATTTCATGGGATGGACATCGGGAAAAAACATATGATATCTTGGAAGGATGAGACCATCTATGCATCATACGGGGCCTAATGGGTGCGGCAAGTGGAAAGTTACGTACCCAGTCAGAAGCCTATTGAGTGGTTGATAACCCTAGTACAACCCAGTTCTTAAAGGACATTTTCCAGTGATCCTAAGTCATGGAGGTACCCTTGTTTCATGGAAAATCCACCAGAAAATGAATGATTGGGGCTTGAGGAAACCTCCAGTGATTTGAGGATATACTGTAATATGGCAATTTATATAATGGATCTAGTGGGTATATATTATGACATATTGGGATAATCGGGTTTTCTTATGGATCATTTGGGATATCTGGTGGGGGATGACAACTTTAAGTATTTCTCCTTGTGTGTTTGATTTTCTATAAGTTTTTGTTTCTTTTGGGGTACGATGTTCATTCTGATGTCGCCAGTGGTTCTTCCACATCCTGAATATACATCATAGGTGTGAACGTTAGCAGGGTACCTATTGCCCGCTATTTCTGTATTGCACATTGAAGAGGAACTTCAAGGAAATCCACATATTCAAATCACCCCCATGGTAATTTAACATAGCTATTGAAAATGGCCATTTATAGTGGATTTACCCATTCAAAATGGTGATTTTCTATAGTTACCTTAGTTTACCAGAGGGTATTGTGTCAAAGCCGGGCATTTTTGCCCCGCGCCGGGCTCGGGGCATCCTTAGGCCAGGACCGCGACAAGGCGCTGCGCGAACGTCAGCACTACGAGGAAAAGCTGCAAGATTTGCAAAGTGCTCGACCAGGCAAAACCACGACAGTTGCCGCGGCGCTTTAGGGTGAAGTGGCTTGTCATCTCACTGGCCAAGTCTTAGTTAAGTACTTGGAGATGGAGTTCCACTTACAAATGGATCTATATATATATATACATTATATATATATACACATAATATGTATATATATATATATGTATATGTATATGTATATGTATATGTATCTGTATATGTATATTATATGTATGTGTATATGTATATGTATATGTATCTGTATATGTATATGTATATGTATATGTATATGAGCCATAGTCATAGTTATAGTTTTTTAAAATCCCAACTTATGGGGGTCCAATTCCCATGGTTATACTGTAATACCCCTAAAACTAACCCCAGTCCTGCACCCCCAAGTGTATCCCAACCGGTTCAGATTCCTGAGACTACCGATATGTTCATGGTCAAATCCACTGCTCTTGTTGGTTTAACATGGTTTAAACCTCAGTTTGGGGCAGTTAACCCATTACACAGTTTCATTTCTCCACAAACTTATTTCTCCATATAAACTTACCATAAACCTCCATTTTATTGGGGATTTCCCAGCCATGAAAATCCTAAGCGTTTCAGCGTCACGGCACGGCAGGTGTCATCACTGAGCAAATCTCTCGAAACCTGGAAAAGTTGGATCGCGCCAAGATGTCCTTGGAGTCGCAGGCACGGAGCACCTAAGGGGAAGCCACCTGGGTAGCCTCTGGTAAACGCTCGTGAACATGGGCCATTGATAGTTGATTTTCCCATTCAAAATGGTGATTTTCTATGGTTATGTTAGTTTACCAGAGGGTAATGAGCGTAGTGGGTTAAGGTGAACTACCAAAGAATAGGCTTTGAACCCTGTGAACCAAGAAGACAAGGGGATTGAAGCATGAAAATATCAGGAAACTGATTGGTGAGTTTAGTTTAAAGCTCCATCTTCTGCTATTTTGATGCGGATGCATTGACTTAGCCAGCAAGCAGAAATACAAGGATGCCAACATTGGGAATGAGATGATGTGCGTCTTTTGTCCGATTTTCAGGATTTTCAGGTTCCAGAAATCAAACAAAAAGGTAATTTGTGAGGTGAACTTTCCCACAACATGGGATATATGATATACTAATTGCTCAATGCTCTTTGAAATTACTCGAAATGTTGGTTGAAGGGGTTGATGGCTAATGAAGTTAAACCCCCCCAGTAGTAAAACAATGAGATTCTAAAATCATATTTAGCATTTGAACCGATGAAATAGCGAGGATGTGTTTGATTCCAAGCCATACCGCCATACCTTAATTCTTTAGTTTCCGGGTCCCTGATTAGATAAGATAGTTTCACAATGCACAAAGATTATTTTTTTGGAGTCTGTGGATGCTACGTATATATAATATTATTAAATATTATACAATGCATGTTTGCATGTTCTGTTCTCGGTGTGCCGTCAGACATCTATACACTCTCCCTCTCTATCTAGATACCCATCGCATACATATTGACATGCAGCTAGATCATGATCAATCTATATAGTCTATATAATTATAGATCCACATTTTTTCATTTTTTCTAGCTACCTGGTACCAACCCTTTGCAGACTGCTGGAACGAGGAGCGCAAATTGGCGACGCAGCTGCGTGTCTTCATGTACCGACGCCCCGTGCATTTCAGGTGCAGCTGCTGTGATGGTTGGCCAGAGAATGGTGATTTCCAAGAGATCAAGCATTTTCAAGCTAGAAACATGGGGCTATCACAAGAGAAAAAGGGTGATACTATTGGTTCTCCAGAACAGAAAGATGAGGAGCTGATTTCGGCTGATATTTCACCAACAAAAGGCAGTTTTTTTTTCCAGCCTCCCCTACCAGGCAAAGAAGGAACACCTACTTGAACCGATTGTTTTTTGCCCATCCAAAAATGACTTCGTGCAAGAGTGGGGTTCCTCTTACTCAAGTTGGCAATTTGGGGTATAGCCCACTTTTGGAACACAGCCACAAAGGAGCACCGAGCACACGCCTGAGATACCAACATGGTGCATTTGCAAATCGCGAAAACACGGACCTATAATCATTGGAGCCCCAACCCAAAGTACAACAAACACTGATGAAATCCACTTAAATCCCATCTGGTTGGTGATTTCAAACATAGGTAGATGATGATAAATCACTAGATTGCCTATAATCATAAATCTTATGGGATTACCTAGAAATTTCATGGTTTACCATAAAACTATAAAATACTATATAATACTACTGGCTTTACCACAGTAAATCCCATGGAAATGCACATTTCCGCCTCAAATCAAGTCCGCTGAGCCGATAAAATTGACGCAAAAAAGTGCCATTCTCAGGCAGATGTTCCTGGCGCTGTTCCGGAAGTACCTGGGATTCTGGACGCAAACGGCCAAGCACAGCGAAAAAGCCTTGGAACTCATCAAGGCGCGCAGTTCTGGAAAGTGGGGATGGATAGGCCACCTTTTTTTTTTGCCAATGAGGAAAATGATGGAACATGAAAGATGATGGAAAACACGATGGAAAACCAACCATGGTAAATGCTGGCAATTTTGCAAAGTATCGAAGTGTTTGAGCTTCGTAGACTGAGATGCTGAAATGATCTGATCTGCCCTTGTGGATATCAAAATTGGGGATGCCTCGGAATTGCACGGCAAACGCGTCGGCAATGCGTTGGGAAAATGATGATCAAACGTTGTTGGGTAACCCCATTCGTGACAAACCCTGGGCTTTGATTTGGTCAGGGGACAACTCTAGTAGAAGGGGTGTAGCGAATACATGGTTTTACCGTTGTCCTTTCGTTTTCTTTGCTCGTAGGCGGTTAACTTTGAAAAAAACATGACTTTGTTTTCTGCAGGCTTTCAAACAAAGCTTTAAGTTGCCACAAACAACATGGAAGGAGTGGTTACTTAATCAACTTGAAATAGAGGGTCTTCCCATTGATTGCAACAGTTGATCAATTTTTCCACTAGCATCGGCCACAGGATGGGCAAACGTGTATTGCGCTGCATGCATGTTTTTTTTCAATTGGATTCCATGCATGAGATCATGTGGTAAATCCATATGAACACCTATTTCGGGTATGTTTCAAGTGATTGGATAAATTTACAGGAAACCATAGATTTTCCCATTAAATAATATGGGGCTTTCCTGCAGATTTTCCCTTAAACCAATCCATTGATTCAAGGCATTTTGGCTTACCGCATGATTCTGACTCCAGTTGATACTACCCTTTTTTTTGTCGGAAAACACTCCGCTACTGTTAGTTATTACCTTACCCGATTCCAAATAATGATTGGTGTTTACCCCTTAGCAAACTCGCACCCTGGATTAATAAACCCCAAACGGCTGTTGAATTGGGAGGGTACCATTTAAATCATAAAATAAGTATCAGATGAAATGACTATTGGAGCAGTACCCATTTTTCATAAAAGAAAAAAAAGTAAAAAAAAAGTATCAAATGATATGACTATTGCAGCAGTACCCATTTTTCATTAAAAAAAAAGTATCAGATGAAATGACTATTGGAGCAGTACCAATTTTCATAAAACAAGTATCAGATGAAATGACTATTGGAGCAGTACCCATTTTTCATTTAAAAAAAGTATCAGATGAAATGACTATTGGAGCAGTACCAATTTTTCATAAAACAAGTATCAGATGAAATGACTATTGGAGCAGTACCCATTTTTCATTAAAAGAAACACAAGTATCAGATGAAATGACTATTGGAGCAGTACCCATTTTTCATTTAAAAACGAAAGTATCAGATGAAATGACTATTGGAGCAGTACCCATTTTTCATTTAAAAAAAGTATCAGATGAAATGACTATTGGAGCAGTACCCATTTTTCATAAAAAAAAAGTATCAGATGAAATGACTATTGGAGCAGTACCCATTTTTCATAAACCATGGTTTAGTCTCCGGGGTTGACATTACTCAAAAACTCCGGTGGAATCATCGTCGATGCCAGGCGGATCTCAATGTGGGAAGTCGTGCACAGATCGTGGGGCTTCAGCGTGCTGTGGAGCTTAACGGAGTGGAAGTGGTGGTGCTGGAAGAGGAGGAAGGCCGGGGCCGTTTGGGATATGGAAAACCATGGGAAAACCTATGGAAATGTCTATTAATGTCCACCTCTGATTTATAATTAAATAGGCCCCCCCCCTCTTTGACCCTAAATAGACTTAAAGCCACCACCAAACTTGTTTGTATGTAAAGGTTTTCAATTACCACAATTGAAAACGAATACATAAAATGCAATTTCAAAAAAAAAGGAATCCAGCAATCGTTTTAGTATTGATCTACTACTCATGTCATGGATTTAGTATTGATCTAGTACTCATGTCATGGATTTAGTATTGATTTAGTATTCATGTCATGGATTTAGTATTGATTTAGTATTCATATCATGGATTAGTATTGATTTAGTATTCATCTCATGGATTTAGTATTGGTTTAATACTCATTTCATGGATTTAGTATTGATTTAGTATTCATTCCATGGATTTAGTATTGATTTAGTATTCATTTCATGGATTTAGTATTGATTTAGTATTTATCTCATGGATTTAGTATTGATTTAGTATTGATTTAGTATTCATTTCTTGATCAGCGGGAAGGGGAAGGGGAAGCTCAGTAGCTTTATTCAGGGTCAAACTCTAATTGGTGCTAAGGCACCTCATGGGGGGTACCCTTGATGAGTTGATTTGGAGTTGATTTTGGATAAGTTTAAGTAAAGGTTTTGAATAGAAAGAGCATCCATCATTTTTGACAATTTCCAGCGATCATTTTTAAATAAAGGTTTTGGTCAGCCCCATCTGGGCAAATCTGGGTTTAGGGCCAAAAAAAATTAGCACTATTCAGGGTAGTTTTATTATTTAGTTTGGGAGTTTGATTAGCACTATTCAGGGTAGTTTGATTAATCGTAGGTCAACATTAAATATCCATGAAATACCATATTAGGCCGTTTTTTTGTGGCGCCATGGTGATTTTTTCGGGATACGAGGTCTAAGTGTTCCGTGGTATATGGATATCTGATTGGTGGTTTGGAACATGACTGGATTATGACTTTCCAGAAACAGTTGGGAAAAACCGAAGCCCAACTGACTAATGACGAACTCCATCATTTTTCAGAGGGGTAGGTTGAAACCACCAACCAGCCATGGTAAAAAATACCACTAACTTCTTCAGTAAAACTGCACCAAGAAGCGATGGAATGATGGAAGATTCACCAGTGGTCGGCTGGTTTCACCACAACATGCTGTGTTTCGCGCCTGCAAAAGAAGATTACATGGATTCTTTGAGTTACCATTTTGTGGGGACAATGACCTGCCAAAGTGTGGAGTTGAAATCTCAGACTTAGGGCATTTATACATATTTATACTCTGAGTACAGGGTACACCTTGTCTGATTTCTGTGAATGTGTTGATACTCGATGCCTTTTCCAGCATGAAAGGTGAGTTTGTGAGGCACTCACCGACTCACCTTCCGAACTTTTGTGGGGCACTTTGGATGTGGGGGACGGTGGAATTGTGTAAATGCGTCACAACTTAAAACGGTTAGTTCATTGGTTTCCTAAAATGGGGGATCCCAAGTCACCATGGGTTTCAATACTAAAACGGTCTAAGTTTGGATGATTTGGGAGTACACCGATTTTAGCAAACCCTCATATGCACACACACACACAATCCCTTCGGCCCTAACTGCCAGAAACCATGGTTCTTGATGGTGATTTACGCATATTTGGGACCATAGAATGCATGGGGGTGTTTCTCATATGAATGGGGGATGGGAGCATTCCTATAATTATGGTCGTTTGTTCATGTTAGTTCATCTTAGTTCATTATGAACAATGGCTTCCCACAATGTATTGTTGCTGCATCTTCCCACTTATACACATATTCCCATGTTTTGTTGCCATATTAGTTCATAGACATATTCCAGTCTGGTTGGTGGTTTCAAACATTTTTATGTTCTATAAGATATGGGATGTCATCCTTCCCATTGACGAAGTCCATCATTTTTCAAGATGGTTATTGCACCACCAACCAGCTGGGGAAACATGGAAAATCACTATTTTTTATGGGTAAATCCATGTAAATCCACTATAAATGGCCATTTTTGATTGGACTATTGTCAATGGGGGCCTCACATTGCAGTTGTCAATGGCTTCTCCAGGTCTTCCGATTCCCACCGTCTGCGCATTGCAGGTGGACGGCGTCTTCTGGTGGAACTTCCTGATGGAGACCAGAAGCTGGGACGGCGATGAAACGTGGAGGGGCTAGCAAGGATCATCCCACCTAGCTGTGGAATCGAATGGAATTAACCAACTTCATCATATTGGGAAAATCATGGGAAGATCATGGGAAGATCATGGTGTATTATATTATATATATGGTATATATGGTATATATGGGATACATGGGATACATGAGATATTATTACATATGTTTTTTGATTATGATCTTTGGAGTAGAGGCCAATGATCACAGCGGCATTGATTTAACGGGATTTAACCAATAGTAATGGTGAATATAATGGGTACCCTCTGGTTATTTAACATAGCCATGGAAAGTTGCCCATTTATAGATGGTTTACCTATTATAAATGGTGATTTTCCATGGCTATGTTAAGTAATTAACCAGATGGTATATGGGATATAGTTGGGATATGATATCTGATGTTGACGATATAAAAGGGTGCAGTTCCTACGCAAACTAATGTAACTGGAGATATTTCACCATAAATATAGGGGTGTATATCCCAAGTTGAGTAGGGTAGTCGTACCCATGAACGACTCCAACTGCCCAAGTATAGCCATGATGTGTTTGGATTCCGATGGCATGCAAAAAAAGACCAAGGGCCCCATTTCTATGCAAGAAAGATCGTATTGCACATCTAATTCTGGTTGGTGGTTTGGAACATGACTTTTATGACTTTCCATTAAGTTGGGAATAATAACCCCAACTGACGAACTCATATTTTTCAGAGGGGTAGGTATACCACACCAGAATTTCTTTGAAAATGGGGGATACCTTGACATCCCTAAACTTGGCATCTTGATGGAAAGTAGCTAGTTTCAGACAAATTACATGTGTGTTTCAGTACCTAAATCTACCATGTTGGGTTGATATTCCAATAATCTCTTCGAATTGGGGGTACCCTCTGGTAAACTAACATAACTATGGGAAATCACAATTTTGTATAGAGAAATCAACTATTTCGACTGGGCCATTTTCAATAGCTATGTTAAATTACCAGAGGGTAGCTACTTTCAGACAAAGCCATTCCAATGGTGTCCCTGGCGAGATCCCCTTGGAGTCAGCAGGGTGCACGGCTTTTGGGATCCTTGGGCCATGAAGCAATCAGAACCAGACCTAGGACCTGACGAACAAAGCAGCTCCATATCTGTGGTTTCCCACATTGCTTTCTCTTCAGCTGTTGGTTTACCATATTTCTTGCGGGTGAATCCTATGATTGATATTATTGAACATCCCCAGCCCAGCAAAAACTCATTCAGAACACATTCCGAAAAGACTCCTCCAGCCCAGCACTTTCCACGGTGTTTCCCTAGGAAATCGGTGCGGGTGGAGAACCTGTGTCCCGTCTACCACGACCCGCTGCACCTCGAAGATGTCGACGCTGCCCCGTCGGCCCCCCCGGCTACCACGACGGGCGAGGCGGCGGAAGCGAAGGAGGAGCGGAGGCAGCCGGAGGATGCCAGGGGTGTCTGGGAGTTCAAAAAAGTTGGAAGAGCGTTCTCACCTATGTTGATTGGCGGTTTTAAATTACATCATGATAATGGAAGTTTATAGGTTTACACAGAAACATAAGATAAGATAATAAGACAATTTTGAAGTATATTTCACATCCGACATCCCCATTTTCTTGTTCATTGATTTGTTTGTTAATCCCACATTTTCTGGTCTTGGTGGACTCCCAACTCAGTGTTTCAGCACCCTAGAGACGGTCACATTTTAGGCTTGCGGGAAGGGGCCCGGAATGACAGGTAAGTTTATAAGATCATTGGATTTAATTATGGTGGGTATATTATCTTATAATTCAATCTAATTCTTATAAATCAACTTATGACTGGGGGGCTCCTGTGGGAAAGATGATCATTTAGTGTAATTTCCAAGTTGCTGCTTGTATCATCATTCTTCGAAAATTAGAGCAACAGAACTGGCCGATCTCACCTTTTAGATTGTTGCTGAGTTAAACCACCTTTTCTTCTTGCTCCAGCTCCAGATCCACCGTTCACTTCCCAGCGTTGCGTTCCAACCGCAGGTCACAGCTTCACCTGGAACCTTCGCGCGTGGCCACCTGCGGTGGCGAAGTCGAGCTGGAAGTGGATGGCCTAGCTGGGCCCATCAGCGAGGTGGTGGCCAATGGCAGCTCAGTACTGGTGGTTTCGCTGGGTCGGAAAAAATGGGTGGATGGAGGTGGTAAAAAAAAGTGGATTTCTGGATAGAACTCCATGGAATATCCCATGAAATCACTAAAAAAAATATCTACTAATGTTACTACTGATGGTAGATTTTAATCATGATTGCCTGGGATATTCCATGAGATAAATTGAGATCTTCATGGGGATCTTCATGTTTTTTTTTTGGCTCCAAAGGCCATCCTGCTGGTGCGTTTCAATTTCTTTCGTACAGTTTTTGCGAATGCTTCCTTTGTGCAGGAAAAAAAAGAGATACCCTCTGTTAAACTAAGATAGCCATGGAAAATCACCATGTTTTAGTTCGGTAAATCATGGTAAATCAACTATTTCGACTGGGCCATTTTCAATGGCTATGTAACAAATTACAAGAGGGTATATCAATGTTGTTTCTATCTATATAGAAGCGCTTCAATACCCCTCTAGAGATGCCATTATTTCTATATTGTTTCTCTATCATCACATTATTCACCATTGTTAACCATTAAATCACCATTTATAGTGGTTAAATCACCGTTAAATCACCATCAATACATATGATTTCTATCTATTGTAGCGTTTCCCCGAGCTTTCTAGAGATGCCACCAAATGGCAAACCTGCCCCCAAGTCCCCCGGCTTTGTCCTTGAAAAATGGGCAATGGCTTGGGGACACGTGAGAATGGCTTTGCCTGAAAATGTAGTATACCCCCAAAATCTGTTGGTGAATCAATGTTAATGTCAACCCCGGATTAATAAACCATGGTTTATTAATTAGGGGGGTACTCCTCCAATAGTCATAATCTAATACTTAAATGGTACCCCCCCAATTGAACAGCCTAGAGGTTTATTAATCCAGGGTTGACATTAATCAATGTTAATCATCATATTCCCATTAAATTGCCAGATCTTGGTGGCACCATTTGAAAAAACACTGGCACAGCTTCATCACTCGGATGGCACCAAATCCACCAGGTTGGGTTGATCTTCTCATGACTCATATGGCTTTCACCAGGAATTTTACGAAAAAAACAAATGAAGAACAAAGAAAACAACCATGAACTGATGGGCTTTTTGTTTTTTGGACAGTTTCCAGGTTTTGAGACCACAAATGATGCGGGAAAAAGATCTGTTTTTTCTCCTTATACCATAATATTCATCCATAATATACCATAATATTCATCAATAATATACCATAATATACCATAATATTCTCCCAATAAATTCTTGGAAAACTGGTGCCCCAGGCGTCGCCTGTGAAGTGCTCAGTCGCTTCGAGAGATCTGGGCGTCAAGGGGCACACGTTCAGATTCCGGCGGCCACTGACCTGGCTGGAGGACGGCGGTGAACGGGGGAAGACTGGGATCCCACTGAAAATGATCCACTGATATTCACTGGTTAGTGTTTCTGGGGTTAGTTCACCCATATATGTATATATAACATTGATTATATTACTATATATAACTATGATATGGATGTATATATGTGTATACTGTATATATATATATATATGTATAATATATATATGTATAATATATATATATATATGTATAATATATATGTAATATATATAATAAGCTATGTAGGATAATCCATGATAATCCCACGAAATGGGGACTTACTAACGAAGACCGGTTACGATTCGTGGGATGATCCAAAAAGTTCAAACCATTGGAGCTGAGCCAACAGAAATCACCACGTGATGAATCACGGTGTGAAGTATGATAAACTTGGCGATTCTGGCAGCATTCTTGGAATGGGAAAGAAAAGGTGCGAGTGAGTTTTGACCCATTGTGAAGAGTTTGTTTCAAGAAAAGCCGAGTTGTATACTTTGGCTGCACAAAATTGTGTAGAAGCTTTGATGATTGTTTTGGGATGTGGGATATGGGTCCAAATTGAAGGTGCAGACAAAAAAATCTCTCCAATGGCTGGATCATCATCAGTTACCCGAAAAAACCCTCCGGTAATTTGTTGCAGCTTGCTATGGTGTACCACAGATGGCCCATCTACTGGTAGTTCGAAGGTTTACTGTACCATTTTCAAACATGGTAGCAAACTGTTAAGTTCCCAGAGGGTATATACAGTTGGCTCTTATCAACAAGAAAAAACAATTCTACTTCTGATCGGAACGGACGTTATTGGGCAACAAAACCCGGAAGATATACACATCTGGAGCCGTTTTTTGATATCTATTAACACCTATATTGCATGGTGAACACTCCACTTTGAAGGGTCATTTGGGTTCCATGAAAAGGCTTTTGGCTACTGCCTTTGTCAAGTAACCAGGATGGTGCAAAGGCCCAACCAGATATCAAGATTCTGGAACTCACAAATGTTTGGTGATCTTCTACACTCAGTTGCATCATTGTGGCATACTTCGGGATATTTCACATCCTGTAACCGGGCTATTCAATATGCTAATAGCAACCGCAAAAAGTATCCCCGTGCATCCGAGTGGAGCTTGCTGGAAAGTTCTCATGAAAATGTTAGCTGTCAGATGTTGGATATATTGGGTAAAACTGTCATATATCCCACCCATTTGGGAATGGTAAGTTTATACCACCTATAAAAATGGTGATTTTCCTGGGGGATGGTTTATTGTTGTTTTACCCACATGAGATTATGTTTCCAGCTATAAATCTCCATTGATAGAGGCTTTTCCAGCCACAGTGGAGCGGTCTGGAGCGTATTTGTGAGTATACTACGTAGTACCCTTTCCCGGTGCCATTGACATCTGGTGACGGCTGGAAGCCTCTCGGTAGTCTTGCAATGTTCTCCTTTTTTAAACTGGAATGCACATTCAACAAGGTGGTGCCCCGTAGTTAGCTAAGCTGGTTTATTATAATCACTAAAGGGTTTATGATACTGATAATAACATGTAATGGCAACCCTGGATTAATAAACCTCTAGGCTGTTTGATTGGGGAGGTACCATTTGAGTATTAGATTACCACTATTTGGCGAGTACCCCCCCTAATTTTCATAAACCATGGTTTTTTATATTTCGGGGTTGACATTAATAACTATAATAGGTTTTAGAAACCAACTGATATCTGGGGGACCCCACATCGATGGCCATATCTTGGGCATGAATTCTGTTTGATCACCATGAAATCCCCATGAAAGATCACCATGATATCCCATTTATTGGCTGGTGAAAACCATTCAATCCCTCTTTTGATGCTTAAATCCCTATATATTTGTTGCTTAATCCAATTATCTGTGCAGAAGAAGTTTTCGCGGATTTCTGTCCCCTTCTGCCCCTCGACCCACTGGATTTGCGGTCGATGATTCGTCCAAAAATTGTGCAATGGGAAAGAACCACTACCAATGGGATTTTCCATTATTATCCATTATAATCCCATTGGTTACAATCCCATTGGTTATAATCTTATGATAATCCCAAAAAAAGTCCCTATCTGCTTGGTGGTGACTGGAACCATGGATTTTTTTATTTTCCCCAATCGTTGGGATGATGATCCAATCTGACGAAGTCATATATTTTTCAGAGGGGTAGGTTGAAACCACCAACCAGGTCAAGATTGTCACTGGATCAAGAAGGTTTGATCCCAAGGATTCCGATTCCCATGGATTCCCATTAAAACATATAATTTATATATATATATATACATATATTATATGGTTTTAATGGGAATCCATGGGAATCCATACAATCATATATATATATATATATCCCGTTAAAAGACCATTCATAACTGGTATAGTGGATCTATAATCCTGTTGAAATACCAAGGGTTTTTGGGACGTTTTTGGGGTCCGGATCCGCAAATTCCAAGTCTTCGAGTCCAGGACCCGTGGAGCTGGAAGTCCGTTCCGCGTCCTGGCAACGACACCTGGTGCGCGAGACGGTCTCCCGGACTCGACCAAAGGAAATCGGTGATTGAACCAGGAAAATGATGATTGAACCATGGAAAATGGTGATTGAACCACCATGGAAAATGGTGATTAAACCAGGAAAATGGTGATTGAACCATGGAAAATGGTGATTAAACCAGGAAAATGATGATTGAACCATGGAAAATGGTGATTGAACCACCATGGAAAATGGTGATTAAACCAGGAAAATGGTGATTGAACCATGGAAAATGGTGATTAAACCAGGAAAATGGTGATTGAACCATGGAAAATGGTGATTAAACCAGGAAAATGGTGATTGAACCATGGAAAATGGTGATTAAACGAGGGAAAATGGTGATTAAACCAGGGAAAATGGTGATTAAACTAGGGATATACTGGGATGTAATATAATGTAATGGAATATCTTAAATGCTTAGGCCAGTAACGAATAGAAAGCACAGATATACGTAATTATATGTATTTTTTTTTTTGGGTTAAATATGATGGATTGCGCTACCAAGCCTCAAAAGGAGAGAACAATTGGACATGTGGAAAAAAACAATCTATAGTTCACATGCTGGAAACTCACACTTTTCCGCATCTTCCAGTGATTATGTATATATATATATATACATACACATCATTGAAGGTTTCAGTTTTTGACTTTGAGATCTTTTTTACATCTTCTCTTGTTATATTTTTCTCCAGAAAATACATCTTCCAAGATTTTTCACGGGGGTTGCTGACTATATCCACCCGTTTTTCAAAACCTGCACTGAGGCCATGAGCTACTTCCCTCTGATGTCCTTCATGGCATGTGGCTCCAACATCGAGTTGACCAGCCGAAAAGGTGCCCCCCGGAATTTTGCGAAGCCAGTTAACTGGAGATATGTAGATGTATTAATGATGTATTAGTATGCGTTATATAATATGATGATGTATCAATGATGTATTAATTATGATGATGTAGATATTCCATTGAAGGATCAGATGTAATACGTATATTGATACGTAATCATATTTATACAGATGAATATACACATGCAGAACCCCTAAAAGGATAGAAACGGCTCAAAAAAAAAATCATTTTAGATTCGGAGTGTTCCTTCTATCCTGACTTGGGGTTACTTGACATACATGACAGCTATGATAAGCCGTCAGCCTGACAAAGTTATGATCGGATGATCCCATCGGAAGAACAACATCAAACTTTCCCAGAGATGGCTAGTATGGGTAGTAGCTATTCTTTGGAGTAGTGAATTATTATGATATATCCAGTTGGGAACTTGCTTCTCTTACTTCATCACTTTTCTATATAATTATATATATATATCTGTTTGGAAGCTGTATCTACATTGGTAATGGTACTTGAAAGCAACCTGAAACCAGAGGTCAAACTGTTCCAATTTCTTGCCTGAGGCTTGCAGGTTTTCATACGTTAGACAACTTGCAGCGACATCAAAACAAAGCCAAGATACACGATGTTTGAGAAGGCCTTCTTGTCGCTGACCTAGAACAGGGATTCGATTGTTTCACCTCTTTAGGGTTTGCTGAAAATTAGTATATTAATATAATCATATATATATATACTATTATATAAGCCAGACACAAATTTATATAAATGCAATCAGATATGCGCAGCTACACATGTTGCGCATTTTCCTTCGGTAGCAATGGACGTGCATTTGCTGGTCTCCGGTGAGCTCGTGGCATCTCTTCATGATGATTTCGAAGGAAAAACTCCCAGGGCTGTGAAGCAAAAGTTGGCAGCGCAAGTTGGTGTCAGCCGATTCAGACAGCGACTTTTCTGGGAAGATGGTTCTGAGATTCGGAATGATCATGTTTTTGCCGCAGGGTTTGTGAAACTGCAGCTGGTGAAACTCGAATACTGGCCATCAGATGGTGAAGAGGACCGAAAGATGATGCGGGCCTCCAATGATGGTGATTCAGCGGCACTTGAGGAGTTGCTTCACTGCCCTCGGGACCCGAATGTCACAGATGACAGTGGCGACATGCCATTGCACTATGCCGCCCGTGGGGGACATCTTGAGCCCATTCGGCTGTTGCTTGAGGCAGGCGCTGACATCAATTCAAAAGGGCAAGTGGGGAAGATGCCTATCCATGTTGCGGCTTCTCAGGGTCATGCTGATGCAGTGCGTTTGCTAGTGGATCGTAGTGCACAGAAAGATCAACCTGACAACAATGGGGCAACTCCCGCACTCTACGCGGTTTCACGGGGACATCTGGAAATTCTCCAGTTTCTGGCAGAAGTTGGGGCAGACATAGATCATGCCATGGATCAGGGGGCCACCGCCTTGTGGTTAGCGGCAGGTCGTGGACATCTGGAAATTGTTCGCTGGTTAGTGGAAGCTGGTGCCAACAAGGATCACCCTTTGACGGATACTGCAGCAACCCCATTGCGCAGTGCAGCAGTAAATGGCCATCTCGACATTGTGCGCTTGCTGGTTGAGGCTGGTGCCAACAAGGATCACCCGATGGATACTGGAATAACTCCATTGCACAGTGCAGCTCTGAAGGGCAATCTTGACATGGTGCGCTTGCTGGTTGAGGCTGGTGCCAACAAGGATCACCCGATGGATACTGGAATAACTCCATTGCACAGTGCAGCTCAGATGGGCAATCTCGACATTGTGCGCTTGCTGGTTGACGCTGGTGCCAACAAGGATCACCCGACGGATACTGCAGCAACCCCATTGCACAGTGCAGCACTAAATGGCCATCTCGACACTGTGCGCTTGCTGGTTGACGCTGGTGCCAACAAGGATCACCCGACGGATACTGGAATAACTCCATTGCACAGTGCAGCTCAGATGGGCAATCTTGACATTGTGCGCTTGCTGGTTGACGCTGGTGCCAACAAGGATCACCCGACGGATACTGCAGCAGCCCCATTGCACAGTGCAGCACTAAATGGCCATCTCGACACTGTGCGCTTGCTGGTTGACGCTGGTGCAGACTGTGATGCGATCACTTCTGATGGAGAAGCTGCTGGGGATTTGGCATTAAGGTTCGGCCATGAGAATGTTTACCTCTTCCTGACTGAGTCTGTTGCAACGCCACCTCCAGGCAAAGTCCGGAGGCTCGGTGAACGGTGAGAGCTGTGAGAAGGCAAAGAGCTGCAGCATTCTGACGACCAAGTCCTCATTCATTCCGTATGGTCCACCCATCATTTTCGTTGGTTAGTGGAAAATGGGGATGACATTTGCCATCTTTGGCATTTAACCCATTTTGACGACTTTACCCATCAAGACTAGATATTTGTTTGATAGTCAACAACAGGGATTTAAACCATGAATAATGACATGCATCAAAACTGCGCGACTCAACAAGGTACCTTAATTAGTCTATCTTTTGGAAGCCTATGGTTTTTGGGTCTTAGGGGTCCCCTATTACCTATTCTAGGAAACACCCACAAGAGTTTGTCCGAAGATGGGTGGTGTAATCCGAAGTTGCACATTTTATTGGAAGATATTGGAACCATTATAAATTATGATCCGGAAATAGGGGTACCAAAACTTTTGGATACAAATTTGGTATGTTTTCCTTGTTTCATGGCTGAAGGGGTGCAGAGAAACAGTTGAACACAGCCATGAAGCTTTGTCGGGTCGAGTTGAGTGAAATCACAGGAAACCCCAGGGAAATCCCTGTAAAAAGCCTCCAATCTAGGATGGTTATACATGTTACCCAACCTGGAAGTTGTTACAGTTCGCCATGGTAGTTCGATGGCCCATAGATTTATAGATGGTTTACCGTTCTTAAAGAAGCATGGTAAATCTTTCCGTGGCGAACTGTTAGTCATAACCAGATGGTATATAAACGCCTAGAAGATCCTAAAGTGCCATGTGGCCGTGATCATGATCCATTCCATCCATTGCGGCAGTCAACTCCTCAGTTTGGTTGCCATCTATTGCCGTTTTTTGTTGGTTGAATCCATTTTTTGCGCCTTTACTAGTAGTGGGGCTAGACAAGATTACCAATTTATTGAATGGCCGGACACCCGAGATATCTAGATATATCAAACGTGTCAATTAATTGGAGAAGTACCTATCGTTGAAGGTGAAGTACCATGACCAACATTTTTTAGGTGAAATCCAGCATTTTAATTTCTAAATGCCGAAAAGGACCTTCCATTGAAGACCAATCGATTCACATCTCCGCAGAAAAGGAATCCTCAATACGGCCGTTATTGTTATTGGTACAATATCCCCACAACGTATTCTCTAAAAATACATGCCTACTATATCCACAATATATCACCATTATATTTCATTATTGATAGATGTGGTATTGGTATCCTCATGTGAGTATGTAACCATCATGGGATATCATGGGTATTCTATGGGTTAATGAATTATATCTATCCCCATACTGCTTAGAATCCTATTTGGTAAAATGGATAGATCCAATGAGATGATGAATAATATATCCCCAGTTATCGTTAATGAAGTCCCATGATAAAAAGAATCCCATTCCACAACTCATTACAGGTAAACCAAATACAAACCATACTGTATTACGTGTCACATTCAATATAAATGTATATATATTATATATATATATTTATCAATCAATAAACAATTGCTATAAGTTCTATAAGTCATATATCCGTCAATATAAAATAAAGCCATATGAAAAAAACACCATGGCTTGCCGCAATCCGAACGTGGCGGAGGCGTTCAGCCGGACGTGGCCACTCGCAAGAAGGGCCTCATCAGTGCGGTGGTGGTGACCTCCGAATTGAAGCCCTGCGGTAACGTCAGCACCTTGTTGAGCCGGCGTTGAGCCATGACAAAGATGGGGGAAGAACTCGGTCGGAACTGTAGTGGGGATCACGAAGTAACAGTAACTAACATATATAGGATGAGATTGTTTACATATTGGGGGTCATGAACTAACAAATTTAATGAGACCTGAGTTTACCAAGGTTTCCCAATATTTCACGAGAAAGCGGGCGATTTTTTGCGGCTCAAGTGGTGATCTAGAATGATCTAGAGCCATGATTGATGAATTTTCAAACAGAAACACTTATGGGAGATTCACATGTTCGTTGTTTTTGAGCATCACAACTTGGGAAAGTTCATGGGTCATCCAGGGATTCAACGCTATTGCAACGGGGAAAAAACATCTATACATGGGGATTTAAGCTGCATGTATAATCATCTATAGAGGTTTTAGCCTTAGCCATCAAAACTATGGGAGAAACGGGAATAACATAGGAAAATCAAATATTATATATAAGTATATATATATACACATATTTGGGACCCAATAGAAAGCTGGAACTATATTCAGAATACATGGTGGCCCAATAGAGATGGAACATAGATTGAGATAATGGTTTGCAAAATTGATAGATATGAAATGACTGAAATCTATATACCACCCATAGAATCCTTTATGGTTTCAGATCGAATGATCATCGATAAGTCTCGTGGGTCCAGAAGTTGAGACACAAACGAAAAACATGCAGAGCCAGTATCTGAGGATTGAGGAGAATGGTGAGATTGTTTGATTATCGGGTTTGACATGGTTTGACAACAATATCTCAATCATCACTATCTTATCAATTGAGAAGATTATTGGTCCTTGACCCACAGAAGAGGATGGATAACATATGTGTCAAATAGGAGAACCATCTTCTTTTCCCTCTGGCAATCCAACAGAAACCACATTTTATGGGAAAACCGAATCTATGTCCACGTGATGGCACCCCCAGTTTATTAAACTTGTTTAGATAACACCGTCTAACTATGGATAGATCTACCACTAGGTTTCTTAACCAACTGACCTATCCTTTGGGAGCCCAGCTTACCTGGTTTTCAGTGTGCATCAGTGGAGGTACCCTCCGATGTGATTGTTCGTTGGTGGTTCATCCCAGTAAGTGGGGAAAAAACCCGATTATACCCTCTGGTAAACTAACATAGCTATTGAACATGGCCATAGAAATAGTGGATTTACCCATTAAAAATGGTGATTTTCCATAGCTATGTTAAATTACCAGAGGGTAACTGGACAATCTCCACTTTTCCGATTGAACAAACCAAGGTTTGTCGGCCCCCCAGTTAGTTGCGTTACAAACCCAGTTACAAAACCAGTATAACCCAATATATAGTGACATAAACCCCATGAAGCTTGTTAACCAAATTATATCAAGTTATGTGTGTCAACTTAGAAAAAAGAAAACGGACTCACCTTGGTGGGTTGATCAGAGGCGTTGAGCAGGGCCAGCGCTTCTACTTCGAGGTGCTGCAGGGTTTTTGGTGCAGCCTGTTGCTGCCTCAAATTTCACCCCCGTGTTTGTTGCTGTGGCTGTTGAATTTAATATATAGTCACATTGAATTTAAGCCCCACTATTGATATCACTATTGTTATGTTTTTGTTGCTTGACATCACATCTTTTACTTTTTTTGGCTGTTGACTTCTCATTGGACAATTCCGTTTTTGGTGGGGAACCCCATGAGAGCCCCGTTTTTGTTGGTTGACCACTACTATTGGTGGTGAACACTCTATGAGGGGGACATATTCCGAACTGTCCAAAAAAAACCTGGAAGTATGCGCTGATACTTTCGAATTTTACGCTTTATGATATCCAGTCCATTTGCTGTCTCAAATCCAGTTGTTCATCAAAAACAATCATCTCAGGTTTTTGCGGATGACATTCCTAACACTTCCTAACTATGAAGCAGCAAGCTTTCGAATATATTCCCCAATAATTGGAGATTAGATATTCCGAACACTTCTTGATTCACTGCAAAAATACACTAATTTGGTGGATTGCCAGAGTCATCCTTTTCAAGAATACACCATTTACCATTATTTTAACCCACATTCCAGTGGTCTGTCATTTTCCCTATTGACATGCCATGTTCGTGTTATACCCCATTTTCACACATCCATTTGGGCATATCAGTATAGTTTACTAAGCTAATCTTGGATACCTTGCAAATTGCCATCACTAATTCCCAAATTATACCTGCATTACGATGTATTGGAATGTCCTTGGACTTACCCAATTATATTAGGGAATAAGTCCAACATTATTCCGAAAATGAAATCCACTACCTATGAATGACAAGTTCTAGTGCTGAAACCTTACAAATTTTGTTTGGGCGGCTGCAATTACTATACCTCCCTAAGGATTAGGAAAGACTTACTGCTGGGGGTTTTAACCCTGGATCATCCCATTTCTGTGGAAAAATAGCTGAATCAACCAGATACATTTCTGGGGCCCACATTGACGAAATCGCAAAGTTGGTGAGCAGAACTCCAATTTCACTATGGTACTCGTATATGATACTCTTATGCCAGTATTCACGAGGTGAATCTCAACCAACAAACATAACTTAAATATATAGGATATTATTGCAGTATCGTCAACCATAGTTATAGACCATAGTTACCGTAAACCATAGTAGTCATACACCATGGGTACTGTAAACCACAACGGTTATTAACAATTGCCATCAACTATGGTTATAAATCGTTATAAAATAATATCATAAACCATATTTACATATATTTACGGACCCTCCAGTAAATTAAACCATAGGCCCTGCCATGACTTTGCTTGGCAGACGAGTTTCCACTCAAGATTTGTTGTTTTCAGGGTCTATGTCAGTATCGTCAACCATAGTTATCAGCCATAGTATCATCAACCATAGTTCTCAGCCATAGTCACTGCAACTAATAGTTATTAACTCACACAAACTATATAGTTAATAACAATAGTGAATGACAAAAATGCGTAGTTAATTGATTCTAAACATTGTTCATACCACGTTTTTAAAAAACAAACATAATTACTTAGTTATACCGCCACAATTACAAAGCACATTTAATAATGTTTTGTGTGTTATACCATATCTATCAACCACTTCTACCCAGCCTGACATCGAAACGCAGGTGCTGATCGACGCCTTGAGCGAGAAACGCACCAACCGCACGTTGGCCTTGGGCTTCGTTTGGCAACTGCCACAGGTGGGGCGGGAAGGGCAACGAGGCAGGATTCCAAGAATAAATGAAGGGCTTGACCATGACCAAGGAAAATCGTGGATTGATATGGATGTGTGGTCGATTTTTAGGGATTTATATGATTTATATGAGTTATTTGGACTTGTTATAGTTGATTTATACGCGCGATTGACCTCCAATTATGGCAATCTTAATAGGCATTATGATGATTACCTAAACAAACCCAATTCGTCTAATATAGATTTTGCGCGAAACCCTGCAATTTCATAGAAAAACCAAGGTGTTTTCCTGATGTTTCCTGGATTGTTGTCCTTCAATCCATATATAGTTAGTGGTTTTATTTAGCCATACGAGATGGGGTGCATAAAACGAGATTCACCACTCGTTTTTGTAATGGGCCACATAGATTACCTGCATTTTATATGGGGATATTGGGCCCATCCTCCCGTGGATGCCCAAATCGACGGATTTTACGGTAATGAGAGAGAACCATGAAGGTCTTCGTCACATAGTTATGTTGGGAAGGCCTGTTTATACATATGTAATATATATATATATTAAATGATTATACAGTATACATATTATTATGTGTATATATATATAACGTATATATGTACACACTGACCATAAGCAATCCCAATGTGTGAGTGGTTCAAAACCATACTTGGTCCCTTTGTGCCCAGCTATATGTTTGACATCACCAGCCACCAGTTATGTACAGATCATTGTGCAGTTTCTGCACATCTAGCTGGCAGCGTGGCGCTGTCATGGCAGAGGTGATGCAGACCATTGGGTTTGCAGCCGGCTGAGTTTGTCCCTGAACGGACGCAACCTCGTCATATGGGTTGCACTGGTTCGTTGATTCAAATTGGTGGAGGCCAACGTTGTGACCCCATGAAGAGATGGAGTCACTGTGAAGATCAGGACAAGTGAAGAAGATTTCGATATACCCTCTGGCAAACTGCTACATAACTATGGAAAGATTCACCATTTTTAATCGGTAAATCCACTATTTCTATGGCCATTTTCAATAGCTATGTTTGTTTACCAGAGGGTATCTGATGATTTCCCATTCGCAGAATGGTATGGTGAGCCATGCTCCACCTCACACCCAATCCTGATGCTTGTGCATTGTACAATTGTACATAGTCAATTGCATTCCTATCAATCTCCTTGTAGCATTGATCATATAGCTTGCGCATGCTTGCGCCGCCAGAAACCCGCCAGAAACCTGCCATTGGATGAATCGTTTGAAGCGTCTTCTGGAAAGTCAGTGGAGATGGTATATCCCATAGGATCCATGTATGCCATATATGGTAACATTTACCATCAATATACCCCAAATGTTAGCATATATACCATACATGGATCCTATGGGTATGCTTATGCCTTTCCAACTTCACCATGTGGGAATTCAGGGAGAGGTGTTTATTCTGTGGGTATAGGTCAACATTCAATACTCTCAAATAATCCATCATCCAGAAAAATACCCTTCAATATCGATGTGACAAGGCCTAGTTTTGATGAAAATTATATCCGCATGTTTGTTGGTTATCATTGAATATACCGATTATATCACCATTATCATACTCCCATCGCTATATTAAGTTGTCATTTGACTTCTTGATCTACTGGTACTGTACCAATGTTTTCCTGCAGCAGTATCTGTGGTGTTCAGAGCAACCCTGAATTGTCTCGTGTTTGATATTGTTCGACATGGTTTGATGGTCAAACATTGCTTGATGCTTAGAAGTGCAGTTTCAGTTGCAAATGGATGGGTATACATCATTATACATCTCTACATGATATAATATACACATACACATAACCATAGTCGAAACATGTCCATACATACACATAACCATAGTCCAAACAGGTTCTATCATAACTTCTAGGGCTTTACCCTCTGGTTATTTGACATAGCCATGGTAAGATGGCCCATAGAAATAGATGATTTTCCCATTAAAACCGGATTTTCCATGGCAAACTGTTAGTCATAACCAGAGGGTAAATCCCATTAAATCCCATTAAACCACCATTTTTCTATGGTTTTTCTATGGTTTTTCTTAGTGGCGCCATAAAGATCGCCCCAAGATCGCCCCAAGATCCCCGCAGCGGCAGCGAGGCCTTGCTCCTAGGCCCCGAGCCGGGCCGGAAACAGCGTCCGGCCGCTCTTTGGGCCCCGGATGGGCAGATGCCGGACGCCTTGGACGGCACCAACGTTGTGGGGAGGGTCAACACATGGAAGTTCTATATGGTTCTATGGGGAATCTATATGGTTTTATTCTGGTTGGTGGTTTGGAACATAATGGTGGTTAATAATGGTTAATAATGTTGGGTTACCATTATTGATCATATATAGCTAATTTTAAAAAATGACTGGCTGGTTGGTGGTTTGGAACATTTGGAACATGGCTGGATTATTTTCCATTTCATATATGGGATGTCATCCTTCCCATCTCATATTTTTCAGAGGGTAGGTATACCACCAACCAGATATAGATTTGTACGTATCATGTATGTATATGTATAATATGATCTTGGAAAATCATGTATATCGCTGCTTGGGGATCACTTCCGATTCTGGTTTGCAGCCTTTTGAATGGGAACAAACATCAAGAGAGGAGTCCGGCGACCAGTTTTAGTCGGGGTCCCCGGGCATTCAATTTGGAGCTGCACCAATTCCAATGGCTTCAGGGTGCAGGGTCGGGAACGACTCACAAGAATTGCAATGCCAACGAAGAACTTGGGCCCCCCAAACGATAGCTAAGTTGGTGAACATAACTCCAATAACTATGGTTTATGGTAGATATAACTATAGTATTTATGGGGTTTATTTCAACCAACGTTCACATCACTGGGGGGCGCCACCAACGAAGAACTTGGTTGGGTGCACTGTGCATCACAGGTGAGGAGCGGAACCATGAATTCATCAGGATGTACAGCAGCTGGTTCCACTGTTCGTAGGTTTTAGCCCTACTTATCTAACAGTTATTTGACCAAGGCCCATTTATAACCAAGGTGTTCTCATCCGTTAGGTAATTGATGGTAATTGGGATAAACCACCAAGTACACTCACTGTACAAATGAAGGCTTACACGACTTTTATTCCACACCAATCGCCACAGCGCATGGTGCGCCCAAGGAGCAAGCGCTACAGCTGCCACGATCTTTGGTGTTGGGAGGCAGGAAGTCAAAAATCCAGTTAAGGATACCTCAAGCTGCAAGAATTTCTAAACCCTCCGGATGTTATCTCCAAAAGTGGGATCTAATTACGGATCTATTCTTTTCGCTTTTTTCGAGCAGTTTGTAAAAAAAAAATACCTTGTGGTAAATTAACATAGCTATACAAAATGGCCCATTTATAGATGGTTTACCTATTAATAGCATGGTGATTTTCTATAGCTATGTTAAATTACCAGAGGGTAGGGATTACCTCACCATTTGTTTGGGGATGTCGAACGAACGTTGGGGGCGTGCACAGGCGATCCACCGAAGGCCTATCTGGCCGGGAAGGAAGTGGCGAAGCTCAGCTGGCGTCCGTTGCTCGAGGTGACCCTGATCCTTGGCGAGTTCCGAAAAAGTGCCCCCCGTTGTGATGGAACTTGTTGATGTAGTGCCCTCTGGTTATGTCAAAATAGCTATTGAAAATGGTCATTTGTAGTGGATTTTCCCATGAAAAATTGCCAATTTCAATAGCTGTGTTAAATTACCAGAGGGTATATCTAATCCCGTTGAACTTACAAAACAAACATCCATAAACATCCATAAACCCTAGGTATACATGTATGTATCCCCCATAAACATCCATAATTCCAAACGTTATTGGACTAATATGGGACTTATGATTATGTCCACCAACTTCGCCAACTATGGCTCTTCATCCTGTAGGATCAATGGGTCTTTGCGGTTCCAAGGGACCCTGGAAGGTGGACATTTTCGCCAACATGGGGATGTTCGTTCAAAGTTCAAAGTGAGGCTTCCATTGATGTTAGGTCATGAACCGGTCAAATCGCCCAATATCCCCCATAGACCCAAACGTCCACGAAGTTTGAAGTCAACTGAGCTATTGTTTGGGGGAGGCTCATCTTGTAAAAACACGGATATAGAGGATACACTCCCAAACTGTCTGGCTGCCATATACCCATTTTGCACGAAAAACAGGATGACACTCTTCCCGTAAAGGTCGAATTCTCAATGAATTCTCCAGTACACCAGATTAGATGACTGGATCGGGTCACTTGAAAAACCCGGGACGGGGGGGCGAATATATATATATAAATATATTATATGCACATACATTACATTACATTACATTTCATTACATTACATTACATTAATATAATATAATACAATACAATATACATACATAAATATACTATGATGATATTCAGCTCACAATTTCCAGGTTTCCAACTTCTTTAAAGAAGTATCTATCATCATCAAAGAACTAATAAGAACTAGTGACATGGGGTTTGGATATGTTTTTCAATGAAAACAGCCATCATTTCACGTCGTGGAAATCGCGCCGGGATCTGGCGAGGAAAAGTGTTTTGGGCGTCTGGCTGGAGATGACAGCGGATCACCTCACTATTTCGATCTTCCAGGACGAGCTGAAGTTTTGTGGGGCTTACCCTCTGGTAAACATACAAAAAACTATGGAAACTCACCATTTTAATGGATAAATCAACTCTAAATGGCCATTTTCAATCGCTATGTGAGTTTACCAGAGGGTAAAACCACTTTCCAGGTTGGTTGGAAGCGAAAATCAGTTGGTTTGCAGCAACTCCTTGCTGCAAACACATGCGGCGAAAGAAACAAGCATAAATCATCCATGAATCCTATATTTGTTGTTGGTTAAACATGGTTAAGACCACATGTTTGTCCTATCTCTGCTTGGCTCAGCACCAGGGCACCTTGTTTTTCACATCAGGATGGTGATCTCAAGTGCACAGTTGAGGCGCCAGTGCCCGAGGACCATGTGCTGGTGGTGGTGGTGGTGGTCTAAATTATGTGTGCGGTCATGTTAGTTGGATTTCATCATCTAAGAATAATGATATATATCTATACATACACATACATATATATATATATCTTTTTAATTTGGACATGGGGATACATCATGGAATATCCAACTATAGTCAAGAGTTGGATTAGAACAAGCCATATTGAGGGAGGGTCGTCAATCCGTTAATGGAGATCTATACGCATTGTAAGGATTCCCATTATATGGTATGGATGACGATGAAGCATATACCATATTTTGACCACGGCGCATATTTGGTGGCGTCTTGGGGACCCTCAAAAAATCCATGAGCCAAGGTATTCAGCATCGTCTTGGGGAATTCAGCTTAAATGAATCATGGAGATACTGTGGACGGTTGCAAAATCCTGCGCCACCAAAAAGGATGCTTAAAAGCCTATAAATGATGGGATGTTTATCATAAATAATGGGATGTTTACCATCTATCAACTGGTGCAGGATTTCGCAACCATCCACAGTATGATGTGTGTCATGGTGCATCATGGTGTGTCACTATAAAAAAGGATTCCCATGATGAGATGATCATAGCGAATGTACATAGCAGGGTAGTTTCATACACTCCACTTATATTCAGGATTTGTTTGCAAGTTCTTATATATGTATATATACATTATATATGTATCAGTTGAAAGTATCATGGATACATAATCCATTGGAATAATTGCAACTAAGTCGATCCAACAATGCGATATTTGATCACAACAGAAATGGTGCTGTAACCAACGAGACGCGGTAGAACAGAGGGACAGATTAAATGTGTGAAGTTGGTTTTAATGATGAACACGGCAGATTAACTATGTGAAGTGGTGTTTAACGATGAACACGCTGGGAAACATTTGGCGATATCTATGAGATGCAACCAAAAAACCTTCTAATCCATCTGGGTGTGACTGAAATTGGGGATGTTACTATCTATAAATGTGGCAGTTCAAGTTCATGGTAAAATCATCCGTATTTGTTTGACATTTCCAGGTCAGATATGGCATAAGCCAGACACATTTGATTGGCTTAATCATTTTTTTTCCTGGGAATATCTTCATTTTTGTTGCTGTAAACCAGCATTGTTCTTCCATCAATAGACCCTCTAAGGGTAAGCATCATTTATATTCATTTATCCCATTAGCCTCTGGTACTCAACCGTGGCCAGCTAGAAAATCCACCATTTATCGTTGATTTTCCCAGCTCTCCCTTTCTAGGAGATCCCGTTAATTCCTATGAAATCCCGTGAAAAAACAGCTGTTGGCAAAATCTGTCCCTGTTCTCCCTCATCAGGATTGGACTGGATGACCCCATAAAACTTACCCTCTGGTAATGACTAACATGAACATGGCCCATTTAGTTCGTGTATTTATCTATTAAAGATTGTGATTTTCCAGTTCGCAAACTGTTAGTTTACCAGAGGGTAACCATACCATGGAACATTAGTTGCTGATATAGATCCGATATGATCCAATTAAATCCCATTCACTCCTGATTCTATCCGATGTCACCCCATTGAATCCCATTAAATCGCGTGAAGTCCCAAGTTGTTGTTGCTTATACCCCATTAAATCCCCTTAAGTCCTATACTCTTCCACTATCTCTGAATAATCACTAACATACATACGTATTTAATCATACATTAAAAATTGAATAGAAGTCCATCTTATATGCACGACTTAATATATTTAGATTTAGATTAGTTATAAATTGTTTTATTAAGTAAGAAATCTAATTCTCGCAATTACAAAGTATATAGATTTATTTATAAAACAAATATTTACTGATAGATCCCATATATTCCAGTAAGTGAATTAATCATATATCATCTCATTATTATTTTATAACATGAATGTACTATTAAATAAGGATATTCTACATATTGTCCATTCTGATATTCGTTAGACATATTAATATGGGATGTACTAATTAATATATTTTGTATATGTACAACAATGACTATCAATTGATAGTGCATTTTATATTCTATATTCCATGAGAGGGTGTAGTATTATGTATATTGTGAAGCAAAAACAACTATGCTTCAACTATATATAAACTACTATAAATATATACATATATATATATCACATATCACATCTATATGATATATCATATATCATTAATGTAACTATAATCCCATCATAATATATATGTATATATTCAGATGTATTTCAGGGATATAAAAATAAAATCATCCATATCTACATATATCATATATCATTAAATATAAACCAATCAACATACTTATATATATATATGATATCATATAATTCCAATTTCACTATGTTTTTTGTTGGTGATATTATCCCATCCCATTAAAAATAGAATCATCCCATCCTATATATGATGGATTATAAATGGGATGTAAACGATCTATGATTCTATACTGGGACTATATCCATATAACTATTATAAATCATCCATATCTACATATATCATATATCATTAAATATAAACCAATAAAAAATAATAAAAAAAAACATCCTATATATCATTATATATCATATATGGGACTATATCCATATAACTATTATAACTATATATCATAAAAAATATCATCCATATATCATCCAAAAAAATCTACTAAATAGAAACCTATTAAAATTGAATCATCCCATATATGACACATATAGATCATTTATAGATGTGTATAATAGTCTATGATTCTATATGTGTCCATTGTCCAGGACTGGAAGTGGCCCGGGCTGGGTCCTCCCAACGGCCTGGTGGACGTCAGCGGCACCGTGACCTGCGTGGCGCTGCGCCAGGGCGCCGAGCCGCCGGAGTCGGAGGTGGAAGCGCTTTTTGGGGCGGAAAAAACGGGCGAAGATGCCGGGGAAATGGGGAGTTCACCGGGGAAAAATGGTGATTTGATGGGTTTTGATGTATTTTTGTTGGGAATTTTGGTAAAACTCGGAGTTTTGATGGGGTTTTAGCATCAGAAACAAGGATTTGAGCAACAAAAATGGTGATTGAACCAGCAAAGAGGGTGATTTCAGATGATTTCATGGCATTTTGACATGAACAATTTGGATTTACCCGACAAAAAAATGGTTGTTTAGACAGGGATTTCGGCCAATGACAAGGTGTATTCAAGCAGTAAAACAAAGGATTTAAGGAACTGAAATTGTGATTTTACTGACAAAAATGAATGTTTTGGCAATTGTTGAGAGGATGGCTTAACATAAGAAATTGTGATTGTCCAATTAAGACAGTGGGTAACTTTTGGTGAAGGGAAGGTTTAAACTTTGAACAAGGAGAATTACCAATTGACCTGCACCAATCACTTTTTGGCGAGGAGTCAACTATCAAAAGATAGGGATGATGAAAATTGGTGATGGGTAGTTCCGAAACCAACTCGGGCCCTAATGTTGGGGGAATACAATGTCTAGTTTTAAAGAGCATGCAGGGTACAACTAAGCATGAAACTGGTGGCTGAACAAACATAAGATGAGTTTAGATGCACATAACAAACTGAACGTATGACTCAGAGTTTGATCCGGCAGAAAGCAGGGATGCCACCAACAAACTGGTGACTCTCAACAGAAACGGGTCGTTTAGCTGGAAGGTGGTTGGCAATTCAGGACACCTACTGTATATAGTTTTCTATTGCCAAAGGCACAGGTACTTGCAGGATATTCTTTGTGATTCATTTGAAGATATCCAACTGATTGATTCTTGGGACCGAACAGATTCACATCCAAAATCTTGAGAGATTTCCAACTGATTGGGGTCTGTCTGCAAAGAGGGTATACACCCAAATCTGGGTCATTATTTTCCTATGAAAGTTTGCATGTTAGAGGTAGGCCCTAGTTTTCAGAAAAAAACATGCGAGTTTTCCAACCGTTCTTTTGCCCCAACCATTCTGATCGTGTCGCCTTTCTCCATCCAGAATCCAGACCATTTTGCCCCACAGCATCCGATGCAACCAATGTTCGGCTCAGCGAGCAATCGCGGGCGGATTGGTTTCATTGATGGAACATTCGGCCTCGGGGATTGTTCTCTGTTACCTTGGGGGAGCACTGCCAAGAGGAATCCAAAAATGAAGCAATCTGAACCCCAAGCCCCAAAACACAACACATCCCCAATCAACCCTATTTTGGATGTATTACTGCAATCTTATGAAATTATGTGTATACCGTATACCGGTCTACTCCTCCGTGAAAAGATGTAACATGTTTCCTTACTGGCACCGCCAAGATGGTGGATGGTTGTAGGGGTCACCCCAAAGCTAAGAACAATGAAGGAGCTAAGGAGCCACCAGGGTAAAACAATCTTACAGCGGCAGTTGATGGTAATCCCATGATCCCTATAGGATGGGCCCCCGCTTCGAGCGAAGGCGTTCTGAAACGCCTCAAAAAAGTGGCTGATTTCTATGGTTTATGGTAGATATAAGTATAGTTTTCATAGGGTTTATAATGGTTTATATATATATATTTCTTAATCCAATTAACTATATATATATATATAGATATTAGATAACTATAGTTTTAACGTTTTAACTATAGTTATGGGCTTATGGGGTGTTATGGGGTTTATAAACCACCTTATAATTGGGGGGCACCATCCTGTAAACTAACGTCACTTTGCCCAGCGGGGTCCATGTGCGCCAGCCATGGCTCGAATGATGGAGACGGGGTGAAGGCAGGATAGCGGTGAGCAACAAATAGGGCATGAAACAACATGAAAAAACTAGCGGTGGGATATAGAATATTATTAAATATTATATATAGTTGAGTTGAACACTAATATTTGGAAGTGATATGAAGTGATCGGATTCCCAAAAACAGATTGAAGAGGATGGAAAACCCCAATTGAGCAGTGGCTGCTAAACCCCGGTTAATCATTATAGGGGATTTTACTAACCAATATATATCCTGGGGAATATCACACTCCATTAGGGGAATCCCTATCAACTAAGCAGTATAACGAGATGACAGGTTTTGAACACTGCTCAATTAGGTTTTACTGTTTATTTTGAGACCAATTCCGCCAATTCCTCATTGTGCTGGTTGGCTCCCTTTCGGTATGCTTTCGGTATGTTCAGTGCACCCTTTTGGTCAAAAACCTCCAATTCCTCATTCTGATTCCCGAAACCTACATATTAGTTACGGTCAAATGAGTCAACATGAGTCAACCATCAATCAAAAAGCGGGGACGATTTTCAGCCAAATTTTGGTAATCTACTGGTCCCTGGGGTAACTTCCGGATAGCCTGGGGTAACCCTGTGTGCCATGGGGATGGGGTAGCTTCTGGGTGCCTGGGTATACCATGGCCACAGAACCTGCATGATCCGTCAGACTACCTCTTGCGAGTTGGCTGTACATAGAGGGATTTGTACGTGAAGTAGTTATATATATATATATATACACATACATAGTATATATATATATATGCACAAGCCTCAAAAGAATAGGAAAAAAAGCATGTCAATTCATCACTATTTTAGCTTTGTTTTTTTTCCAGAGTCTAAATGTTTTTCTGGGTTACCATGTACAGAAGCCATCATCCACCTCAAGCTTCAGACATTTACGATAGGATAGTTCCATCAGCAATTCCAGGAGGAGATTCTCACAGAGCATCATCAAACTATCCCAGTTGGATAGTTAGTGAGGGTAGCTATTCTTCAGCTTAAGTGATAATTAATGATGACTTATCCACAACTGAACTCACGTATCTCTATTTTCTTTTGAGGCTATAGATGAGTAGTGGTAATTGAAAGCAACCTGAAACCAGAGGTCAGACAAGGTCTTGCTGTAGGCTTGCAGTTGTTCATACGTTAGGTAACTTTTAGCGAAACCACTATACACGATGTTTCGATAGCTTTCTTGTCGCTGACCCCGAAAAGGGGTTTGCGGTTTCTGACGTTTTTGGGTTTGGTGAATGAGATTATGCAGCCACATACAAATAGATACAATCAGATAATTCGTAGCAACACAGTTTGCACGGTTTCCTTTGGTAGCAATGGAGGTGCGTTTGCTGGCATCGGGTGAGCCCGTCGCATCTCTTCCTGCTGATGATTTCGAAGGAAAAACTTCCAGGGCTGTGAAGCAAAAGTTGGCAGCGCAAGTTGATATCAACCGATTCAGACAGCGACTTTTCTGGGAAGATGGTTCTGAGATTCTGAATGATCATGTTTTTGCCGCAGGGTGTGTGATGCTGCAGCTGGTGAAACTCGAATACTGGCCATCAGATGGTGAAGAGGACCGAAAGATGATGCGGGCCTCCAATGATGGTGATTCAGCGGCACTTGAGGAGTTGCTTCAACAACCTCGGGACCCGAATGTTACAGATGACCGTGGCGACATGCCATTGCACCATGCCGCTCGTGGGGGACATCTTGAGCCCATTCGGCTGCTGCTTGAGGCAGGCGCTGACATTAATTCCAAAGGCGACACTGGAGCCATGCCCATCCATGGGGCTGCAGAAGACGGTCATGCTGATGCGGTGCGTTTGCTAGTGGACCTTGGTGCACAGAAAGATCAACCTGACAACGATGGGGTAACACCCGCACTAAGTGCGGCTATAGGGGGACACGTGGAAATTATCCAGTTTCTGGCGGAAGTTGGGGCAAACATAGACCATGCGATGGATCAGGGAGGCACTCCCTTGTGGTTCGCAGCAAACCTGGGCGATCTTGAAATCGTTCGATTGCTAGTGGAAGCTGGCGCCAACAAGGATCACTCGACGGTTACTGGAATAACTCCATTGCACATTGCAGCACTAAATGGCCATCTCGACATTACGCGCTTGCTGGTTGAAGCTCGTGCCAACAAGGATCAACCGACAGTGGAAGATGGGTCAACGCCATTGCACTTTGCAGCTCGAAATGGGCACCTTGACATTGTGTGCTTGCTGGTTGACGCTGGTGCCAACAAGGATCACCCGACGGATACTGGAATAACTCCATTGCACATTGCAGCGCTAAATGGCCATCTCGACATTACGCGCTTGCTGGTTGAAGCTCGTGCCAACAAGGATCAACCGACAGTGGAAAATGGGTCAACGCCATTGCACTTTGCAGCTCGAAACGGGCACCTTGACATTGTGCGCTTGCTGGTTGACGCTGGTGCCAACAAGGATCACCCGACGGATACTGGAATAACTCCATTGCACATTGCAGCGCTAAATGGCCATCTCGACATTACGCGCTTGCTGGTTGAAGCTCGTGCCAACAAAGATCAACAGACAGTGGAAGATGGGTCAATGCCATTGCACTTTGCAGCTCGAAATGGGCACCTTGACATTGTGCGCTTGCTGGTTGACGCTGGTGCCAACAAGGATCACCCGACGGATACTGGAATAACTCCATTGCACATTGCAGCGCTAAATGGCCATCTCGACATTACGCGCTTGCTGATTGAAGCTCGTGCTTACAAGGATCAACCGACAGTGGAAGATGGGTCAACGCCATTGCACTTTGCAGCTCGAAATGGGCACCTTGACATTGTGTGCTTGCTGGTTGACGCTGGTGCCAACAAGGATCACGCGACGGATACTGGAATAACTCCATTGCACATTGCAGCGCTAAATGGCCGTCTCGACATTATGCGCTTGCTGGTTGAAGCTCGTGCCAACAAGGATCAACCGACAGTGGAAGATGGGTCAACGCCATTGCACTTTGCAGCTCGAAATGGGCACCTTGACATTGTGTGCTTGCTGGTTGACGCTGGTGCCAACAAGGATCACCCGACGGATACTGGAATAACTCCATTGCACATTGCAGCGCTAAATGGCCATCTCGACATTATGCGCTTGCTGGTTGAAGCTCGTGCCAACAAGGATCAACCGACAGTGGAAGATGGGTCAACGCCATTGCACTTTGCAGCTCGAAATGGGCACCTTGACATTGTGCGCTTGCTGGTTGACGCTGGTGCCAACAAGGATCACCCGACGGATACTGGAATAACTCCATTGCACATTGCAGCGCTAAATGGCCATCTCGACATTACGCGCTTGCTGGTTGAAGCTCGTGCTAACAAGGATCAACCGACAGTGGAAGATGGGTCAATGCCATTGCACTTTGCAGCTCGAAATGGGCACCTTGACATTGTGCGCTTGCTGGTTGACGCTGGTGCCAACAAGGATCACCCGACGGATACTGGAATAACTCCATTGCACATTGCAGCGCTAAATGGCCATCTCGACATTACGCGCTTGCTGGTTGAAGCTCGTGCTAACAAGGATCAACCGACAGTGGAAGATGGGTCAACGCCATTGCACTTTGCAGCTCGAAATGGGCACCTTGACATTGTGTGCTTGCTGGTTGACGCTGGTGCCAACAAGGATCACGCGACGGATACTGGAATAACTCCATTGCACATTGCAGCGCTAAATGGCCGTCTCGACATTATGCGCTTGCTGGTTGAAGCTCGTGCCAACAAGGATCAACCGACAGTGGAAGATGGGTCAACGCCATTGCACTTTGCAGCTCGAAATGGGCACCTTGACATTGTGTGCTTGCTGGTTGACGCTGGTGCCAACAAGGATCACCCGACGGATACTGGAATAACTCCATTGCACATTGCAGCGCTAAATGGCCATCTCGACATTATGCGCTTGCTGGTTGAAGCTCGTGCCAACAAGGATCAACCGACAGTGGAAGATGGGTCAACGCCATTGCACTTTGCAGCTCGAAATGGGCACCTTGACATTGTGCGCTTGCCATGGTTGACTCGTGCTGGTGCCAACAAGGATCACCCGACGGATCACTGGAATAACTCCATTGCACATTGCAGCGCTAAATGGCCATCTCGACATTACGCGCTTGCTGATTGAAGCTCGTGCTAACAAGGATCAACCGACAGTGGAAGATGGGTCAACGCCATTGCACTTTGCAGCTCGAAATGGGCACCTTGACATTGTGTGCTTGCTGGTTGACGCTGGTGCCAACAAGGATCACCCGACGGATACTGGAATAACTCCATTGCACATTGCAGCGCTAAATGGCCATCTCGACATTATGCGCTTGCTGGTTGAAGCTCGTGCCAACAAGGATCAACCGACAGTGGAAGATGGGTCAACGCCATTGCACTTTGCAGCTCGGAATGGGCACCTTGACATTGTGCGCTTGCTGTTTGATGCTGGTGCAGACTGTGATGCGATCACTTCTGATGGAGAAACTGCTGGGGATTTGGCACTAAGGTTCGGCCATGAGGATGTTTACCGCTTCCTGACCGAGTTTGGTGCAACGCCACCTCCAGGCAAAGTCCGGAGGCTCGGTGAACGTTGACCTCTTTTGAGGTGGTCAAAGTCCGCATTCCGATTCTCGGAGTGACCCCCAAAGGTCTTTCACCTTGCTGAAACACCATAGTTTGCTGATGTATGCTCTCTAAGCGATTGGCAAGTAGGGTCTCAGACGTTCAACATTGAAATATGTAAAGGTAAATGTTTAATTGCATATTTTTTTGGAATATAAGGCAGATTCTTCAAGTCATATATTTTTGAATTTGATAGTTGCAAAGCAGTAGCTATTTCTATCTAAGTGTTTTTGTTGGACCACAAGATTACAAGGCTACGGATTCAATCCCTATTACATCCTATTACCATCTAGCTTAACTATCTAATCATGTGATCATACAATTACTAGAATTAAAACCATGATTAGCTTGATTATTACCATCAAACCCCCTGAATGTGATTGTTACCATTACTAATCATGTGATTATTACTACCATCAAACTCATCAAACCCACTGAATCAAAGGGATGATTTTGGAAATCCAGTGGCTTTCCAGTTCTTTTTCCCAGCGATTTGACGAAAAACCCGTCCGATCGGCAGGGCCCGAGATTTTCCTTGGCTCAGGCTGGGGATGGATCACGACTGAAGACATTGACGTTGGTGGTTTGGAACATGGCTGGATTATTTTTCCATATGTTGGGAATAATAATCCACACCATTTTTCAGAGGGGTAGGTCAACCACCAACCAGTCATAGTACAGTCCTATGATGTCCTATGGGCCTGTGTGGAATACATTTCCAGTTCTATGGGATACTTTGATATAAAAAAAACTAAGACTATATAAGTCTATATTGTTTCAAAGCTTCAATTTATCTAAATTTCAGATGAGGATGTTTACCAATTTCTATCTTTTTGGGGGGTTACTATATACTGTGTGGGTGTGTCTGAAAATGAGGTATACCCCAATAGCAATTTTATACGGAAAATTGTGATTCTCCATATCCATTGGATGGAATGGGGTGCTATATACATCTATATTTACATATATTTACTGCATACATAGTTACATGTTGTATCTCTATTTTTTCTATACATATGGATCATATGGGGGGTTCTTAAAATGGGGGATCCCCAAGTCACCATGAGTTTCAATACCAAGTTCTGGTCCACTTGGATGGCGGTCGCCATATCAACTCGCCAGTTGTCATAGCCTGGAGGCTGCCGTGTGCAGTGGCTGGCCGAGAGATGTATTGGAGGATTACGCAAGTGGCTGCATCGGAATCGCAAGTGGAGCAAGAACCATCTCATTAGTCACTTGTATATTTTATATGATATAATATATATATATATATACATACATTTCGGTGATGTTACACCATTATATTTCTACAATATTTGGAATAATATACTGTATAGTGTATGTTAAATAGTTTTTAATGTGTTATAATATAACATAGTATATTGTAATATATTGTAATATATTTTATATAATATGTTATAATCTATTATCATTTTTTTTTTTATATTCAAGTTTATACTATTGTATATGATTTCTATGTGGAAAATTCCCAGTTATGTATGGTTCACATGTGGGTTATAAATCACATAATAGAGGACACAACCAAATAGTAACAGCAGCATGGGTAGGGTATGTCTCAAAATTGGGACGGGATTATGATAATTCCCTATTCTGACCTATACGGGCTATGGGTTTTCATCCAGAATGAGGGGTATTCAACCAAGCATGCGTGGATGTACAACCACCAAAGTAGTGATTGTATTTCCGCAAGAAAACATTGGCATTCTACAAATTCATTCCTTTTCAAAGTCCACAAGATAGCTAGAGATGATTAAACAATGCCTTTTTTCCCATTTCGTTTTTCACACTCAAATTAGGGTATCCTCAAAGTTTTTCTAGATCCAAGTCTCCAGTCAGATCTGCCGCGGAGTCTCCAGTCAAATGTTCCCAATGCAAGTCCAGCGCTAGATCCTGTCCGGGTTGCTGTTGGGTCGGCTCAGTCACCAAAGTCTTTCAATATGATTGGTGGATGGGGTGGCTAGAAATCCCAAGTGTTGTGTTGGTCGCATCCCCTCAGGTCTTACATTGCCCCAACCTACCGAAAATCACAGCCGGCCAGGACTTTTGTAAGTGGCCCATTGTGGCGGATTCGCCGCAGAGTTTCCTGAACTTTGTGATGTATGGGAACCATTCCCAGGCGTTCAGCGGAGATGGGCGGATGGGTCCAAGGTGAATAGGAAGAATCAATGGCTTGGCGAGCTTTACAAATGTGTGGCTGCGGGTGGACTTGTTCATTTTCAGGCAATCATGAAGTTTGGTTGAGTAAGAACCCATTGTTGCCAAAGGGGTTGGCAAACAAGTAGCGACGTCACTGAACGACGATCTCGCTCTTGTTTTTCGAGCTGTGGGCCCGATTGCCAATGTTGCGCCAATCTTTCCGTAACCCTTTGATCCCATTTTTGGAATTCGAATTTGCCAATATTATAACCCATAGGATCCATGTATTATATATGGTAACATTTACCATCACTATATACACCAAATGTTAGCATATGTACCAGCACCATGGATCCGTCATGGGTAAGATGATTCCCTTCGATTTGACTTTGATAAGAATTGCGAAGATCATCCCCCGACGATTTTCCCTCGTCTTCCCCCGTCCAAGTGATATATAGATAGACCCAGCCGGGGGGGATCGGAAGACTACACTTTCCAACCTCAAAAAAGTTCTAATTCTCTCAGGGTCGATTAATATTGGGGAATGACACCAAAAATCACCAAAATTTGAAGACTCCCCCGGGTCTTGGTTCGCGAATTTTACCGGAGAAATCTCCTTGGCAGGATGAACATACCGATGTTTGTTAAGGGTACACCAACTTCTCAAGGTGATAACTGCAGTTCATCAACTCCGAATTTTTTGGGGTACAGTACTTGCTGGTGAAATTTCAACCTTTTGGAGGTTCAGTCTTCATTCTTTTCCGGATAAAGAGCTGGAACATCCTGGAACCACCAATTCAATTGATCAGATCCCCATGTTCTTTCTCAAATCCCCCATGCCAGTTGCTTAGAATATCTCAAAATCCCCCATGGTTTGCTTCAATCATCTGACATCCCCAGTTGCTTATGCTGCTACATCCCCCACCCAGGGTCCAGGGTCCAGGGTCAGCCAGGGTCGGCTGCGAGGCTCAGATGTGCGTCTTGCGTAACGGCCTGCAGCACCTGGGCCTGGCGGAGTCCTTGCCCAAAGCCTTGATGCAGGTGGGGCCATAAATTGGTCACATGGTATATCCCCAAAACTGTTACTTGAAAATAGGGGAAAGGAATAGACATGATGATGAACTCATATGTCTATCATATGTCAACTCATATGTCTATCATATGTTGGCTATTTGATCATAGTTATGCAATATGTTTTTTAAAAAACCATCCCATCCATGATGATATTATCCCATTAACTATAGGATGGAATGGGGTAGAGCATTTCCAAAGTCATAAGGATGGCAACACTCTGGTGACACACGGTGACATAACCAGCAACAGAAATGGGGGAAATATCTGGATGACTTATGTCGCGACCTCACTGTGACGTGAGTGGAATGATGGAAAAAATGGATTGGAGCCAAATTGGAGCAGCTATATTCGAGCTAAGCCGCTAAGCCCAAATGTGTTTTTTAAAATAAGGTTGGTGAAGTAGTTTATACATTATATAATGTTATATACATGTTTGTATGAATTTATCATGATTGATCGATTTTTCTTGCAAAACATGTAAAGTATTGCACTTGTACCACCCAGCTAAAAGTACTTCCTTTTCTTCGCTGGGAGTGGCCATGACCTGGGGATGGTGGGAGGTATGGCCCTTGATTTGTGCTTCATTGCACAAAAGAATCCTTGGAATGTCTCAGAATGACTCAGAATGACCAATATTTAACTGGTTGGTTTGGAACATGACTTTATTTTTCCGTATAGTGGGAATAATATTCCCAACTGACGAACTCATATTTTTCAGAGGGGTAGGTCAACCACCAACTAGATTTCACTGTGTTTCTTGGGTCTTAGAACTTCACAGATACCATCAGATACCCAACGCACTGGAAAAGTCGGGGCATGTCATGGCCGATCTGGGCAAAGTCGAACGTCTACACCAACTTTCAGCTTTTGCCCCCTGATTGGCCTTTAATTCCAGATCATACCAATTCAGGTAATTGCATCTAAATCATATCTGGTTGGTGGTTTGGAACATGAATGAGAGGTTTTTTCCATATATTGGGAATCATCATCCCAACTGTTACTCACTCCATCATTGTTCAGAGGGGTAGGTCAACCACCAACCAGATATAGAGCTTGCTGACATGGATTTTCATCAATTTCCCAGAGATTTCCATTTACGTCTACAGTCAGATTGACCGCCTGCCAGACGATGCTCCCCTTTTTGTTAGGCCTGCCAGACGCATCATGATGCCATCGAGGCACAGAGCTTTTGGGATTTTGCTGCGCTTGCAGGCGGCGATTTGTGCTTTTGTCACATCGTTTGGAATGAACATTTATGATATCTTTCATTAAAACATGTTTTTAAAAAAAAAAAAAAAACTATAAGTGATGGTTAGATCCCATAGAACCATGTTTTTCCCATCAATACCCTCTGGTAAACTAACATGACTGTGTAATTCAGCATCTTTAAATATGTTTAATAGATAAATAAACGAACTAAATGGGCCATTTAAACAGTAGCAAACTGTTCGTCATTACCAGAGGGTATCCCAAAATGGATGGTTTATTGATGAAGAACACCATTGAAATGGATGATTTGGATTATTAGAGTGATTTGAATATGGGATTATTTAGAATGATTTAAATATGGAGGTTTCCTGGATTAGTTAATAAGTTAATTACCTATTTAAAAAAAACGTGGTGATTGTCCATAGTCATGTTAGTTTATCAAAGGGTACTCTCTGGTAATTTAACCTAGCTATGGAAAATCACCATTTCCATAGGTAACTCCTCTATAAATGGGCCATTTTCCATAGCTACAAAGTGGGGCCCCCAAACGATAGCTAAGTTGGTTACTAACTCCAATAACCATGGTTTATGGTAGATATAACTATAGGATTCATGGGGTTTATAAACCAACTAACATAACACATTCTATATCATAGATTATCATTCTGATCTTGAAACCTATATCATGGATGATCACATATTGTCCTTGTAATCCAGTTATGATTCGGATATCAAAGGCTATTTTCCAGAGCTCAACTCCCGACGTCGTCCCGACGTCGTCCCGACGTAGGCCGTGCTCGCGACGGAGAGCGCCTTGGGCGGCGACCTGGACGGGGACGTCTTCGTGTGGGGCGACCAACCAGGCGGAGATGCGGCGGACGCGGACGGGAGATGTCAACCATACCTTTTTTGAGGCGATCCCGAACAGAATAAACCCATACTGGTTGGTGGTTTGGAACATGGCTTTTATTTTCCATAATATATATATATATAAATATCTGGGATAATCCTTCCCATTGACTAATATTATTTTTCAGAGGGGTTGAAACCACCAACCAGCATAATAAACCTGGTGGTTACGGTGGTTAAGAGATAGAATAGACATGAATAAACGGTGGAAAAAAGGATGGTTTAAGCTGCAAACGTAGGAAAAAAGGGTGGGTTGTACAGATTGAGATATTGAATACTGATGATTGAACCACCAAAAATTGAGAGATCATAACACAAAAATGGTGATTTACGCACCAAAAAATTGGATTTCACCGGATTTCACCAGCCAAAATTCGGATATAGTTATATGTTATGGTAAAACAAGCACTACTTGTGATTTAACAAACAATAATTGGGATAGAATCCGTACATCTGATGTTTCACTGCGTTGACTTGAAGGAAAATATCTTGTTTCTGCGTAGTTTTTGGGTCCACACGCCCCCGGTGTTCTTTGGGAAGTTGGCACGTTTCGCTGTTGATTTCTTCACGGGTACTGAGGAACCCAGCATGATGATGCTTCCAGATACAGTAAGTGTATGGTCAAAAATAATGTAAGTCAGAAACCCCTACGGATGGGAGTATCACAAGATAAAATAACATGGGGATACAACCCACTGAATTCGATATTGGGGTCTATCTTAGTTAGTCTCAATTTGACTGTCAACACTATCAATTAATTTGGATGGGGATCTTCCGATGGGTCTACATTTTCATGTTTTTTTTCTCACGTGAATGGGGGGACCAATGCGCATGAACACAAACATGATTTTAATGTCAAAACTAGGGTGCTTATAATTACACATGATCATCAAGATACATCAAATACCTATCTCTATATATATATACATCAATAAATGCCAAAACTGCAAACACTTATCAACGACAACAAGGTTGAGATTTGTTTGGTTGATGAAGTCATAAAAATAGGCTTGATGGAAATGATAAACCAGTTTGAATCTTTCAAAAAAAAACACATCCTCCCCTTCAAAGTTTCCCGATACGGTGCCTTTTAGCAGTCTAGTATGAGGTAAACATAAGAATTGCTACTGCAGGCAGCAGCCATCATTTGGACCGCCTTTTTCACCACAGTGTCTGATGAAAAATCATTCTTTGCAGGGGTAAACTTCTGGAAATTCTGGATCTGTTTTTCAATTGTTGTTCTACAGAGTCTATTTCTCTTTTTGTCATCTTGGAATTATAATGACGTATGGTGATGTATCATATGGATTGTATATCATTGGGTACTGAATATCTTCATATAATTGTCCTTTGGTGATTGGTGGCTGGAGACAGTTCCAAAACTTTGTTCCATGGAAGTAGCTCTGAGTCTCTGAGCAGCCAGCGTCAGGGGAAGCTGGCTGCAGACGAAGAGAAATCAAGGAAGGTAGCTTGCGGGGAGCCCAAGTTATAAGTTGGGTGATCAAGCCCATTAACTAGAAATGATACCATAGAAAAAAAAACATATGACACACCATGTAACATTTTGTTCACCTAATTACACATTAGATTGACCATAGATAAATCATAGTTGAACATCATGGATAACCATAGATAAACCATAGTTCAACTATAAGCTGGATCATCGTTAGCCCATGACCCATTATGCTTGAGCTAATAATAAACCATCGTGAGCGATTTCGTTCAACAGGGCCGTAGGGAATCCACTACACCAGGGCGCTCGCAATACCTCCAGCTGTTGTATGTTTAATATCGTTTAATGATGTTCACAGATGTTCAACTTTTGATGTTGAGAACTCTTGCACCTCAGATTTTTGAGATGTTTTTCTAGCAGTCTGAAAATGAGTCCCAAATATGATGCTTGATCCATCTTGATCCAGTCATGTTCCAATTGACGCCATTTTTCTATGAGGATCCCCATGGATACCCCATGGAGACACATCCCTACAGCAGGGCCCTGAGGCGACAGAGATTGGAAGAAGCCAAGCGTGGAGCCACCGAAAAATCCCTGATGTACATGGCCTGGGGCCCTGGGGCCCTGGGACGGGGCTACCGAAGGTCTGTCTAAAAACGCTGGGGAGCCGGCTGAGTTTCGAAATGCGAAACGAAACCAAAGGCATCCAAAGACTACTGAATGAGATTGTTGAGTTTGTTTATGTTTGTTTTCAGGCTATCTCCAGGTGGCCATCTAATGAATCTAATGATTTTCGCTGGTTAACTGGTGTTCTGTACTGTTCCAGTTCCCCAGCCATGGAAAACTTTGAAGTTCCAGATGTAGAGAGCTCCCAAGTTCCACCTTGCACAAATCCCATCACATCCGTCGTATGCCATCAAATGTTGGGCACGTGCTGTATGACCGTCCCAGTTCGTAACCGGCCAGTCCGTAGGTTTAAACCATAGTTGGGGGAATTTACCATCAATGCACCTATTTGCAGCTGTCGATTGGATTTCAATTAGTTCATGAATTCCTTAAACCTCCTTGGATTTCAATATCTTGTGTAGTGATGTTTCTTTGTCTAAACTTCCAGTTTGTTGCTTCAAAGCTGTGTTAAAATGTCGCTTAAGTGTATATTTTGTCCGTATTGATTCTATCCATATTAGCGTGTTTCTTCACACCTTCATGGTGGGTGCTTCAAATCTTCACTTCGCCGTAAGTTTTTGTTGGTGACCCTTATCTTTATTGGCTAAAATGACACACCAAACCATCAAGATTTGTCGAATCGTTGGGCAACAACGGAGGTCCAAATATTGTTGTGTTCCAACCGACTATGATATAAAAATGAAAGGAATTGCCTCTGGGTGGTGTATTGAATATACGTATATTAAAACCAAATTTAGTGGGCACACAAACGCAAACAGGTCTTTGCAAGTCTTGACTGTTGATTCTGCAAAAGTATTGATGATTGAAACCAAGTATCACTTGCAAAGATCCATAAAAGTATTGTCATGATTGATTCTTGACTATGGATTATGATGGAGTGTTCTTATGTGTTATTGATTGTTATCTGGTTGGTGGTTTGGAACATGAATTTTATTTTCCCCAATAGCTGGGATGATGATCCAATCTGACTTTCATATTCTTCAGGGGGGTTGAAACCACCAACCAGTTATTATGCACATAAAACACGCAAATTACATGACATGACGCATGTCTAGTGACTCCCGAGGCTGAGCTGAGTCGGGGCAGCAAGACCCCACACCACTTGACGGGGGAACGTTCGCGGACGCTGACTTCGCGTGATGTGGGGAGGACCCGGAGGGTTTGCAGCGTGTTTGATGAGTTTATGTGAAGTGTCGAAGGTTCTTTATGCTTCTTTGTTTTGGTTGTTACTAGTAACTTGGTCATGTCCAATACAGATCGAGTGGTCATTCATTTTTTCCGTTAAGACACTTTTTTGTATTTATTAATATGTATATATACATATTAATTAATATATATATATTCTTTGGATTTGGTGGGTACTACCCTCCTGACAACAGCACGGCACCTGGAAAAATATTAGGTTCATTCCGTGTTGGTTTTCACCGAAGGGGACATCTGCATTCCACTGCATTCCGAACTTAAAGTCCTGAAACCAATCTGGTTGATTGTTTTTTGCGAGTCATTTGTCAATGATCACGGAATGTTGCAAACTCGTGTGGAATTGGGGATCACATCATGGTAAGCAAACACTCTTGAAAAAAACCAGAAGGTGAATGGCTGACAAACGCTGAGACCACCCACAACTTTGCTTTACTATACTTGTTAAAACAGAGTAATTATAGCCTACTTATTGTCAGTGAAATCCATTCTTGAATGTTAGGGTTTCTTATGTTTGTAAGCATATGGAATGTGAAGCCTAATTGGCCCGGAACACTTGTGCCTCCATTGGAATAAACCGATGAAACGGTGGTGTATCCCAATTCCTGCCTTGACATTTGAATGATATTAGGTATGCTTCAATCATGGTCAGTTTTTCTCCATATGAGCGGCTTCTCACGTCAGTGTGGGTCCAGATTGGGTACGCCTAACATTGGACTGTCAATATATTATGATAGTAGCAAGAATGAAGACTTATATATGAATGTTGACCTCTATATCTGAACTTTCATTCCGTCAAAAGGTCCTTGATAGTCAACATATATGATTCTTCATTGAGATATAGATGTGGAGATATAGATCTATGATTCTTTCATCAATATGTGGGGGTCTCCATAAATGAGGGATCCTTTAAAATGGTTGGTTTATAATGGAAAATCCATCTACATCTTTCTTCATACCTTGATAGTCAACTTGCATCTCCGCTGGCCAACCCATCACTGTGGATCTCCATAGCCCTACTGAAGCCATCACCGGGCCAAGCACCGAGGTGCGCGATTTGGACTTTGCAGCTTTTGGTTGCGAAGGCCGGGTGCAAATGAGGACTTAATCAACTGAAATTTCTGCTTTAAAGGTAAAGAACATGAATTTGAGTATCAAAAAAGTGGAATAGCATCCAGTAAACTAAGATAGCTATGGAAAATGGCCATTTAGAGTTTGATGATTTACCTCTCAAAAATGGTGATTTTCCATATTGAATTACCAGGGTAGAACCACCAAGAAGAGGTATTGAATCATCACAAATATCGCATTTTGTGGTCATGAATTACGGATGAACATCTCGGTAAGTCTTTAATTGCCACTATGCAACGGTGTGGTAGTTCCCTATCGAACTGGGTGACAACGTTCCCCAGTCACTTCCCGGGACATCCAAGCAAACCAGTAGCCTGTTGCCCTCTGCATATAAATTGTGGCCAATTCTTGGTTCCCCATGGAATAGTAAATTAATGCTATATAATGGAAGTTCATAGTTATATCATATTCCATTAATGTTAATGTTCCATATAAGTTATATTATATTCCATATAAGTTATATTATATTCCATTATATTCCATTATGCCATTAGTTATACAAGTTAATGTTCCATTAATGTTTCATTAATGTTCTATGATGTTCCATCTTCTGATTCCCCATGCTTTTCTGCATCGGCACTTTTTTGATGTTTCCCCCGAATTCCCCCAGACGTGGAGCTGCCAATGTGGGACCGCGGTCATGCTTTCGTTGGCGCCAACGGTGCTGGAAGTTGTCTTCACGTCGATCAGGCGCTGGGAGAAGCGGTAGAGCTGGTGGTGGATGTGGTTGAAACAATGGAGATCTGGGGATGGGTCAAGTTGCCTATGAAATTCTCATATTTATGGGAAAACCATGGGAAAACCTATGGAAATGTCTATTAAATATCCATGAAATACCATATTATGTTCTGGTTGGTGGTTTGGAATGGAACATGGCTGGATTATGACTTTCCAGAAACAGTTGGGAAGAATCACCCCAACTGACTTTCACTCCATGATTTTTCAGAGGGGGTAGGGCTCAACCACCAACCAGTAAGGTAATGCCGGTTTTATTGGGTATCGTTTGCATACGGTTGGGTTTTCACTTAGAGCCATTTAACTGGGGAAAACTGGGATTTAAGTTGGGAAAAGTGTGATAAATTGAATGGGCAACCAGAGGGGAAAACTGGTCCCCCATTTTGAACTGTAACAAGTGGATGATATATCTTATGGCAACTGGGTAATCTGGGATATGACATACATTAGAGGTACAGGCTTTTAACCCAGTGAGCAATCCAGAGTCAAGCCTACTTGGGTGGTACATCCCACCAAGTAAACGGTGAATCATCCAAGCATATTAACCCAAAAATATATGGACATATCCCAGATATACATTGATCATAAACCATTTGCTAGTGGGGATGCACATTCTGGTAGAGATCAATACCCTCTGGTAATTTAACATAGCTATTGAAAATGGCCCATTTATAGTTGATTTACCAATTAAAAATGGTGATTTTCCATAGTTATGTTAGTTTACCAGAGGGTATTTATAAAAACATATTAAAAACAGTATCACTGTATCACAGATCCATTTTGGCTGGTGAAATCACCATATTTTAGTCATTTAAATCACCATCTTCCCCAAATCATAATTTTCCCTAGGTAAATCACCATTTTCACCAGTAAAATCACAATTTCCCTAGGAAAATCGCAATTTTTTCAACAGCAAACTCATCAAAAGACTGCTGTTTTTTCAGCTGGCCCTTCAGGCATGGTGGAGCAACATCTCCAAGAACTTTGCAGGCGGGATGAACCATCCAAGAATTGGTGTACTCAATGACTTACATCATATATATATATATATGTATATAATACATAATATATGATATACATATTATGATATGTATATATATAATATATATATTATCATTATATATATAATTATATGTATATGATTTGTATGTATAAAATATGATATACTCTATAATATATACCCTAAGGATCCAGCCGTAGCTTCGTAGGAAAGATGACTGGGCTACGATCTATGGGAATAACCTTCTTAGACAGTGTTTGGATCCACAGGGATATATATATATATATACGTATGTGTATGTTGTAAACTGTATATGATATCGTAACTATAGCAATGATACACACATTAGCCCCCAATGCTATATATAGTGATACATATCGCAAGTAGATATAAGTAAGTAGCATAGTCTGTATTCAATGATACTATAGATTTAAATAGTGTATATCAGAAATAGATATCAAGCAGGTATAAATGGTTAAACAATCAATTCAAGCTAGACATGATCGTATTGTGTTGATATATATATACATACACCCGATATATATGTTTTTAAATATACACACATACATACACATACATACATACATACATACATACATACATACATACATACATACATACATACATACATACATACATACATACATATGTATATTAATGATTAGTGAATCAAATATTGTGTATCAACATATATTGGTGTCATGTTTCATATGACATATCAAACAATATATACGTATATATATATATATATATATATGTATGTACATACTTGTTACCCTGTATACCATAGATCTAGATAGTACGGTTCACCTTTCTCAGAACTCTTACCAACCAGACTTATTCACCAGATACTATAAGCATGATCCTGCGAGGTGTTGTTCGTGACAATAATCGTTGGACCAAAAACTTTGGTACCAGTGTTTGACCTTCAGGCAATTCTTGGCATGGCAAGATATGCCAACCCAACGGCCAAGCCAGTTTTTTAATGATTGGTGTGGGCGGAAATCGGCCGATTTCACCCCCCGTGTTTGATGACGGTACCGTACGCATCCGTTGCAGGGTATAAACTGGTGGCACTGTTGCTTGGACCTGGAAAGTCTGGCGGTGTGGCTGGGAACAAGACAAATTGATCCTTTGGGAGATGGTAAGTTTTCGAAGATGTTGACAATACCATTTACCCTCTGGTAATTTAACATCACTATGGAAAATCACCATTTATAGTGAAATTTCCCATGAAAAATTGTGATTTCCCATAGTTATGTTAAATTACCAGAGGGTAAATGAATTTGCAGGTGGTTTTTTAGGTGATACTTGTTGATAACACTTGGATGTTGACAATGAAACCCACCATTTCCAGTATGGATGTTGCATTTAACAAATTTTGAGGGAAGCAAATTGTGTCGCCATCACATATTTTTTTCTCTGTACGGGGAGCCAAGGAGTTTCTAAGATTTTTCCAATCATAGCTACAATATTTTGAATAAAAAGGGCGCTCAAATTTGCAAACGTTTGGAAATCAACCAAACTACATATCAACATATCAACCAATCCAACAAATTATTGCCAAAACCACAGATAATACTCGTATTGGAGAACCACAGCAACAAGAGACTCCATATTCAGCATGCAAATTGACATAGCACATCCCTTCAAACATACAACAAATTATAGACACAAGTGTCCTGCCTTTAATGAATTCATGGTTTTCTTGAATCACCCTCCTGTAAAACCATGGTTTTCCACCTTGTGACATGTTTTTGCATGTTTACCCCAGGGTAACCATTAAAAAAAATAGGGTGGAATGGTAATATCATTCAAATATCATGGGAAAATAATGTTATTAACCAGTCAACCATCAGTCAACCATCAGTCAATCATCACGATTCTTCTTGATATTCTCACCAAGTTTTATAGGTGCATCAAGTCAAGTAATATCCCATCTCTACTGGTTGAAGCACCATCTAATTCACCAATCACCATGGGTTGAAATATGTTGAAATGGTAATATCATGGGAATATAATGGTATTAACCTTTAATATATTACACTACAATTACCATTATTTCCATGTTATCCAGGAATACCATGGATAACATGTACTATGACAATCTATGACATGTATTATATACCATTGCGAAATTATGGTTTTAATGAAGTATTATGATACCCTGGGAATATAATGGTGCTAACCTTCACAATATTTCATTAAAGCAAATCATCATCAACCACCATCAACCAATCGTCACGATTTGTCATGCTGTCATTAAACAAACAATACCTACATCAGGCATCTCATCCCATCTCATACGGGTTGACTATATTTATCTAGTTCAAAGATCGGTTAATAACTATGGTACCAATATTATTTGTCATACTCACCATTCTGTGGGGGTTTCCATACTAAGTCACGGATGCCAAGGTCACCATGAAACCTCATGGGTTTTGAAAAACCCCGTGAACCATAGACCGATATATTATATCTACCATAAACCATAGTTATTTGAGTTATAACATGTTATAACCCCTAAAAAATGTAGCATCTACCAGATCTACCATAGTCATTTGTCATAACCATTGTATACCAACCATTCAAAGCCCCAAAAATCAACGCCAGTTCCAAAGGTGGGGCCCGGGCGCTGCGCCCGAAGCCCTGAAGCTCTCCACACAACTCTTCCGCAGGCGCATTAAACATGGGGAGTTCGCCAAAGAAACTCTGAGTTGAAGCGTGGAACACATGGAAAACATGATTGTTTAATGGGCTGTAAGCCAAAATTGAGGGAAATTGAATGGGACTTAACCATGAAGTATAAGGAGTTCTATTGGTTTTCACTTTGTGACAATTAAATGATGAGTGATGGTCGATTGGTGAATTCGATGGTCAGATGGGTTTTGACTTGATTTTGCTCGAAAAGATGATGTCACAGAAAATTCAGCATGAAGATTTTTGGAGGTAAATCATTAGATGGTTTTCATCATTATAACGATGGTCGATTGCACCATCATTAGATGGTTTTCCTTGATTAGACATTGTGCAATCCAGGGGATTATGTGGGATGAAAGGAGGAGGTTTGCCAACCAGTTCACTGGGATGGTGTGGTATTTTTTGCTTGAACAGATTCACCAAAAAAGGCACGGACAGAAAGAGATGACGGACGGTCTGAGTTTTGCCCCAAGCATTTTGGACACTTCAAATTTGGTGACTGCTGCAATGGGCCAGCAGATGCTGCAAGTATGTATAGCTTTGCCAAGTGGCCGAAATGAGAACCTGTCAGTTCCGAAGTCCTCCAAAGTCGGGGACTTGAAGGTTCTGGCGCAAAAGGCCTTTGGACAGGGTTTTGTCAAACTGGTCACGGTGGAAGGTCAGGTTCTGACTCCCAGCAAGTCTCTGGATGCAGTTGGCATTCAAGATGGAGATAACCTCGTGGCCATTGCCCAACAAACAAAGTTGGCAGCAACAGGTGAATGAAGCGTTTGCGCTGTGGTGCTGCGGGGGTCATGGGCTGGTTACATGGGGCAGTGCCAATTCTGGTGGAAACAGCTCCAGTGCCCAAGAGAAATTCATCAGGGTGCGGGAGATTCAGGGCACAGGTGCTGCTTTTGCTGCAATCCTGGCAGATGGACCTGTTGTCACATGGGGCTATCCAGACTCGGGTGGTGACAACTCAAAAGTCCAAGGTAAGCTCCAGAATGTAAAGCAGATTAAGGCCACATGCGTCGCTTTTGCTGCAATCGTGGCAGACGGATCTGTTGTTACATGGGGAAATCCAGACTTGGGTGGCAACAGCGCTGAAGTCCAAAGTCAACTCCGGAATGTGCAACAGATTCAGGCTACAAATGGAGCTTTTGCTGCAATCCTGGCAGATGGGTCCGTTGTTACCTGGGGCGACCGACGCTCTGGTGGTGATAGCTCTGAAGTACAACACCAGCTCCGGAATGTGCTTGAGATTCAGTCCACGGCTACTGCTTTTGCTGCAATCCTGGCAGATGGGGCTGTTCTCACATGGGGCCGCGGACTGTATGGTGGGGACAGTTCAAAAGTCCAAGGTCAGCTCCGGAATGTGCAACAGATTCAGGCTACAAATGGAGCTTTTGCTGCAATCCTGGCAGATGGGTCCGTTGTTACCTGGGGTGACCGACGCTTTGGTGGTGATAGCTCTGAAGTCCAAGGCCAGATCGCATATTTGTAGGACACTGTGCTTCTTGTTGCGCGCATTGTGAGCCAGAGTTCAATGAAAACAAGCGCTTCTGCGGACTGGATGGGTAATGACCGGGTAATGGGTTGAGTACATTAAAAGCAGGTTAGAACATGGTTTAAGCAACAAGATTTGGATTCAAGCATGAACAGATGGGTCAACTGATTGGCGATACATTATTACTTGATAATACCCTCTGGTTATTTAACATAGCCATGGAACATGGCCTATTTATAGATGGTTTAACTATTAAACATGGTGATTTTCCATGGCTATGTTAAATAACCAGATGGCCTTTCGCTATTTTGATAGCGATGGTGCATTATTTTACTGACCCAACCAGCTGAAAATTTGTGATGGCATCACCAGAGTAGTTTGTTAAACGTTGTGAAACCTTAAATCGCCAGCTATTAGGCTTCCCCTGCGAATCTGAAACGACCTCAAACAAGGATAAACAAGGTGCATATAAACACATATATATATATATATATTATATAATTATATATATACACATCACCTTATATATATATATTTATTTTTTTTTAAAAAAAAAACACCATATATATATATATATATTGTATTCATATATTACATGAAGTATTAGAAGAGTCAGAGGTGTCAGTGGTGATATTCAGTGATATTCTGACATATTCAATGGTTTTGGCATTGGGAATCCCCATGCCATCAGTTGATCAGACATGACCAGACCAACCGAGGAATCATATGAAGCAACAACGTTTTTGAGGATAGCCGGGGATGTCAACCGACAATCCCTATGGATCCAAGTACCTTCTTAGGAAGTGTTTGGGGTATATTTTACTATAATTTGGAGGGTTAAGTACCTTCTCAGACAGTGTTTGGATCCATAGGGAATCATTAGTTGGCCACGTGTTGGTTTTTCAAATCTGATACTTGAAACCCGACATTGACTTACATTTTTGGTGTGACTCAACGACCATGATGTTTACGGTAATTTATTAGTTGGTTCACGTTCACGTCCTTGTTTCTGCGGCTGAACTCACTATATTATTTATAAATATATAATAATACCCTCTGGTAAACTAACACGGCCATGGAAAATCCCTCATAAATGGAGGTTTTAATGGGAAAATCATCTACAAATGAGCCACGTTCCATCACTATGTTAAATTTCCAGAGATATACCATCCTGTAAACGTTTTACATAGATGTGGACAACCCATCATGATGAATGTAGATGGTTTTCCTAGAGAAACACCACCCGCTGGGTTTGGATGCTGCTTCAGCTGGAAGGCCGTTGTCCAAAGAACAGACTGACGCCCTGCGGCAGGTGGGAAGAGATATATAGAGTCTAGAGGTGTGAGAACATGTTCGTAAAGCACAAATGTACTATGTATGGTTAATAAAGATCGGTATGGTTTTCGATAATATTTTTGTGTGGTTAGTATGGTTAGTATGGTTAGTATGGTTAGTATGTATGGTTAGTAATTAATGTGGTTAATGTGATTGTTTTTCTAATTTGTTAAGAAACCATATTTTGATATATTTTTGTTTGGTTTATGGCACCATCTAGCACCCATTGGACTGATGAGTTTAGGGATGATGCATCCAATATTGCTTTAACATACTGCATGCCACGGTCTTGGATAATATTGGATATACCCTCTGGTAAACATGCCAAAAACTATGGAACATCACCATTTTTCATGGGAAAACTCAATATTTTTTATGGCCATGTTCAATAACAAACTGTAAGAGTTTACCAGATGATATGTAGCAATGGGATGATATGTAGCATTAGCCTCCAAGTGGTGGGTTTACTATGGGATGGTTGATGGCTGGTAAACCACATCAAGTTTCGTTGGGCTAGTTATCTCAAGATGGAGGAACTTTTCAGGAACAACATGTTCAAACGTTGAGCTATTCGGAAATCATGGAGTGTACCAGGGGCTACTTAAGTACCTACAAGATGTATGTGGGCGTTTTTTTGGGGGGAGGTGTGGGGCATCATTGCTATGTTTTGGTCGCAGTTCTTGCTGTCAGACTTCCACATATCGGTTTCAGTCCCTGGAGTCGTCACAGTCACGCACCCGCTTGCTGAGAATTGGTAAAGGCAATCCCGACCCGGAACTATCCTACTTAGTCCTACTTGGAAATCCGGCACACGACCCATGATTTTGGTTTGGCACTCATGTGGCACGATGATGGCTTGGAAGTCTTCCTGAAATCTCTTTGTTCTCAGTTCATGTCCCCTGTATGTCAGCATTCCCATTGTTGGGGAATTGTATTGTCAAATTGTCCCATCTTCGTTCATGAGTCAAACTAAGTCCCCCGTTTCATGGCAATTGAAAAGGGAAGTTGAGGTTCCAAACCATATTTTTTTGGGTTTTTCCGTTTCCAAATTTTGACAAGACCCTAAAATATTGTTGGTTTATGTCGATTAATTCATTGGATTGGTTTAGTCGGGAACATCTACAGGAAACCATGGTTTTACCATGAAATATGGGAGGTTCCGGTTCAAATTTTCCCTTCAACCAATCCAGTGAATTACCCTCTGGTAAGCTAACATAGCTATGGAAAATCACCATTTGTTATGGGAAAATCTACTATAAATGGCCATTTTCAATAGCTATTTTGACAGAGGGTAATTCGTAATCTGTCTCCAGGTGTATTCAATCTTTGTTGGCTGCTTCATCCAATGAAATCCTACTACCATCTGGTTATGACTAACAGTTCGCCATGGAAAATCACCATGTTTAATAGGTAAACCATCTATAAATGGTTTTAAGAACGGTAAACCATCTATTTCTATGGTCCATCTATTTTCCATGGCGAACTGTAACAAATAACCAGGTTGGGTAAATCCCATTTTTATCCATTTCTCAATCCTACTGTAAAATGCCCTAAACTTTTGGGTGCTTGCGGATATCTCATGTCTTGCCACGTCTCCAGGCTTCAACCATTGCTTTACTGGGTCCGGGAGATGTGGCGAGGTTTTTTCCCGGGGAACTGGCAGGAACTGGGGATTTCATCGGCATTCTGGTGAAGATCATCCCCAAGAACAAATCATGGCTGGTTGGTGGTTTGGAACATGTTGTTTTTCCATACTCAGATGCTCCATGTATGGTATATTTACCTACAAAACTGGGTGATTTTCAGGGCAAATGTTAGGATTCATATTCCAGACATGGAGCATCTGGGATATATTAGAAAGAATAACCTCAACTGACTTTCACTCCATCATTTTTCAGAGGGGTAGGTCAACCACCAACCAGTAATGGTGAAGATGGGGATTTATCATAGGAGTAATCGGAGTAATCGGAGTTTGAACATAGGAGCTTACTCCGATATGGGACTTCGTCAAATCATAGGAGTTTTTGTTGGACTTTGAACATTGGTGATGGGGATTAATCATAGGATATATTGATAGATCTTGGGGATAAAAACTGGATTTACGTTACATCTTTTGATGGTTTCAGATATTGTTCAACCATACATATATGGATGTTTTGTTGAGATGACGAGCATATTCTTGCTGACGGGGCAGGTTATATTGTTCAACCACCAAGCAGATGTTTTTTTTGTTTTTTTTACCTGTGGATTTCACGGGAACCAGCCAAGATCCATGGGATATGATGTGTAGTGACTTAGTGTCAATGCATGGATGATTTATGGCAATTTTGATATACCCTCTGGTTATTTGTTACAGTTCGCCATGGAAAATGACCCATTTATAGATGGTTTACCGTTCTTCAAAATGGTGATTTTCCATGGCGAACTGTTAAATAACCAGATGGTAGGTTTAATGGAATATCATTGGGGAGTAGCCAGATATCAATGGGATGTTATGATACAACTTACAAGTAGCTGAAAATGGGGATGAGCCAATATTAATGGGATTTCTGAGATATGCTCGAGAGAAACAACATAAACTTGATATGATATTTGGGTGTGTCTGAAAATGGGGTAGACCCTTCCAATGGCAACTTCAATGGTAAATTGAGGTTATTATAGTCCTTTGGACTTGGCATTGCCCGTTCTCAATCAAACCAGCATCTTCAGAGACATTTCCTGATATTTTGAAACCATGTAGATATTTGAGATGCGAGGCATCTCAAAATTTACTGGAAACATCTCCAACATTCCAACCACACATGTTGGTCGTTTTTGCACATTTGTCCTGCGTTACAGAACCCAATTACATGTTTTTCCCCGCACGTGACATGAAACCTTGGGTTCCAGAAAAAAGAGTCGCGTAAATTTCACCAATCCTGCTGGTTACCCTCTGGTAAATTAACATAGACCCTGAAAATCACCAATCTTTAGTGGAAACTAATCTTCCAACCCCTATCTGGCAGGGTCTATGTTAGTTTACTGGAAGGTATCCCTTTCTCTTTTTTCAGATCATCGGATGTCTCCCATTTTCGCACGCCAGTTTCACCGGTGGGCTGCCACATGTCACGGTGGTAGTGGGTGACATGCTCAACCTTACAGCCTATGCAGCTTGCTTGCAGGGTGAGTAGCAGGAATCCGTCCCCTAAAGAAGCAGAAAAGCCGGATTTTAGGTGGTTTTACTATTATAATCACTACTATAATTATTGGTTACATACTTCTAGTTTACCAGCAATGGGTCTTGATAGAATACTTACTACTATACTATACTAGAATTACTCAACAAAAATGGACACTGGATCTGGTTTTGAATCCTAGATAAAAAAACTCAAGATGAAACTGGATTATATAGCCTGTGGAAATTTGGTGATGCCTGCAATTGTAGGCTTGTTTGGAAGATTAATTTATATAAGTGGAGATTTCTCTTTTCGGATCCTGTGCTGGAGCATGTCGATGGTAGTTTCCTGAGTTCGAAGCCAGTGCAAGCTCACACTCCAATCCCTTCCAGCTTGTATCAAATACTGTAATCCCCAATCAAAACCCTAGTTTAGTGATTACAGTGAAAAATACTGAACAGAATAATTGCAATTGGTTCAGAGTAATTCAATACTGAAAACTAGTAATATATATATATACTGTAATTCAATACTGAAAACCAATTCCTCTTTGTGATCTTCATGAATTGGCGGTCCTTGTCATATCTGGTATCCCCATTCCAGGGTGCTTAAATTCAAACCATGTTCAGCTCCCGCGTTTGGATAGTTACCCTCGGGTAAACGTTTACATAGATGTGGTTTCAACCCATCATGAATGTAGATCATTTTCTTAGCAAAACCATTGGTTTCTGACATTTTTGTGTATGTTTACCCTAGGCGAATTCCCCTATGAACGATATGACGGTTGTCAGGAGAGCCTGATCAATTGGCATCCCTGCAATGCAGGCCCGGGATAGGAATCATGGTGATACAATGGGGTTTTCATGGATTTATGTCGATGATTTATGATGATTTCTATAGGTTTCATGGAATATAGTGATAAGTTGGGATTACTCAGAGGATTTCATGGATATCAGTGGGATATAGTAGACCCGAATGGTGGTACCATGTCTGTGATCCGAATCGATTTCCCGCAGTTGTACGCCAGCAACAGACAGTGGAAGTTGACTGGCACTTATTTACCCAGCTCTACCGAATGATGTTCCTTTTTACTGATGGTTTCAGAACTGATGGTTTCAGAAAGGTTGGGTGGATAGCACCTGTGTTACATCGGAATTAAGAGGCAATGACCTAAACTGTTCTATCTAATCTAATCCAGTTTCTTGTCAGTATTTCAGAAAAGGTTGGGTGTATAACACCATTATATATATATGGGTCTGCCCTAACTTAACATAGCTATGGCAAAATATTATTTAAACTATCTAGTTATATCTAGTTTGTGATATTTTAACTGGTTGCTTTAGAAAAATCACCATGTTTAATAGCTGAGTATAGGTAAATCAATACACATCATTTGTAAGACGATCATTTTTCACTTCGCCAAACTCGCAGATCTCCTGCTTCGTGGAGCTCTGCGGAAGCCAGGCACAGTGGTCCAGAGGTTACTGAACCGGTGTAACCATGGAGTTTTTAAGCCCCATGTATACCCCTCAGGTCAATCGACGATTAATGGACGATTCAATGGGTTGGTTTAAGGAAACAAATGCAGGAAACCATCGATTTTTCCATTGGCGAAATCGAATTATCCATTTCTAACTGGGTCAATGGATTGGTTTTCTTGGGAAAATCTGAACACCGGTTTTAACACGGTTTTTACCAGTTTAAATCGTCAAAAAAATCCAGATGGGTATGACAGAAACTCAGGTTTGACTCATTCTCCTACTACCCATATCTGGGTAAATATAACGACCTCACTGTTCTCCCTCACTGGAAATCATAGTTAGATTGCGGGGAATCATCCCCATAGCTGGCCGCAAGATTCAGGTTAGTGAAATAGTATAAATTACCTACCCATACGTATAAAAAATATTAAAAGTTGGCTTCATACCATGGTGGCATGGATTCTGGAAATGATTCTGGATTCTCTTCCCTCCATTTGGAGATAAAAAGCATCGCTGTGAAACATAAATAAGGCAGTCAAACTTGACAGCATGGCTTGGTATGGCCTGAAACTTTCGACATGTTGGAAATCTTCACATGGAAAATATTCCACTCATGGAATATCCCCCAAATTACAATTTGATGAGTTTGATATGGAGAATGAAGTTTTAAACCGCCATTATTTCCAATAGTTGAAGCTACATGGTGCTTCTCTATATTGTTTTATGATGTTTTAATATGTGTTATTATTCAAACCCAACTTTCCCATTTCAGTGTGGATTTTAGACGTCCCTTAATTTCTGGGTATCCCCAAAAGGAACCACACCGTGACTTGACACAGAAAAAACTTCCCAGGGAGCGAAGGTGTCATGAAGCGCAAAGCCCTTCATGGCCTCTTTGATGACATCGTTCAGGTGGGGCTGGATGGTAAGAAAGCTGCGGCTGGATGTTCCTAGAATGGTATGGAGAATTGGCAGCTGGGTATAGCGTCATAGCGTCTTTTTTTCCCGCAGATGAACATGATGGAAAACACGGGGCTCCTGTCCCTGTAGAATTTTCATGAATTTCCCAGATGTTCTTCCTACGTAGTTCAGTGGCGAATCAGCGTGAAATGTCCGATTGAAGCATGAACTAGGGAGGTATGATCTCCACCATGCAACTAAGGGATGATGTTTGCGACTCAGGCATGGTGGCGAGCATCAGTTATTTGTAGTTTGTCTTCTAGGTAATGCAGTAATTTGCTGTATGTTACCGGTGAATAACCTAGAACACTATGCATTTGAGGTCTATCCCATTCTTAAGTGGATGAACTAACCATTGCGATTAATAGTTCGCCGACTATAAGATGCACATATGCAAAATATCCAAACTTGCACATGGAAGGTACTTAGACAATGGAGGCTGGGGATGCAAGTTGCAAGCTGTAAGCCTGTATACACTTTTATAGGGACCCAGGACCCATGATGACCCGTGCATATATACATTACATGTCTCGAGGTGTCCAAGGTGTGACAAATTCATTGTTCCAACCAATAATATTATATCGACAGATAGATAATCTACGGTATAATATCCCAGAATCAATGCATACATACTGTACATATATGAGTAACCGACAAAGTTAGCGGAAGACTAAAGTAGTAGGGAGTGGACTTGGGATGTTCAAATTTGTGTGAAATCCTTCACAACCGATAGGGGACCACCCACTTGAAGATACCCTCTTTTTACACATAGCACGGAAGTACAAACCTTCACAATTCACAACCAATGGGGGACCACCCACTTTGGCCATGTCCATTGCGAGTAGTAAGTATTTTGTCCGCCACTCATATGATATCATATTGTATAGATATAATATAGTATAGATATAATATACCCTCTGGTTATTTAACATAGCCATGGAAAATGGTCCATAGAAATAGATGGTTTACCGTTCTTAAACATTGTGATTTTCCATGTTTATGTAAACGTTTACCGGAGGGTAGATATAAGACATACAATCCATACAGAACATAAAGATGTCACCTGTGATGCCGGCCAGGTGGTTCGGCGGAGGGTGCCGGAGGCGGGATTTGTCCAAATATGGCTCTGCGAGATGGCAGGGCTACCCCCAAACAATCCATTTTAATACAGGATGGGGACCCCAAGATAGCCAAGGTGCCTTATAAGTGGCTGAAATATGGTTTATGTTAGATATATATAACTATAGTTAATGGGGGTTATAATGGTTTATAAACCAACTTACAACTGGGGAGCCCCATCAGTAGGATTTTCCAAATCAAAACCATCCAGCTATTGGGGTACCCCCCATTTATATATTTATATCCATTTATAGCATTTATGAAAGCCCCCATATGGACCCTACAGGAGTTCAGGATACAATCGAAGTAGAACCATGGGAATTTCAGCCCCCATAAGTTGGGATATGGGGCCCCGAACTATGGTGAAATCTATCCACTGAGTTCACTTAGTTCACTGCACTTCCAAGTAGAATGGACGTCCAGAAGGGGTCCTCCCCCAAGTTATAAGTTTGTTTATAACCCCATCTGGGGGTTTCTTAAAATGGGCATTCCCCAAAAGCATAGGCTAAAAAATACCAAAGTGGTCTAATTTTGGATGATTCGGGGTACAGTATCCCCATTTTAGGACCCCCATCTGAGTTTTTAGACACATCTGCCATGAGTCCTAGTTAGCCTAGTTATAAACCAACTTCCCTAAGTAGGGGACCCATTCCTCTAAGGGATAAATTGTAGTGGGGAGACATGATATGGGAGTTAGGACTCCTAAGGATATATTGAGAGATGTAATTAGGATACATTGAGGATATAGAATTAAGAGTCCTAAGGGATATATATATATATAATATACATATGATATTGAGATTCAATGAGCACTTATTTGGGATGAAACATGGAATAGCCAGCCAATATTACCCTCTGGTAATTTGTTACATAGCTATTGAAAATGGCAATTTATATTGAAATTTTCCCATTGAAAATTGTTATTTTCCATAGTTACCCCCTGGTAAATTAACATAGACCCTGAAAATCACCAATTTTTAATGGAAATTAGTCTTCCAACCCCGATGACTGCCAGGGTCTATGTTAATTTACTGGAGGGTATGTTAGTTTACCAGAGGGGAATGAGAAGTACCAAAGGGATATCATTTCCTCAACGAACTCTTCGACCCAGGCTGCTGGGAATCAACGGCAAAATCCCAGAAAGGAAAACGAAGGGATTTCGGCAGCCAACATGAAAATTCCAGTGGATAAAACATGTACCCTCTAGTTATGTCAAATTAGCTATTGAAAATGACCATTTATAGTTGATTTTCCCATTAAAAATAGTGATTTTCCATAGCTATGTTAGTTTACCAGAGGGTATAAGAATAATAACATGTGCATAGAATCACTTTATATATGGGGATTTCGCCAATGGTGGATTTGACCAAGAAAAAATAGAGCTGGTCCAGGCAAATCAGGGTAAGAATCATTCCAAAATTTCGGCTCAAGGCTCTCGGTCTTGTGGGGAGTAGGATCTCCTTAAAACTTATCCACAAGCGCACCTACTGTTCCCAGTTACTCCAAAGAACTGCTAAACTAGATTTTGCTGGTTGGTGGTTTGGAACATTTTTTTCCCCTTTCATATATGGTTTGTCATCCTTCCCATTGACTTTCATATTTTTCAAGATGGTTATTGCACCACCAACCAGATGGTTAATAGTAATGGTTGATTTTTCATAGTGGTTAACTATATATATGAACCATATATCAATCATTAATATTAACCATCATTAATCTATGGTTAAAACCACCAAGCAGTTTGCCTTAGAATTGAATTTTCATCAGGGCCCACGGCCTCTTTGGCGTTAAACGCCTATGTTTTGCCAACTCGGTGCTTGGGACCAGTGATGCCAGTGATCGACTCTGGATCCTGAGAACTCAAGGCCTATTTGTTCTGCATCAACTAATCCCAAGTTGCATCAATATCTACAGTTATGGCCATTTACCAGTTATAAGTGGCTATAAATGGGATTATACATTCTATAAATGGGGTTATAAGTACTTATAACTGATAAATGGCCATAACTGTATACATATATACATATAGCATCAGTGTTTAGAGTGCTAACGTCAAGAAAAAAACATGAATACGTAAGTGTTTAATTAACTAACATCAACTAACCATTTTCAGGGTTTCATGTTCAATTCACCATCCATTTTCAGTGCACCATCCGCCATAACATCGTTGTTTATCGGAGGCCTTGGACCTGCACAGGAAAGGCGACCGCATCGGGAACATACGATGAGCAACGTTGAGTTTCAACAAGGGACATTCCTGGTGAATTTTAAGTGGCTGCTTTTGTGTCACAAGATGTGAAAAAGGTCTGTAAGTTTTTATTGATATATTCACGAAATCTGAAGCATTAAAGAACCTGGAGCAGGCTTTCTCGTCCATTGTGGGAAACGTAACCTGGTCTGTCTATGGGTTTTATGTGGTTTAATGGTCTAAAACTTGGGTGAATTGCTCATGTTGGGGGGATGGTCATCAAGCCATTAATAGAGCTTTATATAATTTTACATACCCATTGTAAGGATTCCGATTAAGGGATGGATGGTCATACCACCGTCTTTCGACCATGGCGCATGTAATATGGACGTTTCACTAAGGCAACTATTGATACAACTTCATACATCTTCCCCAAAGATGGAATTTCAGGGACTTGATGACTGGTTGATTTCGTGGGTGGTTGTACTACCATGGGATTGACTGGAGAGTTTGGCGGTTATTGCTAGCAATTGATCCAATGATCAGCAGATATTGCGATTTGGCCATGATCTGTCCGAAGCAGTCAAGCAGTCTGAGACAGGCACAATTCTTATTCATGACATTGCGGGAATCTCAGCATGCAGTGGGCATGTGTCACTACCCTCTACACTCTACAATCCAGTACATAGGGCCATAGGGTTTCTGCATCCATCAAATGAGCGCAGATGGTTTACTGTATGGTACACTCCGATTCTTGGGAATTTTAAGGTTAGCAACATTCCCCTTCCTTGTTTTCACCCTGGGTGATATAGATGGGGTGCTGGTGCTCAGGCACCCCAAAAAATGGGTCGCCACAGCCATATGGATAGAGATGTTGGTGTAGTTTCTGGCTGGATCAGGATAGTTCACCAACTGACATACAGTCAGATGCTCTCGCGATTTGTCAGTTTTAAGTCATGTGGGGAACGGTACATCAAGGGTTTTATAGCGATTCTTCTTGTGCCTTGGAGTTTGTCTATAAAGCTCCTTTTTTGAGAACTGACTCCCTATACATTTACCATCATCTCTTGTAACCTCACAAAAATAGAAAAGCTTGAAATAACCACAAAGTTTCAATATGTTTTAGGATTAGCTTTCCATTTCTTTCGCCCGTGCGTTCGAACGGCGTAGAGGCGTTCGAAGGCGTGTGGTGCTGCTTCCTCTGGGTTCCACCAACGACCATCAGGGCCTGGTGGACGGAGAGGTCTGGCACCGGGCAGCTTGGATTTGGGGTTGGTGCCGGCACAGGGAAAATTGAAACATTTGAAACCGGAACCCCCTCAATAATTCTCTTGGATTTAGTGGTGAAAAACATGGTTTATGATGTTTGATGATGTTTTATGAGTCGTTTATAATGTTTTATAGCAAGCCATTGATAGTAGAATGTAAGTTTCTTGCAATTTCCCTTAAACAAATCCATTGATAGTAGACAACAATAGTAGTGGCATGTAAAGCGAATTGTTGCACATTTAGTTCCTGCAAGGGAAGGTACTGAATGGGTGACCATTTAGCTGGATCGGTAGTGGATTCTGGTAGAACAAGCCTATCCAATTTGTGTATGGGACGCGTCCGTTTCTGAAGTGGTTTGGAGATCATCATGGTCTAACCATCCTGCAGGATGCATTGCCAATTTGATGTATTAAATATACTAAGTACTCCCCATATGGGTCCCTGTTTTTTTCATCATTGGGAAGGGTCCAGTCCAGATTTCCGGCCAGTGTCTCAACCAGCGCACAAGGCAAAGAAAACCGTGTCCCTGTGGAAATCATTGAAATCTGCTGGCAGCGATGTGCAGATTCTTATGTCAGGTACGAAAGCGGGAAAGGGTGGCTGAAGTTCTGGGTACCAGGAGAGAGGTAAGTCTCCGACCTGAATATTTCAACCAATCAAGATGGGTATTATGTACGTAGTTTTAGGTATCTAATTGTATAGATGTAGATGTACATAGGTGGGTGAATATTAGTAAGGACATCACTGTACGGGCACTGCCCAGGTATGGGTAACTTTTTTGATTATATTAGTATGGCTAATTATTCCCAAACAACCTTATTGCAGGTTGGTGAAAATTACCTGTCACTTATCCAGTTCCTCTAATACTACCCTCTGGTAATTTAACATAGCTATGGAAAATCACAATTTTTAATGGGAAAACTCACTATAAATGGCCATTTTCAATAGCAAACTGTTAGTTTACCAGAGGGTATCCCATGTAATATCCCAATGAGATGGTTGGTTATATCCCCACGGACTGTCCCCAATCAGATGGTTGACAAAATCCCCAATATTGGTCCCCAAACTGGGTGAAAACTATAAATTTAAAGCCTACGGATTGGGGGTATGACCAGCACGGCTCCAGGTCTGGATGTTCCAATTACATCTGGACCAGAGGCGAGCGGTTTACCGACTGGGCCCACGAGTTTTTATCGGGCCCAGTCGATGAGGCTGTCCTCCGTGGTGCTATTGCTGCTCGGTTGCAAATACGAAACCATAGGTAGCAACGTGCCAGCGATGCAGTGAACTGCGCACTCCTCCCTGAGATGGCTGCCGGCAGGCATTTGAAGTCACTGCGGAGGACGTCCAGTGGGCAGCAGAGCATGCCGCTGCGGAGGCCAGTCGTGCTGTTTGCCAAACTTAGCAAGATCTGAGGCAGCTAAGTTGGCTTCCCATACGCTACAGGTCCTCTCACTTCCTGCTCACAGACAAGACGTCACGAAGCAGGCCTGGAAAGCTCAAGTTACTGATTCGCGTGCTTTCTCGGTTTGTTATAGCTGGCAGGTAGTGGACCTCGCCCAATAGAATGGGTTTCGTTGGCAGGTCGGGAAACCTAGGCCTATGTCGAAAAGCCAAACACAGGAAACACTGAAAAGTATAACGGGGCAGTGGGCAGTTGCTTGCATTTGCGTTCCCGTGCGCTGCAGGGGCCTCATTTGAAGATGCTGTAAGTCCTGCATCCTTTGAACGGCACTTGCGAGGCAGGGTGGCAAACGTCTCAGTGTGCTAAAACCAAAAGTTTGAACGGCGAAGCGGCTTTATGCTGCCAGGTGCCATTCTCCAGCCTCGTCAGCAAAGCTGTGAGGCAGGCCTGCGTGGCCCCCGCGACAACCATCCGCCTGAGAGACTGAGAGGCGGAAAAGAGATTCACGTAGATAGATAGATAGATGGATGGATGGATGGATGGATGGATGGATGCCTGGATGGATGGATGGATGGATGGATGGATGGATGGATGGATGGATCGGTTGATAGGTAGATAGATAGATAGGTAGATAGGTAGATAGATAGATAGCATGTAACTGCATGTATATTTGCACGGACGCACGCACACAATAACACACACACAATAGATGTATATATGTATTTTAGAACTTGCAACATGTGTGCATTTACATGGCTTTTTTTGTCAGGTATAAAAAGCACCAAAAGAATTGTATTTGTAAATGTTTTCGCGCAAGGTTTGTTCGATGTAGCTGATGTGCACGCTATAGTTGAAATCAGCATTTCTTGAAATGTAGCGATGACTATCCGACAAAATTTCAGCAATAGCGTCCCTTTTCTATGTCTCATATTGGTTGAAGATTTCAAATATTGGTGCCATCCCAGCAATTTTTCTATCGCGTGGGGCCAACGTGATTGAACATTACTTCTTTTTTGGGATTTTTGGGCGATAGCCCCGTCAATTTTGGGGGCATCTCCACGAAAATGGGTCCCCCACGCACAGTCGAATGGTTGCCCCCTTGCACGTCAGAGTCCCCTTTTTGGCAAAGAGGGACCCAAAAAGTTGAAACGACAACATTTGCTTTAAAGCAATTGAATTTTTCAAGCGGGATCTTTATCCAACAAATTTCCCGAAACAAGTCGAATATTGATGGTTGAAGGGGGGGGCGGAGGGGGCAGAGAATTATTACACGACGCATGTTTTTGGATTTTTTCTTTATTCTCCACATTTGGATTAAAATGGCTTCAACGGTCCCTTGTTTTCAGCCCGCAAACCAAAAAAAAAACATACAAAACCGACCCGCCCTGTCAAAAAATAGTAATTTGGAAGCCCCCCCAAAAAAAAAGTTGATGGTTCGCCGCATATGTCTCTATATAAATACAAAGCATGTTGCTATATACACCTTAAATGTTTTTGAGGAGAGGGAGAGATAGAGAGAGAGAGAGAGAGATAGATAGATAGATAGATAGATAGCTAGCTAGATAGATAGGTAGATAGATAGATAGATAGAAAGATAGATAGATAGATAGATTGGTTGGAAGGCCTCGCCACAACAAACGAGGCCCGCCGAGCCGAAAGGCGGGCGAGAAAGATGGGGGGAAAGGGCGCCGGGAAGGCGGGCTGGGGAAGGGGAGGGGAGGCGGGCTGGGGAGGTGTGGGGTGGGGGGGAGGGGGCCTCGTCGGGAAAGGCGGGCCAAAGAAAAAAAAAGGGGGGGCACGCCGGGAGGCGGGCAGGAAAGAGGGCGCGGCCGAAAAGAATTTCGCAACAAAATCCATAAGGTGTGGGGGCGTCAGCCTGCAACTTTCAATGATCATTGTTATCATCATCATGGTCATCACTTTGTCAATGATAAATTTATGAGTCCATGAGATATGATTATCTACAGTTGCTTTTTTTCATATCTTCAAACATTCGACATTTCGAAAACCAGTTCGTTTGCCTCCCCCATCCTCCGTCCGAATCTTCGAGCCCTCAGTGTTTCCGCACAGCCTCGGCAGGTGGTGCCGATACCAGCCGTTTCTTCAACCCCCTCGAGACATCTCACTGGCGCTTCGTTCGGGAGGTCCTACTGCAATTAGGCACGACCTGATGCCATGGTGACTCCAGTGATTCCTGTAAAGTAAAGGTTGATATACGAAGTAAAGGTGTATTGTTTTTGATGTTATTTGTGTAACATACATATTATGTATATAAATATTATTTGAATTTATTTGTACATGGTTGTTTTTGTTTTTAACATTCACACCTATGTAGAAATCTGCGTGTGTTTCACATATCCAATATCCACTCTGTTGACAGGTGGAGTCTTACGAGATTTACAAGAGTCAGCACATGTCGTGCCTGTACGATGTTATGCCACCTGCATTTCTTGTTCAACGAATTCAAAAGCTGCAAGCATTGATTTCGTATAATATTAGTTACACTTCCTTCCACTCAAAAAACAAACACACATCATGTCACTATCATTTCGCCATTGTTTATACCATAGTTTGCCCCATAATTTCTTCATTTTTTGGGGCCAAAACCCCCATCACTGCACTGCTGGAGGTGTTCCAAGTCAGGAACTGCCTGATGGCTTGGAGGCGCTTCATACAGTGGATGAGGCGCTCATGAGCCGTGCACACTGCGTTGCCATGAAGGTGGGCATGGGATGTGCAGGATGTAGATGGATGGATGGTTTAAGCATGGGATTCATATGGATTGGGATTAATATGGGATTCATATGGATTAATCGGGTTTTTAAATCATGGGGCTGGTCATGTGGTGAAATGGATTGATAGAAGTTGAATCACTTTTTAAAGATGGGTTGAAACAACATGTTGGGTAGACGTGGGGCGTTTTTATTCGGTTGCTTTGGGGGGTTGGGGGGGTGGGGTCTGTGTTAACGTTCGTGTGCACTTGCTTTCGATGTTGATGCTACTCGAAGGACGTCTTCGGGGTTGGGGTTGGGGGTGGGGGGGATGTGTTAAACGTTGGTGTGCACTTGCTTTCGATGTTGATGCTACGCGAAGGACGTCTTCGGGGTTGGGGTTGGGGTTGGGGTCCGGGGGGTGGGGCTGTGTTAACGTTCGTGTGCACTTGCTTGCGATGTTGATGCTACGCAAAGGACGTCTTCGGGGTTGGTGTTGGGGTTGGGGTGGGGGGGATGTGTTAACGTTCGTGTGCACTTGCTTTCGCTGTTGATGCTACGCGAAGGACGTCTTCGGGTTGGGGTTGGGGTTGGGGTTGGGGTTGGGGGAGTTGCTGTTCGGCTGGCTTGATTTTGTTATTTGTACGTGTTGATTCTGAACATGTTGATGTATTTACTCTATGTTCTTGCTCTCAGATACTTGTAGTCTTCTGTATGCGTGTATTCTTATTGATATCCATGTTAAGATGATCTGGTCTGTTTGCCACTAACTTTCCCATGCAAATTTCACCGGTCATGTCAAGTGTTTTGAAGATGCCTCGTGGATGATGTGACAAGTAAAAAAATGCTCAAAATGCCAACGTATCGCCCCCACAACCCCCTGTAAGGGTTGCTCCGAACTTCCATTTTTAAAGAAAAAATGAAAGTTATGTTGACACCGCTAAGCAGAACTGACATTTGACCATGTGCACTTTGCATTTGACAAGCAGACAAAACAAGACGGGTGAAGCGGGGCAAACCCCCCCCGTCAGCCCAACATGTTTGTTGAATGGTGAATGGTGACACAGTTGGATTTATATAATCCTGATTCATTATTCAAGAAAAGCCCATTCGGATTTTTGGTAATGTAATCAGGAATTTTAGTTCGTGGATGACGGTTTAATGGTGATTGGTAATGTAGTTGGGATTTCATGGCATTTAATGAACAATTTTGGCTGGGTTGGAAATGAAATCTGGTGTAGCCATGGAGGATGGGTGTAGTGTAGTCATGGGATCTTCATGAAAAACATTGTGGATTTTCAGGAATCTACTGGAATCTCGAATGTTCTCCAATTTTCCATGTATTGTGGATTGAAAACCCTGATTCCCATTGTTGACTGTCATGCCATTTTTGGGGGGTTCCGTCGAGGTTTCAAAGTCCTAACTTGGATCATCTTGGATCCATGTAGATTGCCCCCGCAAATGTTGATCTCCATGTTTTCTGGTGGCTCAACTCAAAATTGTTGCAGCTTTGATCCCATTTTTTTTCGCATGTTTGCTGGCGAAACGTGTCAGAATGACTTACAGTAATAACACATTTACATGTACATGGTCGTTAGTATTACCTAATACTATAGTTACTATAGATGTTAATTACCGTGTAGCTGACAATATATATATATATATATATATACATGCATACTTAATAATACATTATGTATCATTATGCGCTAAATACATTTACAGTTTGTATCCCGAAATACATGGTTTAATGCAATAACATCAAATTTTAACGTGCTTCGCGCATGGATTGTCGCCGTTGTTTAGGACGTCGACACGGTGGATCTGCTGGTGATCACCAGCGAATTCCACGTGGCACGTGCACGGCATTTGTTCAACGTGGCCCTTCGCGATGTGTCCAACGTGGAGGTGCTGGTGCTGGCGGTGCCCAATGCCTGTGCCGGCGCAACTTGGTACATTTGCCACAAAACACATATAAAACACATGGGAAAAAACACGTGGGCATTTCATGGAATTCCGTGGGATATATATATATTACCCCTTGGTAAATTAACATAGACCCTGAAAATCACCAATTTATAGTGCAAACTAGCCTTCCAACCCCTATCTGGCAGGGTCTATGTTAATTTACTGGAGGGTATTAGTTATATGTAATATATATATATGGTGGTGTATTTACTGAGAATGGATATAAAATGGAACATAATTGGGTATATGGGATATAACCAGAACATTTGGGATTAGCCAGCCAATTTATGGATATCTATTGGATATAATTATTGTGTTTTAGTTTGTGAATGGGATAAAATTAACAATATGTTGGTTTGTCTTGAAAATGGGTATGGCCCCTAAAATGATCAATTTTATATGTTCGTTCAACATGTATTGTTTCCAACAAGCAATATATACTGGTCAACCGAAAAAATAAGCCTTCGCCAATTGGGGTTTACTATTGATATTATAATGATATTATTGGATGTACCACATTACTGTAGATGATTTAAATGACCCCAGGTTCAAATGGTGGGTTGCTTGGATAGTTTGTGGCAGCGGGTTTACCATATTGTATTGTTCACAAAGCATGCTTCAGGTAGATGTTTTAGCCACTATACAATTTCAAATACCGCCATTTGGGTTATGCCATTGGGGTATAGCCACTAATTGGGTTAACAATTTTCCACCCCAGGTAACTTATGGAAAATGACGCCAATTTATGGACAATGATGCCTTTCCTATGAATGTACCATTGTTTTAGGTACTTTCCATTTAGCAATTCGAGTAATTCAGGATATATCATTAGGTAACTTATGGAAACATCAACATAGGGAATGAAATTATTGAATTGATGCGTTGGATTCCACTGGTAATTCACCCTTTGGTATTAATCCATTTATCAAATTCAAGTACTTCCCCATGATTGGTACATCTAATTCAGGTACTTCCCAATTTACCCTCTAATCAATCATGGTAATGGAAGATCCCTTATTTATAGATGATCTTCCCATTTAGATTTCCATCAAACTTGTTCCATGGCCACTTTTTGACCAGAGGCTGCAACTTCAGTTACCCTTGGCTGAGGAGAAACTGGAGGCCTACCTGAAGAAGGAAACAGCCCTTTGGCAGATCCCAGCAGTGGAACTTTTTTGTGGCGGAAAATCCTCGGTAAAAGCCATGACGGATCCCACCGGTGCTGTTCTCCCGAAGCCTGGAATCATAGTTAGATTGCGGGGAATCATCCCCTTTTATGGCTGCAATGTTATTTAGGTTAGTGAATTACTATAATTTACCCAGATGTATGGTATATTAATGTTAACATTGACTGGGGGTATATTGATGGGATCCATATTACCATATATAGCAGCACCATGGATCCTATGGGAAATAGAGAAGTGTTTTTTATTGGCGGGGCAGTGCTGATCCAGTTACAAGTGGTTGTATCCCAACATATCCCAACTTATGAACTTTATTGCCATGGTTATAATATGGATTAAGAACCCCGAATGTACCCCAAGCGGTAGCCAATAAAAGGTCATTTGGCACTCTTTTAGGGTTGGACTTTTTCTTTTCTATCTTTTTGGGGGTTGTTGAATAGAATTATCCTTGTTTTTGATGCAGGCAGGTGGGAAAATAATGCCCACTTCTTTCCAATCAGGCTGGTTCCAATGAAGTTTTTCTTCCTCAAAAAATGAATTGGATTGCAATGATCCCAACTTCCTCTCATTGGTCCTGTCACCAGGAAACCATCAAATGCCTGCGGCAGAAACCCTACGGAGCTTGGCTGGACTTTCTGCGTGAACATCATGCGGAAGCGGTGAATGAGACTCGACTTTAGTCGACTTCAGGGCCCAGCAGTGGCTGCCTGTAGCCCTGTTGGTTAATGATCAGTTCGTCAGTTACTTGGGGTTTAATCATCACTGCTAGTGTGTTCAACCACCAAAATTATGGGGATGGTAGGTGAGAAATGATGGTTGATTGATGATTGTAGGTGGATTATTAATTACCAACTATAGGGAATATCATGGAGTTAAAGGGGGTATCCCGTTCTAAACCAACCAGTTTTTTGAAGGGACGACAGGGTTTTTAACACTGCTCAATCATTCCCTTGGTTGGCAGATTATGAAATCAGGATTTTACTAGCTTCAAAAGTTATTTATACATAGGAGCATCCTTTCTCCGCAACGAGTGTTTCATAGGATGATACCACGCAACAAATTTGGGGCATTGCAGAAATTGGTGATCTGTAAATAGATGGGGAGCTCCCAGATGTACCTGATGACCGTCCTATCAAGTTGCCATGTTTGACTAGTGGCACGCAAGTATTGCTCAACTATGGGGTATCTGTAACGAGACCTAAGGCCCATGAAATTCCTGTTCCAGTTCCAATTATAGATAGATTTCACCATACTTTTTCTTCTGGGTTACATCCCATTGGTCCTGCACCGGTGCTGAGGAGAGTCATCAGCAATGTGAGCCCTTTATCATGTCCAGCCACAAAGCAGGCAGTGCGGTCATATATTATGGGTTAATATATAATATTATGTGTATATATATAGATAGATAGAGGTGATACAGGGTTTGTACACCATTTACAAACTGGGATGCACATCCAAACATGTGTTTGCTCCCAAGTATGTAGTCAGTCACGGTGAGCAAGGAAGCCTAAATTCAATGGAGCGTCCTACCATTTCTGATATTTTCTGATTGTCAAAAACCAACATGATTTTCGCAATTTCCACTATAGATTCACAACTTGTTCACATCTACCCTCTGGTAATTTAACGTAGCTATGGAAAATCACCATTATTGATGGGAAAACTCACTATAAATGGCCATGTTCAATAGCAAACTGTTAGTTTACCAGAGGGTATAGATTCCCGTGGTTCAAGTTTATAGGACTACAAAATGCGGATCCAACAATTGGGTACCGCTCCACTGGTTACTCATCATGGTCTTTTGGGATCATTTGGTGGTAAAATCACCTGTACGTACTCCTGGATTTTCACACGTAAATGATGAACAGCAGATTTTGGTGGGTGAAATCACATGTTTGAAGCTGTTTTATGGTACACCTCCCTTAATTTTGGATACTCAACCCACTCAACTCCAGCATGAAGCCACTCCATATTCTGTGCATGTTTGTAGGTTCAAATAATTCTGACACACAATAACAAGTCATCACAAGTTGTGCGGGTTTCAACTATTTTAAAACCAGTTTTGTAGCAGGGTAAGCATATATGAGACCCCAGGTTCAAAACCCATGTTTGCACCTATTGAAACCGTTTGAAATGTCACGCCAGATCTCCTACGGGGCGCCTTCCGGGACACGCTGCGTTCCAACAAAAGCTGTCGGAGACGGCTGGCGTCCAAGGTAGGGTGACCGAGACCAGTGGTTGGGACCATAGGAAATCTTACCATTTGGTTAGTTATTTAACATAGCCATGGAAAATCACCATTTTGAAGAACGGTAAACCATCTATTTCTATGGGCCATTTTCATCCATTTTCCATGGCTATGTTAAATAGCCAGAAGGTAATTAATCCACCAACCCGCAGGTTTTCTTTGGACGGAAGATCAATTGGGCACTGCTCTTCGTTCATGTTCATCCCATTTGATTCAGGGAGACCTTCTAATCATGTTGATTGCTTAGCTATTCACCTACTAGCCTCCGGCAGTCCAACATAGCTATGAAAAACAATGGTTATTTGTAAATCATCGATACAAACCCGACATTTTCCGTAGCTATGCTAGATTACCAGAGGGTACAAGGTACAACTAATAATTCAACATTAACCAGTTGATGACTATGGGGTTCTCCCCCATAGCTATGCCAAGTAACCAACTGGTTCTCCCCAGGTGTTGGTTCGATCCTCATTTAAGCAGCGGTGCCAGGAAGAACTCTGGGATTCCTCGTCCAGCAGGTAATCCTTGGGTGGGGAGGATGTTGACCTCTGAACAATGTGTCACGGAGACACAACTTATATACGCTTGAAGAGAATCTTATATAATCTTGTCTAATCTTATAATAATCTTATATATGTGCTTGGGCATGGGGCGCCATGTTTTTTGTTGGATCAGTTGCATTTCAATCCGTCTTTTTCCGACGTGTGAGTTGAATTGTCCTGGTGCCTTGGGATGAATTGGGACCAGTCTCTCCTACTCAGCTGGGATTGATGTATTGACGAGACTGCTTTGCTACAAAGGTGTGCTGATGAGTTTGCAAACATTGTGACTAGACAAGCGGTTGCCTATATTTTGAAAAACTGGTTTCCACACCCAATTGTGCTTAAGTGGTTTTGATTTTCTCCTTGGAACTACGAGATCAAGAAGATTGTGTGAAGTGTGCTGCCAACACATGCGCCTGCCATGCAAATCTTGATGAAGCAGTCTGCCTTGCCCAAAATCAGCCACGACATTTTCTTCACGTCGTGTTCCTAAGTTGTTGCAAAGCTACTGGGATCGAAGCATCCACTAAACAGACATTGAGATGCAAGGCGATATAGGCATGATCCGTTGCAACCACAAATCAGGAAAACAAAACCAGCAGGAGTATAAATCCAATCAGGAATTGCTCGGTGATTTCGACTATTCCCAAGAGATCGTTGATGTTGGGAGAGTTTCAGCATCGGGATGCAACTAAAGAAATTGAGATACCCTCTGGAAAACTATCATAGCTATGGAACATGGGTGATTTTTAGTTGATTTCCCTACTAAACAGGGTGACGGTCCATCGCGATGTTAGTTTACTGGACGGTGATGATGATGATGATGATGATGATGATGAGACAAGACAAATGGGTCGAAAAACAAAAAAACATCGACGAGGGTTAGAACCAAGAAATATTTCTTGCGTTGTTCGTCCACCAGTTGTTGGCAATCATTGGTTGCCATTTCTCTATTGGAAATAAATCTGGATATTTTTTGTTGGAAAATGGTGATTTAAATAGGGACAACGGTGATTCAAGTATGTAATATGTGGTGATTCTATGGGATAGTATATATATTTATTTACCCATAGGATCCATGTATGCTATATATGGTAACATTTACCATCAATATAGCCCAAATGTTAGCATATATACTAGCACCATGGATCCTATGGGTTATAATGGGACATAATATCTGGACACATTAGAACCACCTCACTGGAACCGTTACCAAAATGGGCCTTGTTTTAGACCCAAAGATATTGACTTTCTGAGTCTCCAACCAGGTGGGTGTCAAAATTCCATCCACAAGAAATCCGGCAATTGGCCTATAGAAAAATACATCATGAAAAATCAACTATAAATTATGAGACTTCAACTATAAATCCCAGTCAATCCCCAATTTGTCCATGATTTTTTGTTAAGTGTCAATTGTCCTTTCATTTTGGTTACAACACACTCTTTGTTGCTTATGGACCACTAAAAACTTAGGGGCGCCGACTCGGAAAATTTCCGGTCAGGAGTGGAGACGAGGTGCCAGCCTCAAAGGCCATGAGGGGGGTTTTTGAGTACCAAGGAAGCCTATGATCAAAAATCCTCTGGCCATCTAGCGTGGCTTCCCTATAAATGGAATTTCCCTCGGAGAATCATCTTGTTACGGTTAATTACCGGGTAGCCGCGGTTGTAAATAGGCTACTGTACGTAGGGTTAGCCACTTATTGGGCTGGACAAACCTACTTACGATTCGTGGGATGAAGCACCAAATATTATGTCTGAAAATCCCAAAACAGTTGGTATCTTTTGGTCACCATACAGTATGAATGGTGCTTCTTCCAAACTACGGATTTTCCCGTGCAATTCTGCTGGTTGGACATTCACAGTGTAATGGAGATATGGAGACATCAAATATTATATGATATGGATTTGTCCTTTGGCAGTCAAACAGTTGCACCATGTTTTTTGGTAAATCCGGACCGTTTTTTGGGTAAATTTCATGACGACCGAAGCGACTGTTCTCCCCCACTATGATCATAGTTAGATAGTAAGGGGAATCATCCCCTTTTATGGCCGCAATGTTATTTAGGTTAGTGAATTACTATAATTTACCCAGATGTATGGTATATTAATGCTAACATTGACTGTGGGTATATTGATGGGATCCATGTTACCATATATAGCATACATCAGTCAAAGTGTTTGGAATAGTCTGGTAATCAAATAGACAAATATGGCTGGAAAATCACCCATCAATGGTGCTTTCACATGGTAAAATTGTGGAAAATCATTGGGCGAGATGGAAAATAGGGATTTAAGCCTAAGCACCCAAAAAGATTGTCTTTGACCTCTATGAAATATACGTCCTAGGGCTCCAAACACCCTCTGACACTGTATCTTGGGTTCGTTTTTGGGGCTTAAACACATTCTCAGAGGCTATTTGGAGCGCTAGGGACAGGGATTTATGCAATTTGAATGGTTAATAGATGGGAAACACATACTGTTTTTGTCTCTGACGGTGGTTTCACTGGGAACATGTCGCTGTTGATGCGAGCTCACCTGGCTGCCAATCAACAATGGCTGCGAAATCTTCAGTTCGATGATGTTCCTCAGGGTCTCGTGTTGTTATGCAGCAACAACAGAAAACAAGTTTGGTTCTTAAGTTGAGAAACATACCCTCTGGTTATTTGTTAAAAATGGTGATTTTCCATGGTTATGTTAAATAACCAGAGGGTGCCCATTTGTACAAATGTGGGACTTGTCCATGAATGCCATTGCCATGTTTGATTGCCGGAGGGTAAGCACAGAAAATGCAGGTGCTTCAATGAACATCAATGAAGGTGGGCATGATTCAATGGGAATTCCAGGATCCTAAAATGGAGGTACTGTACCATATAAGGCCATATTTTGCTGGGATATTTCTTTACATAGGCCTGAAAAATAGGCCTTATATATGGTAGCTACCTCCAATCAATCGGTTCCTTTTCGTCATGGCCATTGAATGATGGGCATATAATCTGCAGTTATGGCCATTTACAAGTTATAAGTACTAACAAAACCCCATTTATAGAATGTATAATCCCATTTATAACCAGTTATAACTGATAAATGGCCATATAATCTGGGTGAAGTGGCCGTTGCGACTTCATGACGTCACAAGTGCGACTCAGCTTGGAGGTTTGTCTGAAAATGGTCTCCATTTCTAACGGATAAAATCACGTGATACCCTCTGGTGATGTCAACAGTTTGCTATTGAAAATGGTGATTTATAGTGGATTTACCCATTGATAATGGTGATTTTCCATAGTTATGTTAGTTTACCAGAGGGTATTTCATATTTACTCGTCAAATGAGCATGAAATTTCGGTGGTGCCCGAAATTCAGACACACTCATAGCTGACATAGCTAAAGTATCTGGAATTGAGATGAGCTGGGATAAAATGGGATGATGTTTTTGTTGTGACTTTGCAATGTTGACATTCGCAATGGCTTTGTGAACGCCTTGTGGTATGTATCACCCCCTTACAAAGAGGCGAGTTTTCAGGTGAATTCCTAAATGACTAGGTGGTACAACCCGTAGAAAAATTTACCCATCCAGAAATGGGATGACATAGGTCCTTTAGCAATGGCTATTCATTCATTTGTTTAGGTTCAGACAACAAAATAAATAAACAAAAATATGGAAACATGGTGGCTCGGTCACAAAAATTGCGGAAGAATGGTGATCTCAGCAATGGTGTTGGGTGTGGTTTTTACTGTTTCATATTTTCCCTTTGGCATGATAAACCCCGTAGGATCCATGGTGCTGGTATATATGCTAACATTTGGGGTATATTGATGGGATCCATGTTACCATATATAGCATACATGGATCCTATGGGTGATAAACCATGATAAACCCTATTTTCCTTTGGCAATCTTCGGACTCATCGCCCATTCTGATTGGCTTTTTACCCTCTGTAAATTCGAAGCAATGGAAGATCCTCCATTGAAAGGAAGTTCTCTTAGAAAGACAAGGTAACCATCAAGTCATTTAGGTGGTTTGGAACATTGGCAATAATATATTGGGAATAAAAATCCCAACTGACTTAAGTTTCATAAGGGGCAATATCAACAGTACATCTCTGGGATCTGAAACAACAAAACGACAAAAGGCACGGCAAAATCTGTCCCGACCGTGTGGGAGAGCTCGGTTTGCTGTGCGTTTTTGCCTTATCTTGTAGACTTAATTGGATTTGGCAAGCGATAGTAGCTGCCCGTGAAATCACACAGAGAGAGATCATGACTTTAGCACAGCAAATTTGTGGATGTAGAGTCTACGTAGATGCGCATTGCAAGTGAAACCAGCTTCGTGACGTAGTTCGCGCACTACCACACCGGAATAAGTGGGATCATCATCTAAGACAGAATATATACCTATTTCTCATCTTTCTCGTACTGGTCCCAATAGATCCCATTAAATCCCAATAAACCCCAATAGATCCCCATTAAATCCCATTAATATCCCCATGTCACAATCAAATCCCCATCATGAATCCCATTAGATCTAGCAAGAAATTGCGAAATCTTCTCAGACGCCTCGGCCCTGGCTATTTGATGATCAGGACCCATGCGGAGTTGACCATGTGCAGAAACAGAAGAAACCACGATACGAAAAGTGAGTCAAGAGTAGATGAGCAGTTTCCACTTGACCAATGTCTCCACAGTTGGAATTCTCCCAAAAAATGTGTCAGATGTCAAGAAAACTTGGAATTAGTTGGGATTTGCTGGCAAAAGGCAGTGCTTCCTGTTTGCGATGTTTGCTCTGTGGTAGTCAAACCTGGCCACGGAAAACTTCCCATTCATATCTAACAAGGTGGTGCCCCCCGAGTTATAAATTGGATATATCACCTATAAACCACAGTGAAATTGGAGTTATGTTCAGCAACTTAACTATCTTGGGGTTTTCATATCCAAGTATTTCCCATTTGTTACTTGGTATTTCCCAGTTTTCCAAGTTAGATGATGGGTGCAGCGGTGAAATATGTCACGGATCAGGGCTACCACGCCTCGGAGCAATGTTTGAAATCTTACGGGATATCCAGCCGCGAACATGGGAGTTCAAGCTGCAACATCTGCAACACGTGTGAAAATGTGTAAAATTAATGGTAAATGACCGTATCTAGATATATTTAGCCATAAAAAATCACGAGAGAGGTCTTGGAAACTGCCCAGGTGTCCATTTTCCGAAAGGAATTGAGGGTTGACTTCTATCTTCCAGGATCCGTTGGTCCCAGGATTTTGTCATTGTTGGTTCTTGGACCATCCAATTTTTTGGGACATCTCAAAAAATGAAGCGACCAATACCCATAGGATCCATGTATGTATGCTATATATGCTAACATGGATCCCATCAATATACCCCCTATATGTTAGCATATATACCAGCACCATGGATCCGTCATGGGATAGAAAAACAAGAGCTTGACATCACTTGACATCACCCCTCTGCTCCCCAACAACCAAATCTTCACGGTTTGAGCATCGTTTCGTCGCGGAAAAATCGCAATGGGGGAGATTGGAGTCTGGTGGTCCTCAGGTTGGGTCCAGGTGGAGACAGCATCGCGGCATGTGAAGACTGTGAAGATGCCTACATTTCACTCTTTCCGGTGGAGGGAGCCAAAGAACCCCAAGAAAGGGTCGTAAAGATGAAACCGGGCCGACTAAGCATGCTGGGGCTAATTTCGGCCACACAGTTGTTTAAGTCCATCTTAAAGTTAAAGCATGTTAAAGCATCTTAAGATTTAACACATTTTTTCGAGAACCTTTTCTTTGCCTTTTTCTTTTGGGCAAAGGATGTGGCCTTTTGCCCAAAGAATTGGCAATTTTCATGCCCGCTTTCATGGCTCCCTTTGGGCTCAAAGTTTCAAATCAGTTTCCTCATGTTTCCTCAAAACCAATCATGGCATGGGAGATTCACTCGACTGGGGGTCTTTGGGTCATGGGGCCCACCAAAGGCTTTCCGCAGAGGGGACGAGATCCATTTCGTGTTCCACTCCATCATTTTGTTCAAAGTTGTTTTTGCTCCCAAATCCCAGGTGCCAGTAGGAGGCGAACTATCCATCCGGGACGGTTCCATCCCACCGGTTCTCGAAAAGCAAAGTTCCATCTGTGTAGCGCCCGATCCGCTTTTGAAAATTTGGGCGCTATGGCAGGAATCCCTGAAACCAGGCGCATTCAAGGGTTGTTTAGTGGTACCTGTAGCTTCACGGTCGTTGGCTTCTCTGTAAGGTAGGAGTCTTACTCCTACCTGCGACAGAGGTAAGTTTTCAGCACTGAACTTGGTGTTGGGGTGGCTAAAAGGGACCCAACATGTACTCAAAGTACACCCTGGAATTTCCAACAGTGTCCAACATCTTCCCAGTCGCCAGTCGCAACCTTGGACAAGTGATAAGGTGCCATGGGCCTGGTTCACACTGACACAACCACTAGCAGTCACTAGCGTTTTTGGACCTAGCCGATACAAAAAAAGCATCATATACCCGAAATGTCTTACCTATTAGATCCTATTAGAACTATTATTATAGCCTAAATTATAGCTATTGGGGCACCAACATTTTTACAATTCCATTTATTTAAAGAACTCACCAACTTTCTGCGAAAAAAAACGGTCCCCCTTTTCCTCATTGTCCGTGCGGTGGCCCTTTCTCCAGGGCCGAGCTGGATGATGCTAAGGCGGATGAATTTCATCGATGTCGATGGTCGAAGAGGTTTCTATAGATATAGATATATTGATAAGGAAAACATTGGGAAACCATGAAATGATCTATATTATTCTATATTCATGATCTATTATGCTTCCCTGGAATGATATATTTATATATCTTCTTTATACTGTAGGATAAAATATGATAAATGATCTATTCAACGCATAGTCATTTAACCATTAAATGATATTCCATGATTGGTATTTGTATGATTTATAATTCTTAAACTATGATTGGTATCATTTTTAATACGTTTGGTATCATTCAAGATATGATTAACACGTTTTATGATTAGATATTGTTTATGATCATTGGAGCATTGTTAAATGAATGGTTTCAGGGCTACCCTTTGGTAATGATCCATGTTTTCCATATTGTTAAATGTTAAATTACCAGAGGGTAAGTCTCAAACAGTTGGGCTGTCAGATGCTGTAAGTATGCTCAACCAACAAAAGATAAGGAGTCAGATAGAAACACGGTATAGGTAAACAAACTGGTGAATATATAGTAGTTTAATACTCCAAGTTCATGGGGGAATTGTTCATACCCAGCTCAAAATGTCCAAAAAGCTATGACGGTCGGAGGCTTTCCCCGGGATGCCAAGCCTCAAACTTCGAGTCTGTGATGAGCAAGTGCTTTTGGGTGTGACTATGGTGTGACTAGGGCGGCAAATATTATATATATATATATATTATAGTATCAGATATATTATATATATGATTATATATGTATTAGTGGTAGATTGTACATGTGTATCCCAGAGATGGGGAATTCCAGTCAGCTGTAACGGTCAGAATCGGTCCGCTGTGATTTTTAACCTTTGCCAATATGGAATTCATATGGAGCCCCAATGATGGACCCCCATTGCCATACTACTTCCATACTCTCCCAATTATAATTAGAACCCCCAATAGCGTGGGAAACCGTTTTGGCTTTGGTGGGTCGTAGGTTGTCTCAAAAATTGGAATCATGTGGAACCCCTTTTTTCCCATGGTTCCAAAGCTCTTGTTCCATCTTAAGTGATGATGAATCACATGTTCAGGAAGTTTCGTTATTTGGACTGCTATGCTACTGGTCGTAACTCTTTGGCAATGTCATGTGATCACACATTCCCCATTGGGGTTATCCCATGTATAATTCCCAGCGACTGTTTTTTTTTGGCAACTGTTTTTTTTCGCCTCCCCACTTTTTATGACTTCAACAAAAAAACACTTGTAATCACTTGTTTTTTTCAATTTGCAACACCATATTCCGTATAATATATATATACATACATACATATATATATATACAAATGTATATATATATATGTCTATACCAAGTGGTCTTTTACTTTCTATACTTCTATACCATGTATATATTTATATAGCACCATCTGTCAAAGCTCACAAACAATGGTTGTATGGTTACATACTTATCACCAATAGCTTCCAAACACTGTACCCTCTGGTTATGTCAAAATAACTATTGAAAATAACAATTTATAGTTGATTTACCCATAAATAGCATGCTGGATCTTTCCATCGTTTTTTGTATGTTTACCAGGCCGGGTATTGTTCTCACATTGGAATAGCATTGGTCTTATATTTACAATGTGAGGCCCCCCAGTTATAAGTTGGTTTATAAGCCCCAGTAACTATAGTTATAAGTACCATAAACCATAGTTATTGGAGTTATAAACCAACTTAGCTATCTTGGGGGCCTCACATTGTACCACTTGTATCATCCCTCAGGGAAGCCAAGTACTTCCGAGGTACGTCCATAGAAAAAGTGTACCTGGCACGATCTTTCCACAACCTCAACTAACTTTCGGTAAATCAGGTACATTCCACCACTATCCCCATGTATAGTTGACCAAGTTACACAATAACTTAGCCAACTAAATCCCATTAAATGTCCATTAAATGTCCATGATATCCCATTGGATCATCACTTCAGAAACCAACTTAGCTATCGTTTGTGGCCCAAAAAGGTCCAGTATAATATGATAAGCCCAGTAATTCCAACAATGCACTATCCCCAATATTTCCACATATATATATATGTATATATATATATATGTATATATGTATATATGTATATATATATATATGTATATATATAGCCAAAAATGGATGGCAAACATCATCTAAGTTTGACCCCAGACATCTACGTCGCCAGACTGGGACTTCTTGGGATTCCTCCTCTTCGTGGCTGCTTGGTGTGGAGAGGACGAAAAAGTGGTCCTGGTTCTATGGGATTTCACGGGATTTTAACACTGAACGATACGGATTTACCCTCTGGTAAACTAACATAACTATGGAAAATCACCATGTTTAATGGGTAAATCAACTATAAATAGCAATTTTCAATAGCTATGTTAAATTACCAGAGGGTATATACTTGGATTCAATGGGATTTAACCATCAAAAGGGATTAAATGAAAAAAACTAGAATTTAAGCATGAAGACTACGGATTTAATGGGATTGAAGCAAAACATATAGGCATATAAAACCAAACCCTTTTGGTGGACAACCCCCCAATTTATGCTCCCGATCTTATGTCATCGGTTTCTTCAATACAAAATATAAATATACGTCTAGTTTTATTTTGATTATATATAGCAGTGCCAAATGATAAATCCACTCTTCAACCATCAGTTTTTCTCTCCCAAAACTGACGAACCTACATTTGACGGTAAACACATCACAATTTAACCTTCAAATCGTCCCCCAAACTGACCCAGAGAGAGCGAGAGAGCTCATCTATTCATCCAATATGCCCATCATTGGATATAATATGATACAATTATACAGGTTCCGAACAATAAATCATACTTTAAATGACATTTATTTTCTCCCGTAGCTGAGCACACACCAGTTTCCTTGTCATACTCAAGAATCCTGTTGAGCACTGTCATCACAGTGCCATCTTG